ACGGAAAGACGTCGTCCGTCTTGATACATTTGAACTGTTTGGAGGGGCTGGGGAAGAGCTGCTCTTGCACGAAAAACAAGCCTTGGCTGTTATTCGGAAAGACGCGTGTAGAGAGAGAGAGAGCACTTGAGGGGAGAGGTTTCCCTCCTCGATGCGTAGAACCAGCGCATCGGGGTGGGACCATTTAATTTCGCCAACGGACGTTCACCAGCGCCGGGCATAGGTTGGAGAACGAGCAAGATGCGGAGGACGAGTCCTTGGGCCAAGCAGGACAGATGCGACTCTCTTTTGCAGCTGGACAGCCCATGGACCGGTTGAGAGCACTAGCATGAGAGGCTCTGCTGGTACATCCATGGATCCATTAAATCCATCCATTCCATGTAGGTTATCAAGTTGTGGCCTGCTGGTCGACTGCGTTTAGCGACGTCGTGTCGAGAATTAGCGGTATGTCGGCAACGACTCTGATTTGACGGGGAAGGCCAACGACAAATTTCCCCTCCCAGCTAGCGAACTGGAAGCATCTTTGCTTTTCTTTGGGTCCTCAACTCCTGCTGGACCAGGTGGAACGGTCGATGGTTGAGCACCGACGCGTCTCCGCTGTCCGGATGTCCGTCCTGGGAGGTTTGGTTGTAATGATAAAAAAAGATGCGGCGGCCTGGGCTCCATCGATGTAACAGGCCTGCTTGCTTTGATACCTCAGAACAAGACGTAACCATGGTTCCTGAGAAGTCCCCTTTTCATGGCATCTGTACTCAACTGTCTTTTGGCTAGCCTCGAACTGAACTTGAAGATGGGGATGGGAGTTTACACGCGATACCTGGATATATGATCTTTGCAATGAGTCCTGATGGAAAGTGTGAAAAGGGAGTGTTATCCTCTAGTAAGGAACCGTACATGATTTCGTCCTTGTTTTCTTTCCTTTTTCCCCTACATGCTGGGTTATATTTTATATGTGCGAGTCGTGAGGCACGCCAACAGATTTGGTGGTATTGCCTAGCGCCTGGAAGGGGGAAATGGCAATCTAAGCTGCAGGTCGAGCCAACTCTTCTTCGCGATTCTTGGTTCAAGATGACCTGGATTGCAGACCCAATCCCACCTCTCCAGCAGCGTCATTCCATTGTCCAAAAACCAGGTCTTTTTCCTTTTTGCTTTCAGAGATCCGTTGGGTTTGTCCCTCTGCAACGTCAGAGATAGGTCAGTGGAGTCTGTTTTTGTTTGGTTAAGGATGAATAGCTGGTAGGTAGCACGTCACGTCGCGCGCTCCACACTGCAGCCGTTTTTAACAGAGTGAGGGTGTCATTTGCTTCCTGAAATGCTCGCTCGCTGGTTAGTCTGCAGGAGACATCCCCGGAAAGCTCACCAATTCGCAGCAGCGGAGTGGTCATGCTCCTGTTTCGCTTGCCCGAAGTGCTACACAAGAGGTGGCGCATCCTCCCGCCAATCCATGGAATGGCGGAGGGGTCCATGTCCATCGCCGTGGACGTTTGGGACAAACGGACATTGGTTTTTTGAGGCCCCGGAGAAGTGAGCGAAGGAGTGGCACAAGCGAGAGACGAGAGGATGAACCGATCCCATCGGCAGCAGGAGGGCCCATGTTGAACTTCCTGGGGAGTTCCGGCGTCGGGCATATTCCATTAGCTAGAAATGCCCGATGCTTCAGGTGACCGTCGCGTAGTAGCTTGAGAGGCTAGTAGAGTGGACATGCAGCTTATCTTCCCTGGATGCTTCCAAGATGGACTCCTCTGGGCCAGCCTTCACTGGCGATAAGGGAACATACATGGAGCAACGGCAACAACAGCTTGGCGATGGCCACGCCAGACACGTACCTCAACTGCTAGTCTGCGCTAAAGGACCCCATTTCAGGTGAGCTAATTGGCAGTGCAGGTAATAATCAGGGTCCGTTCAATTAAGAACCCTGACGAAGGCCGGTACTGGCCCGCCGGCACGCGGGTACCTGACGGCATTGCAACCCTCTCACTTCCTCTCCTTGTAAACGGGGAGGCCAGACGAGTGGTAAATGGCGTCCAGTCGTCAAATTTCGTCGTGCTCATTGGTCTCAGCTTTCCGGGCCTAGCCCCAATCAAGAGCAGAGTACGTCGCGAAGCTGGCGATTTTGGGACGAACGGAACCTCCTGCTTCATCTCGAAGATCCATTCCTTACAGGGACCCTCCTTGTTCCTAGATCGGACCAAGGAAAAAAGTTCGATCCTCTCGGATGCCGGCGTGAGGATGAGAGCTGGACCAAACTGAACTTGCTCCATTTCGTGCCAACTGCATAGTAAGTGAAACTGAGATCAATTTGTTGATGGACCAAAAGGAAAACTACCCTCCGACCAACGCCACAAGACTCTTTTCAAAAACCCATTGTCATGTACGTTGCGCGGTGGCAGCGGTGGCAATTCTGCGGTGCCCACCGCCTCATGCTCTCCAACCGCCTCTTCGCGGGAAGAGACCGGGGGAAACGATACGCCTCACGGGTTTTGGTCACAGTGGCGTACGGTCATCCTTTTTTTTTTTTTTTCCTTCTTCTTTCTTTTCTCCAGTCCGCAATACTAGGATAATTAGCTGCTGCTTGTGTGGAGGAGCCGGAGAAAAAAAAAAAAAAAGGAGACCTCGCGAAAATGACCAGCCGGACGAGGCGTCCCTTGTTTAGGTCGGGAGACCCACTCCGTGAGATTATTCAAGTCCCCCGTGATGAAAGCGACGAAAAGGAACATCGTCCGAGAGAGACAAACGAGCAGCCTATGAAGCATCCATCTTGCGCCTCCCAATCTTACGGCGGCCCAACCACTCGCATGCCTTGAAGCGCCTCGGGATGCGCGAGGAGTGGGCTCCTTCCCTCAATCGGTGTTCCTGCACACGCACACACACGAAATTTTGATGTCCGTTGACTTGACGAACCTTGGCTGGGCGAGATGCATCCAGTCTTGGCTTGTGTGTGTGGCAGGTTCGATCAAAAACTTGCCCTTTGCTTTTCTTTTCTTTTCTTGGCCTGATGGGGAGAGCCATGGCAAGGGCGAGGGAAATCCGGAAACTCCGCTGGCTGAACGGAGTGCCACTGCTCTGCGCACCGAATAATATGTGGCCGGTTCCTGGGAATCGTGGATGTCCACTGGATATTACATCCTTGTGTCCAATGGATCGAGTGAAGAAGACATATTGATGGGTGCGTGTGCGTGCGCCCGCTCAAAAAACGCTGGAAGCAAATGGGAAAGCTGCATCACGCCGCGATTCTCCGAGAACCACACGCGCTTTAGAGGACTTTCCGGACCCAAACTAGTCTCGCGTGATACGGGTGTCCTCCGTTAATTTTAATGCAGGTATTATCCAGTGGCCCTGGGCGCCTCTTATTAATATTATTATGTATATTCGGGGTTCTTCTTCTTTTCCCTTTCGTCATCTGAGCATCTTGGCCTTTCTGTCCCACGATGTTAGAATACGGCGGATGTTGTGTTTGAATCGAAACGGAGCTTGGTGGTTTACTGTTTTACTGTCCTGTCCGTTTTCGTGCTGATTTTCTCACCAAACTTCAAGGTTCTGTTGTCCCCTTTCAAGTACAACTTGAAGTACCAGCTACAGCTACTAAATATTCAATGTGCCCTATCAACTGCTTGTCTTTTACCTGGGGATAAGATGTGGGGAATAATTTGTCCGTATCAGTGTCAGATGCCATTAGTTGTGTTCGAGGTGTTCCTGGCTCCGTTTGAGGCACGACGCATCCCGGTTCAATTCCGTTCTGGTTCAGTGCCAGTACCTGCGCTGCGAGTTTGATCGCCGGGAACCCACTTCTCAGCGCGCCGGCCATCTTCCTCCGTTGCCTCCATCTAATGGATGGATGTACCCATCAACTTGCCCACAGGCTTCAAGCTACACGACGATTCAGTATGGAATAGGAATTGAAAAAGCCCAAAAGGCTGGCTCGACCTACGATAGGTACAGGTAGATCCAGCTCAACAAACATAGAGGGACAGACACTGATGAGTACTTCTCTCCGTCCTAAGTTCCCGGTGATGAAGCAAGTCTCCCCAGTTGCTTCCCTTCATTTTCCGGTTTGGATATCATCTTGGCCACTTCTTGTTCTTTTTTCTTTCCTTTTTTCCTTTTTCTTCCAGCCCTTGCACACACCCCTTCACATATACCTTTTTTCTTGTATTATTAGTCCCACCCCCTTGAGGACTGGCCGTGGATCATCCCTCTGCTTCTCGATTCTCCCGGTTGCAGCCTTTTTCGTCTGGTGAAGAAACCAGAGACACCCCTGTCTCATTCCCCCACGCATTAACGTACATCCTATTCCATCCCCCTCCAAAGCCTCTAATACTATCCTCCCACATCATCCATCACACACGCCCCCCTCGTTCGAACTTCTCGGGTGAGGTCACCGCGACCCAAACTTGTAACATCCAACGAACCCAGGTTATGGATCTTGTTACTTGGCCCCGTTCTCAGAGGCCTCTGCCCATGGCCATGCCTAGTCCCGTTCGCAAAAAGAACGGTGACTACGGCCCTGAGCTAGGCCCGTATTCCCGCTCGCCAATTGCATCCGATTTTGCTTCTTTTAAACTTACAGGCGCTCCGGCTCGTCTCCTTGCTTGATTACACCCTTCAGCCCTCTCCTCCCCTTCCCTTCCCATAATACATACCATGCCCCCTTTAGAACCCTGGTCCAGCTTTCCGGAATCGACAGCTGATCTACCGCATACATACACTCAGGTGCCCCCTCCCTCCCCTCCCTTCAAGCTCCCCTAGTTTGCTCTTCTCTTTTCCTGTTTCTAGTTCCTTCCTTCGTGTAATATAACCCTCGAAAACACAAGAGAAACCAAGAGTCGGGAAACCCGCCCTGGGATGATGTGGAGTTGTATCGCTATCCAACGTCGAGCATCGGTCTGCGCCTAAGCTTGGGTACCACGCTCTCGACCTAAACCTTCCCAACGAATTATACCGTCTACCGATCTTTCTACGGCTGTCAACTAATACGAACCACACGTCTTATAATATCCAACATGGCATCGAGGTGGCCTCGCCTTTTGGCGTTCCTCGTCTGCCTTTTCCTATGTCTTCAGCTCACAGATGCACGCCGGTCCGATCTCGTTCGGAGGCAACAAGATGCTTCGCCCGAACGCACACAAGCCCTTACGACAGAAGCGCCAGCCGTAGAACCCACGGGTGCGGCTACAGGAGACCCCGAGGAGGATGAGAAGCCTACTAGGACTACTACGTCGTCGAGGTCAGCGACAACCTCTGTCGAGACATCGGTGCCAACCATGATAGACGACGACAGCGTCGACCAGGGCGACGACGATGTCTTTGGTAGTAAGTAAAAGCGTTGGTAGTGAAGTAGCCCACCGCACCAGCTAACCACATCTTTACTCCAAAGCTCCTATCCCCGAGGGCGAGTTACCGCTTCCGCCGAGAATCACTCCCGCATATGGTCTTGCGGGAGTTCTTCTCCTCATCTCTGGTCTGGTGCTTGCCACAATCGGTATCAAGAACAAGTGGCTGCAGACTTTCTTATCCGTGACCTTTCTCGGCAACCTCGCCACCACCGTGCTCATCATCTATGTCATGTCAGTGCCTGTCAGTGACGCCATTCAAGGCGCATATCTCGTCGCCGTCGTCCTGACGGGCGTCATCCTCGGTGCCGGCGCCACCATCTTCAAAGAGCTCACGGAAGGTCTCGGCTGCATCCTCGGCGGCTTTTGCGTGGCCATGTGGATCCTCACCCTCGTTCCCGGTGGGTTGCTGCCGCAGGTCATCCCCAAGGTAGCCTTCATCGCTGCCCTGTCCGTGGGATCGTTCGGTCTCTATCTGAGCCACTACACCCGCGATTACTCCCACATCTTCCTTCTCGCCTTCTCCGGCGCCACCTTCGCGGTGCTCGGCCTCGACTGCTTCAGCCGAGCGGGTCTCAAAGAGTTCTGGGCCTACGTATGGAGTCTCAACGACGACTTGTTCCCGTTTAACGCCGAAACGTACCCCGTCACCAAGGGTATCCGCGTCGAGGCGGCCGCCATCGTCATCATCGCCGCCGTCGGCATGATCTCCCAACTCAAACTGTGGCGCGTGATTCAAGAGCGCCGCGCCAAAAGGCCGCCGAGAAGGCCGAAGACGAGCGTAATCTCCAAGCCGAAGAAGAGGAAATCGGCCGACAGGTCGAGGCCGCCACCGCGCGGGACAGGAGGGCTTGGGAGCGCGTCTACGGAGACGGCGACGGCCAGACTGTCGGCTCTAGCCGCTCAAGCTCGCGCGAACTCGAAAACGAGAAAGAGATGCACGTCACCACCACCACGGCGGCGGTGCCCATCTCCTCGAGCTCTTCCGAAATCGCTGCCGGCGAGGGCGAGACCCCGAAGTCCCACCCAAGTCGCCCACGCCGCCGCCGCCTCAACCCCTGATGACGGTCGAGGAGGGCGACGCCGCCAAGGTGACCGTGCGCGTCATCCCCGAGGCGTATCCCGCCCCGATCGAGGCGCCGTTCGAGACGCCGAGGAGATGGCCTGGGCCCCGAGCACAGGGGCGCAGGTCGCAACCCCTCCCGTCAGGGATAGCTCCGTCCGCGCTTCCCGCGCCATGATGATGACCCCGCAGCCGGACGTCGTACCCCTCCCGTTCCAGGTGACCGAAGAAGAGGCCGCCGCCGAGAACGAAGCGGACCGCCACACCGCGGGCGATGCCCGTTCGTCGATTGCCGGCACTTTTGCCGACGAGGACGATGGTTCGCGTAGCAAACGCGGCTCGCTCGCCAGGCGTCTCTCCCAGAGGTCGACCAACCTGTTGCACGGGCTCTCGCACAGGGCGGAGAGGACCTTGAGCGGTAGGGTGGCCACCGCCCGCGCGAGCCAGGAGGAGCTGGTGGTCAAGCGGGTTTCGGTAGCGCGCACGGAAGACGAGGACGACGGGTCCGTCGCCGCGACGGTCGACGACGAGAGCGTCGACGATGAGCGGAGCACCGTGAGAGGCGAGGTTGGCGAGGATATTGAGATTAATGCCGAGCTCGCCCACAAGAGGGCGGAGGAGAGCGCGGTGGAGGATGGCAAGACCAAGGACGACGCGCCCGGCGAAAACGAGCATCAAGAGTCGCCCGAGGCTGCCGCCGCCAAGTCCAACGGGGAAGAAACGCCCGAGCTCGTCCCCGAGGAGGCCAATGCCGCTGCGCTCGTGCTCGACGAAGCAGCAGCCGCGAGCACCGCCCCCTCGAAGAAGGGCCCGTCCATCTCGTCCAAGACCTCCTCGCAACCCGCCGCCCTGACCAAGGATGCGCTCCCCGACCCATTATCCCGCACGGCTCTGAAATACCGCACAAACGAGTGGGTCAAGCACTCCACGAGCGCCGACGCCCCGGAGCCCGACGAGATTCGCTTCGAAGAGTATACCCCGCGGAAGAGACTGCGAAAGCGGAGAGCGCCGCGCCAGTCAACGTCGAGGAGCTGCAGCAAACGGCGGAGAACGGCGCCCCGAAGCCCGCTCAGATTATCCGCCCGGCGGCTGCTGCCTCCGTCGTTCCTGCGGCGGCTACTTCTGCACAAACGTACGGTCGCTCCATCTCCCGCTCCGAGTCGAGGCTTTCCACGCACGGAGTATACGACCAACAGCACGGTCTCTTACGGCAAGCGTCATCCTCGGTTCAGCCCACCATGCCAGCGGACGCGCCCCTACGTTCGGTGACGTCCACCCCGGGCCCCGTCTCGCCCGAAGACCTCCCCACGCGCACCGCCAGCCGCAACTCCATCACCCCCGCCGCCGCCATCGTACCCTACACCAACGTCGGCACCCTCATGGGCCAGCGCGAGACGTACATCCGCGCCAAGGCCTACGGCCCGTACCCGACCACCGCCACCGGCCCCGTCGTCGACTACTCGGTGCCCCTCGACGTCGTGCCCAACGACGCGGGCTCCGTCCGCCACTTCTCGCCCCACCCTTCGCGGGCCATGACGCCCGACGAGGACGACATGCCCCTGAGCCAGCGCCGGGCGATTATCCGGCAGAGCAGCCTTCTCGGCCTCGCGGGCGCCGCGGGCGCCGGCGCGGCCCCCGCGAACCATCGCTCCTCGAGCGCCAACTACTACTACGGCGGCGCATCCATGTCCACGGAGAACATCGCGTTCAACTCGCACCAGCCCCAGCGCACCTCGACCGTGCCGGGCCCCGCGGCGCGCGAGGCGGCGCTCGCCAGCTTCCGGCAGTCAGTCGCGCAGGATCTGCGCTCGGGGTCCCCGTCGTTTCCCACGGCGGCGGCGCTGGCGGCGCTGGCGCTGGCAATGGCAACACGGGCCGCGAGAGCGTCCTCGGGGGCCTTTTCGCGTCGGCGTCGAGCGCCACGTTGGTGGGTGGGCGGGAGGCCGAGGTCCAGCGCACCATGGAGATTCAGCGCAGCCTGATGCTCCGCGAGAAGGAGGCCGAGGCGCAGGCGAGGGAGGCGGAGAGGTGGGAGAAGGAGATGAATGAGCGCGCGTTTGAGCAGATGATGAGGAGTGGTAATTTGTTGGATGCGCATCGCGAGGCGATGAGGCGTCTACAGGGTACGGCGAGGGACAAGTAAGCGGAGTGACAACTTTGCTCTGATTCCCTCCTCGTCTTCTATTTTCTTCCCTCGTCCTAACATGGCTGGACATATCAACCTCTTTTTTACTTATTCTTTTATTCCCGACCCTCATTTCTATCCTCTTTCCTCCCCTACTTCATATTTCTTTTTCTTTTCCATTTCAAAATTTCATACCGAGAACAGGAGCATGGAAAATCTTTTCGCATCAACTCGGAGGGTCTGTAGCGACCAAGGGTACACACACACACATGACGGCGAGCCTGGATTTTTATGGCGATATATTGACTGGTTTACACTGGACACATTTTTTCGGGGGACAACATTAAGCGATATTGGAAGGAGATACCATAAAACAGATACTATATATAAGTAATATCCATAGAACTCATCACAGAAATACACTCATTTCATCTTTTTAAAATTTCAGATCCGGTGGTATGGCGTCAGGAGGTGTCTCTCACTATCTTAATGCTGCTGCTTGCTCTGCTCTACATATATTGTTACATGGCACATGACTTCATACCTCCGTCGGACGCAACGTCTATTCCTTCTTGCCCGCACCAAACGTGTCACCCCCATTGTCGAGGTACTCCTTCTCCTCCGCAGTCGTTTCCCGACCCAGGACTTCGTTCCGGTAGGGATATCGCCCGAAGCGCTTGATGATGACAAGGTGCTTCTCCTCAAACTCGAGCGACATGTCGACGGCCTTGAGAACCTCTTCGCCACAGCCCGCGGCCACGACATCATCGCGGCAGGAGCGCATGAGGTTCATGTAGTGCTCGTGGTCGCCGAGGTGCTCCGAGTGCATGAGGGGCAGGTAGAACCAGGTGCGATAGGCGGGCGACGTGGCCAGCTCCGGGTGCGTATCCGGGCGGAAGGACTCGCGGACAGCCGCCCCGGCACTGGCGGCGACGGCGGAGCGGTCCTTGACGTCGGCCTCCACCTGGGGGTCGGGGAAAAGCGCGTGCACGATGGAGCGGGCGATGCGGTCATAGTGGTTGTAGACGAGGGCCTGTTCGGCGGGCTCGCGGAACACGTTGCGCGGCATCTGGTCCAGGAGGATGACGAGGGAGAGGGCGTCGCGCGCGCGCAGCTCGGAAGCGCCGGCGCCGTCCCCTCGTCCGTGACCGTGGGCGCGGGCGACAGGGTCTCGAGGAAGGGCTGGGCGAGGGCTGAGTCCAAGCTGCGCTCGGTAGACCGGGTGACGGGGCCGCCCGGGGAAGGGAGGGGAGAGAGACGCAGGCTGGAGGGGCTGATGGCGTCGAGGGCTTCGAGGAAGTGGCTGCGGCATGTGGAGTCGAAGGAGGCGCGGTCCGAGGCGGGTCCGAGGCCGAACCAGCGCTGGTAGTGGCTCATGGGCGCCGTTTGGGCGGTGGCGGGGAGATCCTGGAACCAGACGGTGCGGACGCGCGCGTACAGCGTCGGGTTGAAGATGGCTTTGTTGAGCTGGAGCGCCATGGCTGCGGTGGGGGAAGGGAAGGGAAGGGAAGGGGTTCTAGTTCTAAAAGCCCCGGGAATTGAAGAGCGGAGATTTTCACGATTAGTGTTTGCCTTTTTCCTCCTCGAATATTTGTTTCCCTATCCCTTTACTCGTGGCGGTATGTATTTCTTTTCTTTCTAAAGGAAAATGCGTGTGGGAGCGTGAGAGTTGGTGGTTCCAGGTCTCCGGTCCGTTGCTGCGGAAGGAGCTGAAGCTCACGGATTATAAATCCAGAATTTAAGGTCTGTTCTGTGCGTTTGATTGGTTGGCCTAACCGTTTTCAGAAGGTGGGGCTGTCGTCCAGGGCAGAATGACATGCGATGACAGGGGGAAGGTGCTCTCCAGATCTGACAGAGATCTCACATCGTGATCCATCTGTCGACTGGCCTCTCGCTTTGCATAGTACGCACGGAATGGAAGCTTACAGAGAAGAAATCATCGAGGGGGCTTGGAACTATTGTGTGGAGGCAGACATAATTTTTACATTTATTTGCTGTATGCTCTCTTGGTCTCATGAATCATATATCTGCTAGACAAACATCCGCCCAAAAAGTGTCCGCCCAGAAACAGAGGTCTCTTTCTCTCCCTTGCTGAGAAGGGGGATGGGGAATTATAAACAAAACCGCTAATCAAACTTTTTCTCCTCCCAATCTAATCCTTCTTTATTAGGCTATCGAACAGGGGCTTGAGAGACTTGGCGCTCTTCTTGGGGTAGCGCTTCTGGCCGTTCTCGTAGTCGACATACGTGACACCGAACCTGGTCTCGTAACCCTCGGCCCACTCGAAGTTGTCGAGGAGAGACCAAGCGAGGTAGCCCTGGACATTGACGCCATCCTTCTCGAAGGCCTCGGCCATGGCCTTGACGTAGCCGTCAAAGTAGGCGACGCGGAAGTCGTCCTCGAGAATCTGGTCGCGCTCCATGTCGTTCTCGCCCTTGAGCGAGGTACCGTTCTCGGTGACGTAGATCTTGGGCTGGCCGTAGCGCTTAGAGAGCCAGTTGAGGAGGTTGCGGAAGCCCTGGGGGTTAGGGCGGAGCCAGAAGGACTGCGTCTCGGGGCCGATGCACTCGCCGTTCTTGGAGTCGAAGAGGGTCTCGAGGTTGCCGAGGAAGTCGTCCTCGGGAGGAGTGCCGGTCTTGTGCTTGATGTAGTTGGCGGTGTAGTGGTTCATGCCGTAGAAGTCGTTGGAGCCCTGGACGAGGGCGCGCTCCTCCTCGGTGAAGGTGGGGAGGCGGTCGCCGAGCTGGGCGAGCATGCTGTCGGGATACTTGCCAAAGTAGATGGGATCGGCGAACCACGAGATGGCGAACTCGATCTTGCGGTCGCACGCGGCGACGTCCTCGGGGTCCTCGGGGTCCCAGGGGTAGGTGGCGTCACCGTTCAGGGTGATGCCGATCTCGCCGCCGTTGGTGGGCTTGAAGTCGTCGCGGTAGGTCTTGACGGCGCGGCCGTGGGCGACGAGCATGTTGTGGCCGGCGATCCAGGGCTCGCGGGCCGAGTCACCGACGTCGGACTTGGTGCGGTCCGAGGTGTGGCCGGGGGCGAAGAAGCCGGTGTTGTAGCCGAGAATGGCGGAGCACCAGGGCTCGTTGAAGGTGATCCAGTGCTTGACCTTGGGGATGGCCTTGAACATGGTGCGGGCGTAGAACTCGAAGTCGAGGGGAACTCCTCGCGGTTCAGGAGACCGCCGTAGCGCTTGTCCAGGTTATCGGGGAGATCCCAGTGGAAGAGGGTGACGAAGGGGGTGATGCCGGCGTCGGTGAGGTCGTCGACGAACTTGACGTAGTGGTCGATACCGGCCTGGTTGACGGGGTCGTTGCGGCCGCCGAGGGGGATGATGCGGCTCCACGAGATGGAGAAACGGTAGGCGTTGACGCCGAGTTCCTTGAGGAGGGTGATATCCTCATCGGTGCGGTTGTAGGAGTCGCAGGCTACGGCGCCGGAGCTGGCGTCGGCGATCTTGCCGGGGATGGCGCAAAGGTATCCCAGATGGAGGCGCCGCGGCCGTCCTTCTCGGAGGCACCTTCGATCTGGTAGCTGTATTGGTGCAAAGAAGAGCCATGTTAGCCTCTCGAGGTTCATTCAAGTGTTTTTTTTTTTTTCGTTTCTGCTCTTCCTGGCCCAGCTTGGAGATCTCTCCATTCTTTGGGCTAGGCATTTCCGGGCCGGGAATGCGGAGGAGGTATGGGGGAGTGTGGGGAAGCGGGGCACGAGGGGGGCGGGGTCCGGAGAACCCCGTCAGCGGTGCCGAATGAGGAAAAGAATTCGAGTCTTTGAGAAGAAGGGGAGGGGATACAAAAGAGGAAAGGAGCAAGAAGGCAGTCACACCACTAATTTGACTTTTGTCTCTAGAGGGGTAAGGAAGTGGGAAAGAGGAAACCGGTAGAGTACTGGGTTGAACTCTAAGTCGGAAGTTGTATGGGGCTTGGAGTGTGAGGGGCGATGTAGGAGGAGGACGAGGCGTGGGATTGTGTGATGGTCTCGTTCAGGGAGAAACTGTCCAGGAAGCGCAAGGAAGCGAGAGGGATTGGATACGTACGCAGCGGTGGCAAAGCCCCAGAGGAAGTCCTTGGGAAGAGACATGGTGATGTCTAAGGTTGGAAAGAAAGATGGAGAGAGAAAAAAGGGTATCTGAAGCTGGCAAGGTGTATTCTTGAAGCAGAACTACACCAAAGTCTTGCGTTGAACACACAAGACTGTATATGAAGAAAGGAGGATGGATATAGCAGAGATGGCTTAGGAGGAATGGAGAGAAGGGGGAGAAACAGATTAACGGACGGGAGAGAAGGGTCCTTATATATACTTTGGTTGAGCGTATCGATCTTCGTCTTTATCCATCTCCAGGTCTACGGGGTGAAGTCACTTTGGAGTGCGGCGGACGGCGCGACTACTACATCTACGAGAGCCCCTCCCCAAGGGGACGGGAGAGATGGGATGACCTCTTCTTCGTTACCTCGCGCACACACGCCCAGCCGGACTCAATGCCCGTTGCCCGCCTTGACGAAAGCGTGTCAAGGGGAACATAACATGGGAAAAGAAGGGGGAAGGGTGACCGGGATGGTAGGTAGGCAGGCAGGAAACCACGGAGAAAAGGCGAAGGGGGTCTCGATATTTCGGAACGGCGTCCGCCTCGCACAAAAAAATCCCAGTAGTGCTGGAAAACCAGACATAAAAGGGATAAGAGAGATGGCACAAGAGTGAATAAGAAAGACCAAGCCAGCATAGCGTGCACAAAGTGGGCATTAGACACAAAAATTGTGTGCGCAGGTATCGCGTATCGGACCGTCGTGACCGAAGCTAACAGAGGATGCTGAGCCGTTCCTTGGATCGGAGGAGGAGGAGATGAAGGGAGTGAGAAAGAAGAACATCCCTGCGCGGCTATCCTGCGTTACTGTTCGAGCACAACAAGATGGGGGCAAAACAGAGAGACTTGGGGAGTCCTCTTTCGAGGGGGTGAGTGAGATAGCCTCGAAAAAAAAGAGAGCGACAAAGGACTCGGTATCCGTGTTGGCCATGGCATGGTGGTCGGCACGGAAGCACTGGAAGTCAAGGTAGACGGGAGGAGCAAGGCCAAGTGGGAGCGAATAGGCGAGTGATCCGGGGAGGAAGTCAAGTGGTGGTATTACTCCGGACGGGGAGGGCGTGGACACAACACAAGTGCGGACAAGGGGGATGGAATTATCCAAAAGACATAAAAGCCAGCATAACACATGACACAAACATACATAAACACGGATTGTGCATTGTGAATCGTAACACAAAAGCGGATTAATTGGTACATAACAATATGTGTGTTTTGTGTGTTTCTGAAAATTTAATGCATAGATTGTGTATCCGTGTATAACGTACCCCCTCACAAGTTGTACAAGTTGTTCATCACTATGTCTGTTTTGTACACTGCTCCGCTCTGTGCCTAGCTCGGGGTTGTGCCCACTTCATGTCACCGCCACTTTCCAACTGTGCACAGATCACGGAAGACGACTTGGACACGGCACAAAGTAGGGTGAATGACCAACCCAGAGCCGGTGAGATGTGGGGTCTCGAACTGCCAGGGACCTCATGCCTCTTTGATCCCCTCCTCCGCCCGCATCATGCCCTGGCATTTTGTGAAGAAGGCCCAGATCAAGAATGATCGACTATTATCCTTCGGAGCACAATTTTTGGACTCGACCGCGCCTCGCATTCCGCTTCGGGGAATCCGGGAAAGGACTTGTCTTGTTGCCCTCCCGTGCGGCGGAGCACGCTCCGTCGCGAGTCTCTCCAACGTTGAACGCTTCAGCGTCCTCACGGCGGGCTCTGAACTAGCAATGCTGCCTGCAAGACTGGTAGAAATGGATGTGTATTTTGCATCTTGAAGAGAGACACGGACAATAGTGATGGAGAGAGAGAGAGCCATAAAGAGAGATCCCATATCTTTAAGGCAATAGATGGGCTAACCGATAAGACCAGGCACAAACTTCCCCGGGCGGGAGGGCACGAGGACCCCATAGGCGAGGATGATAATATGAGTTCGACGCTAAACAGAACCACTCTTCTCAAACAAATGGTTCAATGTTGTTCCCTTCGACTCCCCCTCTCCCCCTCCTCCGCCTTCATAAACCATAAATCCCACGGCTTCAAAGACCACCCCCATTGTCCCGAGTATTAGTGCACGCTGCACAACTTGTTCCTCTCCTTTTCTCACTATCTCTCTTCCGACAATCTCTCCAAATCATCCGGCCACTCCATGCCATCATGATCATGCAGGGTGGGCATCACGGGACGGGCGTCAAATTTCTCTGCAACGCAAATGATGGAAATATCAGAGGCGAAAAGGGGGTTCCATCTCTTGGCGCCCATCCGTTTTACCAAGAACCCCCACTGCGACAAGTGTTCGCCCTTTGCATCGCCTAGTGTCTTTTTTCTTTTTCTTTTTAGCTTTCTTCTTTCGTTCCCTCTGCCACGAGTGTTACTTTGATTATACATGATCTCGCTTTCTGGCGAGATTTGGGGTTCATCGTACAGGCGATGGATGACCCGCAAGCCAAGTCGTCTCGCAACCGCCCACTTCAAGTGTATTCTATCCGGCGGAGAAGCGCCGAGCAAGTAGTACCACCGCCCGTCCCTCCGCCGGTGGTGACGTATTCGCTTATGTGTTGTTGATCAAACCCATTGGAGTTCCTTTTTTTCTCTGAAAGCAGCCGCCGCCGGGGTGACAGAAGAGCACGGTTGGCAAGCCAAACATAACAAAAATAAAAGACGGGCCATTATGAGCGGAAAATTAGGGTCCACGGGCCCAGCCCCACGGCGGGGTAAAAAAGCATCAAGTAAGTCAATAGAAGAAGAGAAGAAGGGAAGAAGAAAAAGAAGGTGGCTACAGTAAATGGAGCCAAACGGGACAAAAAACTTGGCTTCAATTCTTGTTGAGGGAAATCCTTGGAGGCTAATCCATATCCATCTTGGCCTTGGTTCCAGGCAGCTCGGGCTTGTTTCGAGCCCTCGAATTGGGTGTGGATCGGGCGGGACTTTTCTTCCCTAGATCCCTTTTGTGTTTCTTTCTTCTTTCTTTCTACTAATAATACTTCCTTTTCTTATTCCCTCGTCGCTCATGCGCCATCGTGCTGTAGCCAAATCTGTCAGTTTGCCTTACCGTTGCCTGCCTGTCATCCTTTGAGCCAAGTGGTGTTTCCTAGACTGGAAAGCTCACAATAGTGCGAGGTGCTGTCAACCTGCGTCGTGCATCCGTCACACAAACACCAACCCGTAAACCCGAAAAGGGTCTTGCGTAGCCACGCTTCCTGTCATGCCAAATGTAAGACAGTACGTACGCCTCGCCGCGTACCGAGCCCGGCGCTGACGGTAATGGCTGAGACCCCGAGGCCGAGAGAAAGAGGAGTCTAAGTGTTAGGAATCCGGTAACTTTGGAGTCTCATCGACCGCCTGCGTGATATATGTGATTTCTTCATGTTTGCCCTTGCCCTCGCTTTTACTGGGGGTTCTTTTCTTTTGTTCTCCGCCTCCTTTTCGTTTATCAAGGGATAGACGTTCGGATATCATTACCCTCAGCCCCCAAATCCAGTCGATGATAGGCATGGGTCCCTTCAAGCTGTCCTTTCGTCCCCTTAACCCCGTTCTACGGGGATTGACCCAGATCGTAGAAAAGAAGGCACGCAATAACTCACCCCATCTCCCCATCCGGTTGCTGCAGTCTCAGAGTCGCAGTTCCATTGAATGTGTTTAAAGCAGCGTTGTAGCGAGAAGGCGCTAGGCTGATGCGCACCTGCAGCGCCATGCTTCCCCGCTTTTCGCCTTCTCATCCCCCTACTATGAAGGCGGGGGCGCTTTCCTTCCCCACCATTGGGTTCCTCTCAAGTACTGGGAGCCGGTCCGGATCTCCGTCCCAGGCACCAGCTCTGTAGGGACCCGAACAATCGGTACTTGCGCTGTACGAAATAAGCCGAGGGCCGACCCCAGACAGCGGAAACCGTACACCCCTCAATTGACCCAATCTAAATTGAGCGATCGAGAGATGCATCCACTGTCGAGATGACAACAACTGGGTCGGTCCCAACGTTTTGCACCCCTCGGCGATGCACACTAGCCCCCAGTGTGCATTCTATTTTTCCCAGGCCGCGCCCTGCCAATATCACCCCAGTCGCCGGAGATGCACAAAAACACGACAGGGCGACCAGCGGAGCGTAAGACTTGAACAGACTTCACCATTACCCCATCGTTGCTCCGCAGAAACGGAAATGGACAAAAGGAAAAAGGCTCGCAAAGGTGTGATGACAACAGGATAAGCCAATGAGCATAGCCAGTGATCGCCTTGTGTTATCTACGCTACAAAAGCGGAATCTCAAACCTCTTTAGCGTTACTTCCGAGGCTTCCCTCACGATATAAAACCCCACCACTCGGGAAGCAGCTGTGTTGCGAGTGTGCGAGGTAAAGTGTTCCACCACGACCGGCCATTGGGGGAGGGGGAGAGCAAACCTCAATTGCTTCAGACAAAGGGCCCCCATTCTGTGTTTTTTTTTCTCCTCCGTTTCATTGTACTCTTTCCATCTTTGCCTGCCTGTTTAGGTCCTCGGAGCAGCATGTCTATTCGGCTCTGCACGGTGGGCAACAAATGGCTGCCAACCCTCGCTTGGCCCGAGGCGAGATGGGATGGGATTTACGCGGGAGGCTCTGCTTGAGCCTTTGTTCTTTACCCATCTCGCCTTTCAAGAGACCCAGTTCTTTCCATCCTCCGCTTACCTTTTGCATCATGCAAAATCCAACCCGTCCGCCTGGTACTTACCTTTGACGGGACCAACATGACACAAGGAGGGGAGGGAAACGACGAGGACGACGACAAGGGTAAAAGAAGAGCATAAAATTCCTTGGCTTCGGGATCCTTTTCCTCTTTCCCGCTACGAGGAAAAGAGCAGCACTGCAGAGATGGATAGATGGGGGCCATCATTGAAAAGGAAAGAAGAAGTAGAAGTATGACCAAGATCTTTGCAGATGCAAATAAAGACTTGGGCTATCCTAGACTTCTTGTGCTGCCCTGTACCGCCCCTCTCCTTCTCTCGCCTCTGTAGATGGTTACTTGCCGCTATTCGTACTGCCTGCTTTCGCATTTACCCCGTCTCAGACCGTGGATGGGCGAAAAGCGTTAGAATGTTGGCGCCTTCGCTCCCAGCTCCTCTTGGCACTGAGAGTGGCGTGTCAATAGAAGGAGAAGAAAAAAAGGGACAAAAACAAATCGCTTGGCAAAGGCGAGACATAGTAGTCACATGTGCACAAGAGAGGAGGGAGGGAATGAGCTGAAAAGGGAGTGATACGCCCGTCTGCGAGCGCGGCTCGCGTTACTCCGCTGATTCCCGCTCCTCAGCCCCGCCGTCTCCGTTCGCCGGTTTCCATGTTCATAATATTCATCCCAATCCTTGTGCAACCCGCCCTCTCTCCCCACCGCGGATCGATCACGGCTCCCGTAAGGGGTTTCCCCGCAGTCCAGAATTTGCACTTGTGCATGGCCAGCACAAAATTCGAGCGCCCAAAGGCGGAATAACACGACACGCCCTCCGGCCCGTTGCCTGACCCCTCACCGCTCGGCCGGGGAACCGCCTTGCCTTGGTGGCACGCGGGCGCGAAAAGGGGACTCCAAAAAAATATCAAAGCATCAAAGGATGGCGGAACAATACCAGACAAATGTGGCCGTGCACCCGGGAAAGGAGAAAGGCGGGCGAGGCAAAGGCGCAATGTCCCCGCAGGGGGCGGACCATGGTTCCTGCGAGGCGCGTGTGTGTGTGTGTGTGTGCGTGTGTATGTAAAAGATGTAGACATCGGGCCTTGATTCTTTTCCTTTTATGCACCTCTTTTCCCCTTCTCCTTCTTTCTTTTATGCTCATCGAAGCACACCATGACATTGATCTGACACATTAACGGCCTTCGTACTAACCAATTCGTACTGTCGAATCGCGCAGGAGCGCATCCAGATCGCATAAACCTTTACTCCGTCTTCTCCTTCTCCTACTCAACACTTTGATGAACATTCTCACGAAGATATCGCGCCAGCCCGCGAGGTTAAGACGGGTGAAGAGCAGAGGCCAAGTTCGAAAGGGCGCATGAGATGTCGAAAGCCCGCCAAGCTGCTGAGAATGATCGAGGCGCGAACAGCTGATATTGGGGCTCGCCAGTTTCGCCGATTTCTGCTTGGTGCACTGACGTGGCACGGCTCCCGGGACGAGGACATCGCACATGCACGTCAGACCTCCGCTTTCTTACAGATCAGTCAGGACTTTGCGAGAGCATATCCTGTTCTTGAACAAGGAATGGCGGTTGAGGGGATATAAGGCTTCACCTGATGCGCTGAAATGTGATGGGGCAGTCGCCCGCTTTGCATTCTACGCACGCGCTCCTTGAGAAGTTTTGATTTCTTTTGGGAGAGTTAGGAAAGGTTCAAAGTTAGGGATGCAGAGAAGAAAGAAAAAAGGTAAGAAAAGAAATAGCAGGCTTCGATAATGTCCCGAACACGTAGCCCTTGGCTATTGTCGTCTCCAACGCGATTTCCACTTACACCAACCGCAATTTCCGGAATGCCTCGTCCGGCAATGAGCTATTGGCAGACTGTTAATGTCCTCTAGATGGAGAGCAAGAGCGGGAGAAGAGTGAAAGTTGAAACCACGCATGGCATCCATTCGAGCCTTGGCTTGTCTAGATACATGTTCCGCCGGCGGAATGAAAGCAATACTGGAGGAGGCCTCAGTCCCAGGGCCTCATACTAGTCATGGCCTGATATTCACTGCCAAATCGCAGGGCCTCGAGGTCAGTAAAAATTCGCAAAACAACCAGAGAAGCCTCCTTCACGTCATCGACGGTGCCATGGTAAAAGAAAAGTAGTGTGGGGTCAGATGTAAAACCCCATGATAGTCTAGAGAAAGCAACCCATTCCTTCTCGTGACTCCGATCTCTGTTCCTCCAAATTCCTGGACCAGACAAAGGAAAGTGAACTAGAAATTATAAGTCTTCGCCCCATGTTAACCAGGGGTCTAATGCAGAAAATGATTGCCCAAAGAGAGAACGGTATAATGGTATAACCAGGACGTGAAGAGAATACGAGAAAGAGATTAGAACCCCAGCTCCTTTTCCATCTCATCCACAAATTCGCGGAGTTTTCTCTTCCCGAAAAGAGTCCCGGACCGCGTGTTCAGCCCTGCGTCGTCCGACTCGTCGTCATCATCATGGAATTCCGTGATTTCCCACTGTATGGTTAGCTTGGGGGTGTCGCCGCCGCCGGGTACCGCGATCTCTGTTTGGCGAGCGCGGGTAGCCTGGGTGAGCCTGCCGAGGATCGAGCCTTCGACAAGGGATTCGAACCACGGAATCCCAGCGAGGATCTTGAGGGCGTTGTCGATGGCTGGGTCAGTGGCACTGACCTCTTCGGAATCGTTCGTGGAAGCGGAAGGCCCAGGAGGGGCAGCTCGGTTTTCGTCATCTTCGCCGTCGTCACTGCCAGGAATGAGGCCCAAGATTTCGAGATCGCGGAGATCTTCCGTGTCTAGACTACCGAGAGTGACCATGATGAAATCCGCGTCCCCGGTTTCCTCGCTATGATACGCTATCGGGGTTCCACAATGACCGCAAAAATATCGGTGGCCCTCAAGCTCTGAGTGGCCGAAAGTGTGATCGTAGCGGCGTCGGATCGTGGTTTCCGTCTCAAAGTCGTGCTGGGGAGCGACATTGCTTCGATACCACATGAAGGGAACACGTAGATAGAGGGGAAGGGGTTAGCCATGGTCGACCCTGTATGTCCAGTTAGTCGCGGAACGAAGAAGCGGACAAGCGAGGCCTCCACAATGATACTGGATGGGACTGGCCTGCGAAGGTACAGAGATGGAGATACTTACGGTGAACGGGATCTGTTTTGAAGATGACATCTGCATCCGTGAGATCCTCTGGCATGGCGACCTCATAGCCAAAACGACCGCAGTGGCACGCGCCTCGAAGGATCCGATCAATAGACATGGCGACGGATTCTAGGATGGAGGCGAAGGTAATTTGCGGGGTCGAAAGATGCTCAGGTTTCCAAAGTCAACTTGGTGACCTGTTGAACGAATATATGGTTTTTGGGTGCTTCGGTGCGATGCAGTCAGGGAGACTTTCCGACCAGGGCGGGTTGAGGGTAAGATGAAGAAGATTTAGGAATATAGAGAGAGGGAATAAGGATAAGTGGTGGGGAGCTGTATTTAAGTCCGGGGAACAAGCAACAAGTTGCAGGGTCTGATGATTCAACTGTTGCTCAGGGTAGAGCTCGATCGTTCCTGCCTCAGTAATGGGATATAAGGCTATTCAGTCTTGGTTGATGAGAACCCCAGAAGGTGTTCAAAGTTATTAAATAGCATTGATATCAAGGGATATATAGTATCGTGCTGTCAGCCTCAAAAGAGAAGTGAGATGAATTTTCTAAGCTTGGCCTAGAGAGCTTTTAGAGCTCTTCGTAATAGTGGAGGGAGCTCAGCCGATGTGTTTCCAGGTTACGAACAATCAAATGACGTGAAGAGCAGCGGAGGAAGGTGCAATCCAGTTGTCTGATAATCAGCAATTAGGTGAGTCAAAAGCTAATGCCGTCACTGGAGCACTGGAGCTTCGTGGACCAGAGCTCTTCTACCGACTTTCAAGGGTGAATCAAGGAGAATGGATTGATTTGGGCTCAAACTGAGCGAAGGGGAGAGAAATATGAAATTCGATCGCAAATGCAGAGCTTAAGAGAGAAGAGAGGCCTTCGATGAGTTATGACGAAATAGCAGCTGGTGGAGCTGGTGGCGTAGCCGTCTTGGTTGGAGACAGATCACGATTGAGCAATGGATTGACGTTGACTGGAAAGCCCAATTCAATTGAAAAGCTATACTTTCGTTTTCTACCTCGGCGGTGGATTTATAGTGTACATGGACTTCCCCAAACGCCGGTCGACCGTCATCGCGAGGTTTTGCTGATGGTGGCCTGTTGAGGTTGTTGCCTGCGCCAACGTCCATTCTATCTGGTCAATAGATTTAGCACTGGCAGCTTGCGCAGTGTCGAACAAGCTTGACGCTCAAAGCGGAATGGCATGGCGAGCCAATTAAGCAATCAACAGTTCCGAACACCGATAGTGGGGCCCACGGCGTGGGAATGTGTGGGGCCACTTGGACAGACTTGCCCGCGTGAGCCTTGAACCCCATGAGCTGCGGTACCATGAGGCTGTAAATTCAATGCCCTCAACCCAGAGCTGCCTAAATGCCACGATGGGAGCGCTCCGCAATGGCTGCTCCATCTTATCCCGAACTCGAAAACTCGTAACGAACAAGACCAACGTTCGTAGGTCGAGTTTTTCTAGGCAACGATGCTTCAAGGCGTATTTGAAAATTCCCATCTCTTATCTCTAGACATCTTCAAAGGGAAGCGGCACGGAGAAAAAGCTGCACCTTGCTTGACGCGGGCTTGAATATATCTAGATTTATATATGTATATTTAGAGTTTCGCTCTCGCCCTTTACATTGTCAGTCATCTACAGACGGAAATCGTCAATGTCTACCTGAGAATAAAAAAGCATATCCTAGCATTCAATTGTTTCTGTACGTCTTCGTAATTCATTTCCTTGCCCATTCCCTCAAGATATTCTTCCTAATCTTGCCCGTGCTGGTCTTGGGCAGCTCATCGAGCACCTCCACATCCCGGGGCACCATGAACCCGCTGATACCGCTCTTTCCCGCCTTGGGATCCGCCGTCTTTCCCTTGGCCCAGGTGATGATCTCCTCCTGCGTGGGCGGGTTGGACGGGTCCTTGGCCGTGATGTACGCTTTGGGGCGCTCGCCCCAATGCGAGTCCTGAACGGCTACGACGGCGACCTCGAGGATGCCGGGGTGCTCGGCCAATAGAGACTCGAGTGCGACGGAAGAGATATTTTCTCCACCCGAAATGATGATGTCCTTGGCCCGGTCGAGGATCTGCGCGCTTCCGTCCGGGTGCCAGACCGCCAGGTCGCCCGTTCTCAAGCCACCGCCCAAGAATAGCTTCCTGGTCGCCTCGGGGTCCTTATAGTACCCCTTGGCGCATATGTTGCCGAAGAAGACGATCTCACCAATCTCCTTTCCGTCCTTGGCGACGTCGATGAGGGTGTCGTCCGTTAGCTGGGGCTCCGAGGGGTCAACCGAATCCGCGTCCTCCTCGGACTTGGTCTTGACGACACGCACGGGGAGGGAGGTGATGAATCCGTGGCCTTGGCGAGCAAGCTTGGCGAACTTCTCCTTGGGTGGGAGGGACTCCCAGGCGGGAAGCTCGTAAGACACGGTGAGAGGTCCGTAGGATTCGGTAAGGCCGTAGACGTGGCGGGGATGAGGTTGAGGTTGGCCTAGTCGATTCCAGATTAGTATTGTCATCGCCTTATATTCCTTGAGAGACACAGAGAGAGAGAGAGCTAGAGGAATCGATACCATTTGCTCGAACAAGTGCGCGGTGGGGGCTTGCGGCCACTGTCACCTTGACCGGCCTGGGAAGCCTCTCGGCTTCCTTAGCGGAGCAGAGCAGGGTGTTTACGGTTGGGGCAGCATTGAAGTGGGTGACTCCTTCTTCCTTGAGAAGTTTCCAGATTAAAGGATAGTCCACCTTCCTCAAACAAACGTGGGTCCCCGCACCGCGCAGACCGACCAGGGGAAGGTCCAGCCCACGGCATGAAACCTAGACTCAGTGGGAGAGAAAATTAGCACATGATGCAAATGCAAAATCAAAGAGATGATGGAAGTAAGCAGATTCGGATGATGCGTACATGGGGAGGGTCCAGAGGTATTTACACCTTCCGGGGTCCACGTTCAAGTTTGATTCCACGACATTAGCGAGCGCCGCAAGATAGGCCCCTCGGTGGGTATACATGACGCCTTTGGGTTTCGAGGTCGTCCCGGACGTGAAGGGGATGGCTAGCATGTCGTCTTCAGCGCCACATTGGGCCTTGAGGCCCTCCCAGCCCTTTTGGCCATGGATTCCATCGTGTTGCAAGCCCTCCCATACGGCCTGATCATATGGTCCGTGGAGCTCTCCTGCAGATTGATCGGTGTCCTAAATCGCAATACGGCCTGGATGAGTACTCTGCGCTGTTTCGTTCCCCTTTACTACTTGGATCCGACCTCTCTTGTCAGGGAACGCTTACCAAATCGACAAGTATGTGAACATTCGGATGAGAGCTGCAAAAGGCTCGAGCAGCGGCGCGTACTCCTTATCTGCGATGATGCAGTCTACCTCGGCAAAGTCAAATATGTAGGCAATGTCCTCGGGCACGAGCCTGTAATTGGCAGGAACCATGACGCCTCCCGCGGCGGGAATCGCATAGATGGACTCGAGGAAGGCCGGGGTGTTGGGGGCAAGGATGCCGACTCGGCGGTAGCCATGCTTGACGAGGTAGTACGCCAGGCCCCGAGCGCGGTCGGAAAACTCGCAGTAGGTGCGGCGCAGGACGCGGCCGTTGGCAGTCAAGTGGAAGATGGCCTCGGCGTCGGGCTCGATGGCGGCGGCGCGGGGAGGAAGAAGGTTGGGGAAAGCTGGTGGATGTGTGGCGCGGAAGGTGTTACATGGGCGGGCTCTGGCGCCAAGGAGCCCGGAAGAAGATGGGCGAGGATGCCCTTGAGGCGGGATGGGGGGCTCGACATTGAGTTTCCGGCGGGCGCGGAGGGAAAGGGGGCGGTTTATTTGTCGCCTTTCTTCGCGGTGAAGAGGCTGGCTGTTTGGATTAAGCTTGCGCAGGCGGCAGCTTGTCACATGCACAAACTTCGGCCTTTTTATCTGCAAGCCAACGATGGGCGGAGATCTTGGCGCAAAAACGAACGCACAGCGGAGAATCACGACAAGAAAAAAGCGGCAAAGGATAGTCAAGGCAAGAAAAACCAGCGGGTTGCACAAGATCAAGTACTAATAGCTTTCACACGGGCATGGAATTCGGGGAGTGGAGGTGAAAGGGGGATACCTCGGAAAGTTAGAAAATGGGAGCTTCTCAATGGTTCTTGTGGGGGACGCCAGCCAGGGGGCGGGGGCGGGTTGGGGAGATCTGGGAAGCTGTCTGGGAATGGACCGAGGATAACCAGGGGGTTAGTGAAGGCAGGTTGCCCCTCCTAATCCTGGTCCCCGTGTCGAATCATGAAAGATCCCCAGTGTGTCACAGCTCGTCATTATGTTTGACATGGACGGAGGCTCTCACAACCCAACGCTCGACAAGACGACAAGACCCAGAATCCAACCTTCTACTATCCCAGTGGTCTCTTCCAGAGAATTGGAGGTCTGGCGAAAAAAAAAAAAAAAAAACCCCTGGAATCCTCTCGATTCTCCCCATGGGGCGACCGGCAATGGAGAGCTAACGGTGTAATCCCCACTCATGGATTGGCGATCCAGTACTGGATGTGTCAGCAGACAGAGAAAGTGGTTGGGTGGGTAGCCAAGTTCCAAGAGAGCCGGGCGATCACTGATCGTGCTGGGTGGCATTGCATCAAGCTCTTACCAGTTGACAGTTAAGTTCGAGGCCAATCCGGCTAGTTCGAACTTCAACCCCAGTCTTTGGCAGGTTGACTGTGATGAAAACCCCGACGTGCACCGAGGCACAATGCAGCTTGAATAGGGCCCTTGGCAGATGACATTTGAGACCTCATCAAGGAAGACGGAGTGCAGAGACATATCGCCTTGCTACATTTGCTTGTCCTTCGTTTGATTAGTCAAGCCGCAAGTGAATTTTCAGGGTCCGAAGTTCCCATCGAGAGCCTCTCCCATGCTCAAGGTGATGCCAAGGTCGCCGCATATCGTCTGTGATTTCTGATTAAGCGGCATGCACATGGTTAGCAGATTTGTTGCTCCCATGCCTTATCCAGCACTTTTCGGATTATAAGTAGAGCCGTTACAGGCTCTATTAATCCCTACCCATGATATGAGGGCTATTGAATACTTCTTCATACCGACGGCCCAAATTATATTCTTCTATTTCGGCTTGAAGTGTGCAACCCTCGCTGCAACATCGGTGGCCAGGACCTTTGACAACTTATGAGATTTTGGGGTATTTGAGTGGTCGGCTCTGGAAGAGAAAGATACCGACTGACATAGCTTGTTATATTGGAAGATAATATAACCTTGCTCGGCTTGGCGTTGCTGCTCCCTACACGGAAGCGGGAGACTCCACAGCGGTAACAGGCAGCATGACGCCAGCCCGCTCCATGTCCCGATTCGGCGGTGCTTGAGCTCCGTGGACGAATGAACTGTTCACCGAACTAGATGGATCAAGGCGTGAGCAAAGGGCTCTCTCGAATATTTAGCAGGTAGAAAACAATTATCTTCCCTCGGCCCGCTATCGCCATGCTATCTACGTCCTAAGACCAAACCAATTTAGCGGGGGACAGAATAGATCACGTTCGAGCGAAGGCCGACATTTTGAGAACGGGATGGAAACGAGCACTACTAGGCCAGAGGGAAAAGAAAAGAATGGGAAGAAGCATAGTGCATTCTGAGCTGGACGTCTCCGCGAGACAGTACACATACACTAGATCAACTTCTCCTCTTGTTTTATTTTTTCCCCTTCTTATTCTTATCCCTCTTCCCCTCAAGGGGAACAGCGCTACATCGCCCGACTTGTCTTGAATGAGCCGGCGCAGCCTATTGATATTATTGATCTTGATCGACGCCGATAAAACCCGTTCTCAGAACCTGTCTTGAGCCGGGCGCTAATAGTGGTCCGTGATGGGAAATATTAGGGCTGCACCCGCATGGGTCCTTCCGTCGCCCGCAGCCGTTTATTCGCTAAATTTTGGACGACGGGTGGTCCTGTTGCTGTCTCTCCAATGGCTCAGCCTCAACGGCGTAGTGCTGACCGACCCAATGGAGGACAAGGTGGGTTACACTGCTGGAGGAAATAAGCTGGCCAATTCGCGTCGTTATCTTTCGTCCCCACGCCCATGCCCATGTTCAGCCTATCCATCGCAAACGGGCGAATGGGTGGCCTTGGGCTCCCTCGCTTGAGGGGTTGTCACCCTGATACTAACCCTCAGGAGGGGTTTCGAGAGCCTAGCCGTCTCACCTCATCCTTTCAGAAATGCCGACCGGCTGGTAGGACTGAAATGGGGTTGTCAAGGGGGCCAGGCACAATGCAATTGTTTCCCAGGCATGCTTTTGCGTTGTGCATTCGCTCAGCCGCCCTGCCTAGCCTGTGTCCCCGTTTTGGAGTTTGTGAAGAGGTCGCCGGCGTGTCCGGGGATATCATCCCGATAAGGTGCTTCGGCCCTAACAGGTCGGAGTTGTGCATCTTCTCCTCAGCACTGCCAGCAAGGTCTCCAATCCTCTTCTTGTCTGCCAAATGCCCTGTGTTTCTTCCGGGATGCCCGTCCTGACTGCATTTGAAGGAAGACGACAAGAAACGCACGCTAACGAGGGACAGGAGAACAAGAGCGGGGGCTTGGGCCAGGGAGAAAAAGGAAGCTTCGGACCAAGGCCCAATCATCTCGTCCCAACTCCATACAGGTCCCCAATATGGCTAGGGCAAGGTTTGGGGTCCGATGCAGCCAGCCCTGCAACGCCACGCCGTTCGTTCTTGCACCGAATGGGTTTCCTCGTTCCTTGTTGCTCGTGGACAGGGGAAGTAGTACTGGTGAAGAGGGGAGCCTGTCTGTCACTTGCCCATCTTGTCCGAAAATGCAGCCTTTTTCAGGTAAGGGGGATGAAAAGGCCGGTGCGCACCCTTGCGCGACCATCCTCGGAGAGAGCCACAAACTTGGCTGCGGGACAAAACGAAAAAGAAAAAACCCAAGCGTTCAAATAAGAAGTCGCAGTGTCAAATCCTGCGATATTCTTCGGGTCGACACGAGGTTGCAATGACCGGTCTGACATCGGGAGAAGGATTCTGAGTTTTTCACTCTTGGGTAACGGAGCGAGCTTCGATGGGGAGAGAATTCATGGAAGGATTGATGGGTCCAGGCCGACGTATGGATTGAGCATGCAGCTCCCCTGTAACACGGGTAATTGGCAGCTCCGCACAGCCCAAATCCCAATCGGTATCTGACTGACTAGTGGTCCTGTAAGTCACACTCAGCCCATCGTGGGCTTGGAGATTTTCCAATCAACTGGCAGGCTCCGGGGTGTATCGAGGGCGCCCTTCGCCTTCCTGGGCTCTCCTAGGCTCCGCAACGACTGGATCAATAGACCCGTGTCACCGCATCTATCGCCCCATTTGAGACAAGTGAACGAGGGAGGAATGACGCCCTGTCTCTACCTTGAGGAGAATAGGGAGGGGATGAAGGGGTGGCTACCTTGTTTTTTTTTTTCTTATAAAGTGACAAGGAACTGTCTTGGCTGTCTCGAGCTTCATGGCTTCTCGTCTTTCTCTTCCTCGTTCCGGATCTCTTCCATATTATCGCTCAAGCCCAAGCACACTCTTGTCTACCTTGCCCCGCTTTTATCCCCGTGTCGGTATCCATTTCCCGGCCCGGCCACTAGAGAGATCCGAGAGCAGAAGATCCGCGCAGTCACACAGCAAACCACCCAGCATGGTCGAGTCCGCTAGAAGTAGCAGCAGCTCGTCGAGCGGGTCCTCGGCCTCCGGGCCCGCGACCCCAAGACGCACCCTTTCAAGAAGCGCCTGATTCTATGCTGCGATGGCACGTGGATGAACTCTGATAAGGGCGCCGTGGAGAAGCGCTTCGGCAAGACGACTCTTCAGGTCCCCTCAACGTCACCCGCATCTCGCGCTCGTTTAAGCGATTGTGCGACGACGGCGTGATGCAGATCATCAACTATGAGTCGGGCGTCGGTACTGGTAGCAATCTCCTTGATAGCGTAACCGGCGGCGCGTTTGGCGTTGGACTTTCGGAGGTAGGTTTATTTCTTCTTGGTCTTTTTCTGCCCACATTTTTTATGCGATGAACGGTTCCGACGTGAAGGGAAATGGTGGAATGGTGGATAAAAAAATAAAAAAAAGAAGATCACAAATTTGGCTCAAAAGGCGTGAATGGAATGAAATGAAAAAGGAAAAAGAAAGAAAAGAACCGATAGTCGATAGTTCAGGAAGAGTGCTGGGTGCATTGATTGATTCCACGAATTCCGCGGTCGTTGTTGCTAACAATGCGCCACTTGCAGCGAGTCCGGGAAGCCTACCAGTTCATTTGCGCCAACTATTGCGACGGCGACGAAATCGTGCTCATCGGCTACTCGCGCGGCGCCTACACCGTTCGGTCCGTGGCGGGCATGATTGGCGAAATCGGTCTCCTGACGAGGGAGGGCATGGAAATGTTCTACCCCATCTTCAAAGACATGGAGAACTGGATGGACAAGGGGTACAAGGACCAGTTCCCCACCATCCCTTTGCAGACAAGCCCAAGGGAGCTGGTGCTTCTAAGCTGTACAAGGCTCGGCTTGAAAAGGTGAGCGACTCTAGTAGCTGGGAGTGGTGTATGTCGGTGTGTTGGTGTGATTGCCTTGGCGTGACTAACAAGTATGAATGGGACGTGTAGCTCGGCCTCACTCGGACCAAGCAGGATAACGGATCCGGCGACTTGATCAAGGTCAAGGCCATCGGCGTGTGGGATACCGTGGGTAGTCTCGGCGTCCCAGAGGTTTCATGGCTCAGCAAACTCGGATTGACCGCTGACAATTCGGAATAAGTCTTCCCCGATCCCCATTCTCTCGTGTTCACACACACACACACACACACACACACACATAATTGTTTTCTTCGTTCTAAAGCTAACGGCTAAGCACATATCAATTCTATGACACCAACCTGTCCGTCCAGATCGAGCACGCCTTCCAGGCCCTTGCCCTCGACGAAACCCGCCCTCCCTTCAGCCCTGCCGTCTGGGAGCGTCTCCCCACTAACAAGCTCACCACCGACCTCCGGCAGGTGTGGTTCCCTGGCAACCACGGCAACATTGGAGGTGGTTGGGCCGACCAAGGCGTTGCCAACATCACCCTTGCTTGTACGTATCGTTCTTGTTTCTTCTTCTCCATCACACCTATCAGGCTTTTAAGCATCCTCCAATCCACTATTGTCTCCATACATGAGCTAACTAAGAGTTTTCTTCCTTGTGTTGTAGGGATGATGGACCAGCTTGCCTCTGTCGGTGTTGAGTTTGACGAAAAGTCTCTTGAGAAGATCTTCAACCGTCAGGTTGAGTACTACGACACAACGGCCAAGGAGTCCCCCTCGGTAACGGACAAGGTTGTCTGGGCCGTCGACCAGATCCGAGCGCGAACCACCCCCGCCGACCGTGGGGCCTCGGCGAGATCAAGAGCACCTCCAGCGCTCTCTACGTTCTCGCCGGCCAGAAGAACCGCACGCCCGGCGTGTACAGGAAGACGGACCCCAAGACGGGGCTACCCACCAAGGAGTTCCTCGTCGACACCAACGAGCGCATCCACCCCTGCGTCAGGGTGCGCCTGTGCTGCAAGGGCCTCGGCCTCAACGACAGCGCCGTCTGGGACCCGGAGCCGCTCAAGAAGTGGAAGCTCAAGCGCGTCGGCGCCGCGACCGCGACCGCCGCCAACGGCAATGGCAAGGCCGACGCCGTGGTCAAGGTGGAGGCGCTGGGCGGCAACGAGGCCTGGGGCCCGTCCAAGACTGAGCAGGAGGACATCAAGGACGCGGGCCAGTGGGCGTGGCAGTACAACGGCACCGAGGCGGACGCACCGCCAGTCAAGACCCTGATGGAGGAAAAACTCGGCCCCTACGAGAGGTACTTTTGAAGCTTTCGGGTGGTGCGCCCAACGCGTACAAGTGGGCTGGCGAGTCGTTTACCGAGAAGAAGTAAAGATTTGATACCCCGGAGAGACCGCACACATCTTCTTTTTTTCCTTCAATCATTTCATATTCTTCTTTTTTCTTTTTCTTCTTTTTTTCCTTTTTCCCTCACTCGTTCGCAAGGCCGGGCGACAATACAGCGCGGGCTTGGGGTAAACGGGGTTTGGGAGACGGCAAAAGACTGTATTGACAAGTGTACACGGCAAATGGGAACTGGATTCGGTTTTGTGGCAAAGGAATAAATAATGATAGAAATCGATGAGCCATTTTTTTATTATTTTCTAATACAACGAATAAAAGAACAAGAGGACAAAGGAAAGAGTGCGTGCTTGAAGGGGAAGTAGCGTTAATCGATGCGCCGAGGCCATCCAGCCAATCTCTAAGAGAAAGCCTCATGTTTTGTGTCCTTGTGGTTGCGTCTGAGAGTACATATTAATGGGCTCGAGCTCTCCATCTCCGTCTTACATGACAGCGTTTTTATTCCATCCGCACCGAGCCGTCTTTGACAAGCCCCGAGCCCACCCACTCCCACCAAACTGAAGATTTAACAGAAAGGAATTGGGGACAGAAAAACAAAAGAGACAGGAAAAAGGCAGGTTAAAGGAGGGACATCCCCTAGAGCATGAGGAAGGTCACACCTCCAAGCGCCACGACTACTACCACCACCGCTCCGGTCCGTACGCCTCGGAGCCCTTCATCCGCCGCGCTTGCCTCTGCCGTGCCCGTACTAGCCTCACCTCCCGTGGTGGTGGGTTTGCCCGCTGTGGTACTCGTTCCCTTGCCGTTTCCGTGGTTCGGCCCATGGCTGCTGCCATCACTAGTGACGGTAGCGTTGGCCGCCGCGGTGGACAAGGACGACGGTGCTGGTGCCGGTTCCGGTGCCGGGGCCGGTGCGCCCGGACCTCCGTAGGTCTTGGGCGCGGGCGGGGCGTTATCGGGGGCGTAGGGGACGGGGACCGTGACGGTTTCCGTGGTGCAGGGGCCCTCGGGGACTTTGCGGGTGTAGGGGGCAGGGAAGCGGCGGGCGGCGGAGTGGTGGTTTTGGAGGTGGTGGTGGTGGTCTTGACCGTCGTGATGGTCAGGGTGGGCGGGGCTGCTGCTGCTGGTAGCGCGTGGGCTCCTCGTCCTTGGCGCAGGGGACTCTGGCGGGGGGCGGGTTGTTCACCTGTGGGTTGGGGTTTCTTGGGTGGGGGCGGTGCTTCGGAGGGTGGTGGCGCGTTGTAGGTTACGGCATCTTTGCTTTCTTCGTGGCCGTAGATCTGGGTGGCTCCGAGTGTACATTTCCATGAGGCGGGTGCGGAGCTTGAGGGGCTAGGGGAGAGAGAGAGAGAGAGAGAGAGCGACGGTTAATTACATGCTCCTGGGTACCAGTGCTGTAAGGGAAGGGAGGGAGAAACTTACCCTGGTGGGCTTGCAGTCGGAGGACATTTGCAGTCTTTGCACCACCTGGTTAGGGCGTCTGCGGACTGGATGGTCGTGTGGGACGATGACGTTGCGCCGGGTACAGTGCTTTCGGGAGAGGTTTCCTCGGCGCAAGGGGCCGTGACACTATTAATAACGATTATCTGGTTAGTCTCTGCACGAATAGGTCTGTGGGGCCAAGTCCCCGTAAGAAACTCTCTCTTATTTTGATCAAACATACGTGACTGTCTTTTCGGGGACGGCGCTTGCATTAGCAGAAACAAGGGTCGAGGTGGTCGAGGTGGTTGATGTGGTCGAGTTCGTGGGTGCTGCCGTCGTCGTCGTTTGAGCAGCCGAGGCAGCCTGCGTGACCAACGTGGTAAAGGTTTCTACGCTTGATGAGGAGGAGCTGGGACTCGTGCTCGATGAGTTTTGCGCTGCCGTCTCTGCTGTCGTTGAGGTTTCTTGAACCGTGGAGGAGATGTTCGTACTTGCTGTGACTGTGCTGAGCGCAGTCGCGGTAGTAGAAGAGGACACAAGAACCGTCTCCGCAATGATAGATGTTGTTGTCGTGCTGCTAGATGATGTCGCTGCGGCGGCGGAAGCCGAGCTCGCTGCTCCAGACGTCGTGCTAAAGCTTTCGGAGCCTAGAACCGCAGAGGCCGAGGCGACGGACGTGCCTAGACTTGCAGTGGTCGTCAGAGAGCTACCGGTCCCAGTGGTCTCGGCCACGGTAGACTCTGCTCCCACGGTCACGGTTCCCGTGGTGGTTGTTCCTCCAGTTTCGGTGCCGGCGGTCTGCGTTCCGGTAGTCCCTGTTGTCGTAGATTCTGATCCGGTCGTCCCCGTTGCTGCAGTTTCCGACCCAGTAGATTCTGACCCAGTAGTTTCCGATCCAGTAGTTTCCGATCCAGTAGTTTCCGATCCAGTAGTTTCCGATCCAGTAGTTTCCGATCCAGTAGTGACGGATCCAGTAGTGACGGATCCGGTGGTTCCCGATCCAGAGGCGGTCGATGCACCAGACACCGCTGCGGCCGTCACCGTCTCAGTCGCGCCGGTAGTTCCCGTTTCTGTCGTCCCAGCACTCTCCGACCCAGTAGGCTCAGACGTGACAGCCACAGTCGTCTCCGTCACGGTTTCAGCCGCGCCCGTAGAGGCGCTCGACTCCGAGACGCTTGCGCTAGTCTCCGTTGCCGAGCTAGATACATCGGTAACGACCGAGGTAGCCGTCGCCGTAGCCACCGCTGTCGATTCTGGCGACGTCAAGCCATTAAAGAACGTCGACGTCGACGCTTCGGTCGATATCACTGTACTTGTAACGCTTGCCTCCTGCCGCCGCACGATGCGGTCATTGCTCTCTTCATCCTCGAGCGGCACGACGTCGTCGTTGTCGTTGTCATCACGATGATTATCATTATCACTACTCCTACCAGTGCCGGGGACACCTGCAGAGAGATTCGTGGCCCCTCCCAGCTCGTACTTTAGCCCCGGGCGGATCTCTGGGGAGAACAGACGAGGAAACATCTTTTGGAACGGGTACCCCTGGGCGTCTCCACGGACAACAACATAAAAGTCCGTCGCAGGCAGCTTGGTGATGGCGCCAAAGGTGTGCGTATCGCCGTACCCAGGGTACACGGCGCTGTCCAGGCCCGAAAGCATGGGGAGCGGCGTTTCCTTGCCCGTGCGGGCGTCAACGAGGAGCCACTCCACTTTTTCAAAATCCCCAGATAGCTCCCCAATGAGGGCAACGTTGGTTCGGGCGAGCGTGGGCCCCTGTACCGGGAAGAAACCGTGGTAGCCATCCCGCCCACCGTCTTCGGCAAGATAAAAGTCTACGAGTTGGACGGGGCCGCGCGACTGGATCGTCGCGTTGAAAACACTCGTGCTGCTCATGTTTGTCCTCCAAAACCCTGGCTCGGGGTTGTTGATGATGAAGATCATCTTTTGAAGCACTCCGTTCTTTTCGACCCGTATAGGGCTGGGCATGAGCCTGGTGTCTGTTGATGGGCTATCGAGGATGGTAAAGGCCTCGCAGTCGTCGCAGTCAATGGTGAGGATGAGCTGCTCTGCGCCCGCCTCGATCTGGAACTCGAGCGTGGACTGCTTTGCGGCATCGATGTCGTACCTTGAGATGACTGGGCTCAATTCGTGAACCAGTTTGTCTGGGGTATCGCGTTTCGCGTCTAGGTTTCCTAGCGCCTCCGAATCCGGGGCCGCGAACCCGCTGGAGAGATCGGCCATGGATCGGTAGGCAGAGTTGATGTCTTCTTCCGAGGAGCAGCTACTCTGCAGTTGCACAACATTGACTTTGACCGGATATTCGGCAAGGAATCTGACAATGTCCTTGTTGGACTGATCATCCAGGCGAATCGGCTGGGCGACAATGAGGGTCACTTCACCGCCGTGCTGCACCTCTCGTAGCTTGGAAATAAGAGTTTCGGGCTTGATCTGGGAGCACGGATGATCCGACGAAGAAGCGTACAGCCCCTCCAAAAATCCAAATCCTCCGACGTCTGCAGTGGCCACCACCCGGACTTCACTTTACTGCTGTCCACGACCCCGGAAAGCTCTCGAAACCCCAAGTAGCGGGTCTCGGCGGTGCTTCCGCGGGTGAGGAGAGCCCTGAGGGTAGAACGCAGAGCTCGGCGGGTGGCGGGCCAGCGTTTCGCGTTCCTCAGCGACGGATCGAGGATCACGAGCGAGTCGAGGCTCAGGCCAAACAGGTGTTGGAGGTCTCTGGGGCTGGCGGCTTCGGCGAGGCCCTGCATGATGGCGACTGAGGCGTTCCACGCCGCCACGGCCGCGTAGATGTGCGCCTGGACGCTTTCCTCTTCACCTTGAGGGGAGGGGGCGTCATTCTCGGGGAGAACTTCGAGGTTTCTCTCCTTAGCTCTAGAATATTGCGGCGCTGGTGGTGCTTCGTTAGCCCTACGTTCACTCTTGTCACATCGCCTCGAAGGATTTGATATCTCGCCCTTACCATGAGGGTGGCCTCGTCTGTGTGCAAGGTGCATTTTGCGCTGGTCTGCCTCTTTGACGCTGAAAGACGCGCCAGCATCAAAGTTGTAAAGGGGACACTGTCCCGCTTCTCCGGGCCCGAGTCTATGATAATCTTCTCGGCTCTGTACCCATCGTGTCAGCGCAAGAATTCATATCGTCTCATCGGCTTACATACACCCGCAGGCCCAAGTAGCGAAGCGCAAACGTATGCTAGAGATTAAGAAGAAAAGAGGAAGAATAACGGCGGCGGTCGAACTCACCCGTGTCCAAATATATCCTGAATAATGTGCAAAATCTGCCCCAGCCCCGTACGAGCATCTTGCACGCGACCCGTCTGCAAAGCGTCCAGGACCCCCAACTTCAACGGGTCCAAGACCTTCTTCTCCTCCTCAAAGTCACCGTCGCCAAAATGCCACTCCTTGTCCCGCTTCTCCTTGTCGGCTAGCGCGCACGCGGCCGCAATCTCCCGACGCGCCGCCACCATACCCTTGGGCAGGGAAGTCCGGCGCCATTGCTTCCGCGAGCGCCGCTCGGCTTGATGAACCGCGGGAAAAGAACCGCGGCCGCAGTGTCAAAGGCCTCTTCTGTGATTTGCTCGTGGGAGATTCCGGGGTTGGAGGCAAGGTTCGCGCGGTATTTGGTGGGGTAAAAGGCAAACCCCGGGTAGCTGAGCGTGAGCGCAAGTAGGAGAGAGGAAGCATGCATGGTGAAGGAAGGGCAAGCCCCAGAAAAGATGTTTACCGGGGAGGTAGGGATACGGGGGAGGAGTGGGGAAGGTCAAGTGAAAGCAAGAAACGAAGGGATAAGAGTAGAACACTGAAAGGAGAGAAAGAAAAGGAAAAGGGTTGTTTGTTCGGTGAGAAGGAGGATTGTGTGCGTATGTCTCTAGCGAATGGATGCTTGCTGTGCTCCTGCACCCGATGGCAAAGAAGGATCAGCGTTGGTCGAAAGGAGAGACAAAAGATAGCCAGGCGGGCTAAAAGGAAAGAAGTCTCGTGGGAAGCCAATGTCAAGTAGGACTGCCAGAGAAAATGAGACGGTGAGATTGATATATAGCCTTGTTGCCGTACGGCTCTTCGCGCGCAACCTTGTCCATCCTTCTTCCTCGAGAGTACGCGTCTAGACTTGCGACGTGAGATACCAACGGGTGTAACGACCGCTCAACACTTCTTGATACTCCCCTCCAACTCCTCTCCCACGTTATCCCCCGCTCCTCGTCCTCTACCCCTTGAATCCATTCCTCTTCTCATTACGTTATGCCTGGCTTGGGGCCCCGCCGAAACGAGAACCTGCTCGTCCCCGACTGAGAAACCAAGGCGTAACAGAGCCGAAAAAGAAAAGTCACCTAGGGCGTCTTCTTCCCACAAACCTTTCCCACTGCAACCGGGGATCAGGTAATTCGCCCTCTCTCTCCGTGGACCCCGACCCTGGGAATGAAATCATACGAGCCTTCTTACCCTCCATTCTTGGTAAAACAGGATATGAGAACACAAGAGGAGACCCCTCCCCCGAGTCGTTTCCTGTTTGGTAGCGCAGCGCAATTCCTCCAAAAAGACGGAACGAACAAACGCTCCTATGTCCCCGTTACTCCTCTTACGCAATGATCGGTAACGGCCGTCCTCATCTCTTCCAAAAAGACAAAGAGAGACAAGAACAGAAGAAAGCAACAAAAAAAGGCCCGTGAGATTGTCTGATGTGCAGCTCGTGTTCCCTTTCGGCAAATAGTACGCTCGTTCCTGGCGTCAACGCGTTGGATACCTCGGTGCGACGGCCGTACCGCCGCACTGCAAGGTAACGAGCCCTCGGGTCGTACGGTCTGAAGATGGTGCGCAGGGACATCAACAAGAACCACACACACACCCCTTGAGGAAAAAAAGGCCGAAGCTTCCCTTCCTTATTTTTGTTGTCTCACAAGCCTGCGCCGTTGAACGTGAGGCGTAATGAGGGGGGGTCAGGGCTGAGGAAACGAAGGGCAAGACGTTACTTCCGAACCTGCTTGCCGTGCCTTGGTCCCTTGAAACGGACACAAGTGGTGGTAGCACATGGCGGCGGCGATTCTCGGTGAGGTCAAGCATCCTGTGGCTTGCTGTCAGGTCCGGCTAGCATGTCGTGACACCGCTGCGACTCTACCCAGAGGTCTTTCGACCCGCGCCAGAGGCTGATGAGAACCTGGGAGGGGGTCAAGGCCTACTGAGTCCCTCAACGTCAACAAAGAAGACATGAATCAACTTCGCGCAAAGCATCACGGCCCTTGGCACAAGTGATGTAGCCAACGCAGCTTTGGCGAAATGACAGGAGCGCGATACAACGTTTAACAGCTTACCCCTGAATTTTTGGGGAGAGAAAGAGAGAAAGAGAGAAAGAGTAAGACTGAGAGTGGGGAAACGTCGAGATTTACTAGGACATGACATTCCCTCGTTGGTGACGCGCAGGAAAGAACGCGACAAATGTGATGCGCAAACAAGCAGTGTATGATTAAGGCCCCCTGTCTCGCCGACACCCAAGCCTTACCACCTATATTTGTGCAACTGACAAGCATGTTCCTTAAAGCAAAGCGTGTTCCTTAAAGCAAAGCGATCCCAGTCCTATTCACATGCCAAAGCCGATATGCCCCGCCGAACAACGCCTGTCCATATTATCAGATACAAGGGCGAGAACACGAAGGAACCCGAAATTAAGAAGAGGACAAGGGAAGATAAAATAAAAAAGGGCACATGCTCGTGTCCTTTCAGAAAATGGCAGTGCATGAGAAGGGCATGTCCAAGGCCTGTAAAAACAGAATTCCCAAACTCCGCACCTCTGTTACGAAACTAAAAAGGACAAGATAAGGGCTACAATGGTTAAGAAGAAGCGAATAAGAGGGTATTGAATATGGAGCCCGACCGACTGAACCGGAAATAAAAAGAGGTAAAGGCTGGAGAGCGAAGCCGAATTGAAGATGGGGTCAGCCAGGCTACGGCTGATCCAACAAGAGGTGCATGACGGGAAAAAAGGTTGGGGAGCTCATGAGGTTGTGGCCCGAATTTTGGCGCAGGGACCCGAGCTATCCTTGAAAAGAGGGATCGAACTGAAACTATGAGTCGTTCGCGGTAGTCTCGGCCCCGTGGGCTTGTTCGACTTTGGTCGTGGGATCATCGATGCCCTGTTCCGCAAAGTACCGCTTGTAGGTTTCGATTCGCTCATAAAGACCGGCACACTCCGCCTTGAGCTTCTCGTTAGAAACGCTCAGTTCGCCAATGGCCTGTTCTGTGAGAAGCTTCTCCAACGTCCACTTTTCAATGTTGGACGTCTCGTTGGCCTTGAGAGTCTGGATGAACTGGACAGCCTTGGCCAGAATCGCGCCCTTGTTCTTTTCGCAGCCAGGAACAATTTTGGCGAGCTCATTGATTCCCTCATTGATTGTTTCGCGACGGCGCCGTTCAACTGAAAAATAGGTTAGCAGGTAACTCGCAAGAGCCTCAGGGCATGGGACGGACTATGAAGCAGGCGGGAAAGGGGTGAGACCAAACGAACCTTCCTTGTGGTTATCCTTTCGCAACTTGTGCCACTCCTCAGTACCAACGGCAGGCTTGCGGTATTGATAGTCTGCGCGTTGCCCGTGCGGAATCTGTTGGGCCTGGGTATGGTGGGGGTGCTGGACGGGTTGCGCGGCCTGGACAGGCGGGCTAGGGAGAGGAGGCTGCGGTTGTTGTTGTTGAGGCTGTGTCCCATTCGGCGCGAGGACGGGAGGCGCCGGGGGAAGAGATACGGCGGGGAGGCGCTCGGGTCATGGGGGACATGGCCGACATCAGCAAAGACACCATCCACAGGGTTCGTTCCGTCCACCGCGGCCTGGGCAAACTGTTGCTCGGTCGTGGCCGGTACGTGCATCGTGGGGTACATGGAACCGAGGGCGGCGGCCGCAGTGCTAGAGGCACTCGTCGCATCGGTAACAACGGGCTGATGGATCGCCTCACTATGGTTGGCTGCTTCGTTGGCTTGCTGGAGGGCGCTTAGATCGACGCCTACTCCAGCGGAGGCAGCGTCGTTGGCAGCAGCCTCGAGAAAGCCGAGGGCAGAATCTGTAGGAACCATAGTGGCAGCGGGAGCCGCCCCACGCTTAGCGCGACGGTCATCCGGACTCTGTTCTCCGGCACTTCGCTTGCGCTTCTGGCCGGGAGAACCGAGCTCCTGCTTCAGGTCAGGGCTTTCCGTGATTACGTCAGTCATGATGAAGTGAAGTGAAGTGATTTCTAGGTGTCACGCTTCTGGTGTTGTGACGCGTCTTTAGTCGATGCGATGCCTGCCACCAAGGCGTTATGAGCGCAGAATGAACGAGGCCCTCTTATGTATTACAAAGGCAGTTTAAGTACTTCAAACGATCTGAGGTGAGCGGTTAGTAAACACTCCATTTCATGTCTTTGGCTTAATAAACAAAGTGAGTGAGTCTACAGTGTGTTATCCAGCGGAGCGTGCCACCAAACAGCAAGCGACATGGGACAAAGAGCTGCCGTTCTGAATCGCGAGTTTCTTTGTGCTGGCCAGGCCGATCACTCGGCCTGACTAGCTCGAGCAAAAGCGCGCCACTTGGCTTGGGTCAACGCATCGGCAATTTGGCCAGGCGCCCGTGTTATTCACAGTTAATCGCTCTGTAAGAGGGCATAGCAAGCAATTATGACTCTTCGCTTGGGGGCCGACAACCAAAGAGTCTCTCCTGGTTGAGGAGCCCCAAACGCCTCCCATTAGAGGCGGCCGGGAGGTGATGGACAAACGGGAAGTAAATAAACAAAGTCGATGAGATGTTTTTCATCCCAGCTTGAAAACCAAAAGGCTTGGGGGAAATTCGCCTCGCATCGCGATTGAACGGCACGGCAAGGGTAAAAGGAAAGAAAATCGCGACCGCGACAGTGGGGTGGACGTGGACGATGCGGCCAAATGATGCACGATTGAACATGGAATAAAAGTCCAACATACCTTAAAGATCATGTGCTTTCCCGACGGCGGCCGGTCGCTCTTTTGCACGATGAACCGGGTCTGATCACGGGTTTTGGTTCCTTTCACGTGGATGCGTGACAGATCTCGTGATATGGACTTGGCTTGGAGGACAAGCGAGGGACAATAATGCGCGACAAAGAGGGAAAAACAAAGTCGGAACAGGTCAAAAGAAGATTAAACGGCTCAGAGATGATCTCGGAAGCTTCCAAAACGCGGAAACCACGAAAAAGAGCACGGGAATGGCGTCTAATATCAGTTTCTGCTGGCGCGAAGAGTGTCGAGATGGGCTGCACCGTTTTGGGAGGGCGACGGGTCCAGTCCTTGATAGGTGGTGGTCACGAGGAAGAGGGAGAGGGTGAACACGTGCAATGTGGGTGAGGCTGGGGGATAAATAGGGATTTCGTCGCTGCTTTCAAATTTAGTTGGCCTGAGGCGCGAAATTATACTCAGCCAATGATATACGCTTATTCTTGCACCAGGGCTGACAGCGGGTAACAAGGTACCAAAGTGGGTCCACGCCGCCGTCTTTCGTCGCTGCCGGAGAAAGGAAGGAAGCACCATCATGGGGGAGGGAGCTTATTCCTGTGTGTGGCCATCGCAAAACAGAGGGGTGGAGATCATGGCCACCACTAACACAATGGATCAATGGATTGGAACTGTTAACTCGCTGGGCTGGACGGGTGGTCCATGAACCCACCCAACCTTTTGACTCGGCTCCTTGTCCTTGACCAGGGCCTCAAATAGAAAAAGGGAAGCTAAAGAGGATAAACATAAAAAAAGAAGAAGAAGAAGAAGAAGAAAATAAAAATACAACGCTGAAGAATTCTTCGGGCTAGCTGACTTCCTCCTCGATCGTACCGCAAAGTCACGCCAGGCTGCCGGCGCAGGCACTCCCAGTAGCAAAGCACATTGATTGAAGAGAGACATGGATAGTGGATAGGGGTGGGCTGCAATTGTTTGCAATGGCCGTGCCCCCAAGCATGCAATATCGATGGATGTGATGCGGCCCTGGACTTGGATTCGTAATGGTTCGGTTCATACCTTGGTGGATGGTTCGCCGAAGCTGACCAGACAAAGTGCAGCGCCGACTGCGTTCCCCCACCCTCCACCACCTCCTCACCCCGAGTTGAGAGTTGATGCAAGGGCATCCTATTCGCCATCCACGAAGAGGCGTCGTCCGCCAGTGTATGACGAGACTTTTAACAACCCGTATAATAGGCCGAAGAAAAGAATTGAGGCAAGCAAACTCTTCAGGGGGCCGCCCATCCATCTCCCGAGCCTTCAACCTGGTGGAATAAGCCACCCCTGAACCCGCGCAAAGCGCCAGATACCCACCAGGCCCCAAGCCCTTCCAAAGCCATCTTGACGTTCATCCCCCTTCAAAATGTTCCTTTCCCTGTTCCCCTATCCCTCTTCGGTCCCCTCACACTTCCCCTCTTGCCACAAAGGTGGGCGCAGAGTGGAATCCCCTCTCCTCGCCCCGAGCCTGTTGCTGTTACGCCACCCTTTAGGCAATCACCTGATCCTTCCTTGTCGCTTGGATGGTGGATGGCACCATCACTTGACTACACCTAGGTGAAACAGAAAAGGGAATGTGGAAATCCCGGGTTCGTCTTGCATCCTAAGAGCCTCGCGCCGGCCGAAAGTAATCAAAGAGGGTGTCGAGCAGCAGGCGCAATACCCCACCCAAGCGAGTCGGGTGCTTCCCCGCTCCGACTCGACCATTCAGGGTGCCTCGAGGGCCCGGCAATCCACCGCCAGGGTCTCTGATTTGAGAGCAGGGAAACGAGGGAAAAATACAAGTAAACAAAAGAGAGCAATGCAGGCTCTACTGCAGCGGTCCGGCACCCGAGTAATACCCTCTCAAGCGTCGTCTCCCCTCCAAGATTCACCTTTCTGGCACCCTCCATTTCGGCGGTCGATTTTTGTACTTCTTTCAAAGGGCGCATAAAGCTGCAGCTGGATGCAACAGGGTGCATGCTCTGCCAAGTCCAGTTCTCCTTTCGCTCGATGAGTTTCCGTACGCAATGCACACGGAGCTCGATGCATTTTCGCTCAAGCTTTCTCGTGGGTGCGGGACTAGCGTCCTACGTTGAACGAGGCAGGGTCGAAGAAGGAGGGGCTGTTTGGTGGCCAACCCTCTCGGCCTTAAACACGGATCCCTAGCGCTACTGGCGGGTAGCCTTGTTCCTCTGACGAAGTAGATATCGTAATCCTAGAAAGAGTAAGAGCGAGGGCCCGTCATTTCTTCTCTAGTTCAGCGCTGGGAGAAGCGTTTGATAGTGGATCGCGGAACTGCCAAGCAGGCGCATGGAGCAGCTCTTCGATGCACCACTTGATGCGTTCATCCCCTTCCCATCCTTGTTGCCTTCAGAATCGCCAAGCCAAGGGACGAGCTGAGGCCCACCTTCGGTGATGCCTGATAATCCTTTCATAATTGGGATTCTTGCCTTTGGTTTATTAGATGGGCGAATAGAATGACATACAGGCGTGTTTGCACATGGTACCGACTCTCTAGGCTTTTTAACTGCAGCTATTTTTCCTGCACCACGCCAATTTCTGGTGTTGGCCAGCCAGGCCCCACCACCTCAAATAGGGTCGGGAAACAGGGGATAAATGGTTTGGCACTAGAGCACGGGAGAAGGCGTGGTCGATAGGCTCTTTTCCGCCATCACTGATCGATCCATCAGTCCAAGCTGCCCGATCAAAACCCGCGTTTGCCCACCTATTGCAGCTCACTGGCAGTTTCGAGACGAGCACAGGTTATTACTAAGATCCCTGAGCCACCACCTACAAACTACTCAGCAGAGCCGGCTACCCTTCCTGAACCCGCATCCGTAGCAAGCAGTAGTCATTGAGCTCGCATACAAGGGAGGGGTTATTAAGTCCCTTCCTGACCTTGAACCCCCGACGACGTAGAGTATGTTTCTGGGGTAATTGCCAACGTAATACTTGTTAGATTGCTTGGTTGCTCTCCACAGTCCTCCCTCCTTTCCCCAAAAACTCATCGCTTTCGGCAGGCGGTGTGAGCTGAGGTAATGGTGGGGTACCAATTGCGACCGGGATTTATGGATCCTGGTTCACTCCTGCTGCGTCAGTGACCGACCTCTCCACCTGCGTAGCGTAGCTTCACCGTGCCAAGAACATCGTTCCAGCCCACCCCCATCACCACGATTGCCATCTCCCTGCCAACCTCACCGAAGAATCCTCGCTGAACCCTAGGTTGTTTTCCCACAACGAGCCTTCATCGTTCTAACTACCCTCTAACGACTCCCGCCTCGACAAGAGATATCCGGGGCATAGCTCCGGGGTCGCCAATTCCTCAACCACCAATCACACCACATCGGAGCCCGGTCTAACTATCCCGGCCCGAACCCTCTCAGCACCATGGGCGACCACGAGCACATGGCCATCAAGCACAACGACCATATCCTTCTCGACCAGCCTCTCCTCCGTCTCCCCTACGAGCTTCTCCGCAACAACTTTCGCTCCGCGCATTTCACCGTCGAAAAGGAGAGCACGGGGCTCAAGACGTCGCTCAAAGATGCCACGACGAGATGCTTCAACGGCAAGTCCACTCAGGATGACCTTGTCCGGAACCTCGACGATATGATTGCCCAAGCAAAGGCCCTCAGACGCAAACTGGCCGCCTGTGCCGACGAGGAGAGCAGGTTGCTCGGCCAGGAAGATGCGCGCATCAAGCATGTCGACGACCTCTACTCAATCGCCTCCTTCGACGACGTCAAATACGAGACTTGGAGCCGCACGAGGCTGGATCGGTTGATGGTGGATTTCATGTTGAGGAACGGATGCGGGAAGAGCGCTGCGGCTCTCTCAGAGGAGAGGGAATGAAAGATCTCGTGGACGTCGAGACCCTGGTGTCCATGAACAGGATACGAGAAAGTTTAAAGAAGGGAAGCGTGCAGGAGGCCTTGGTCTGGTGCTCGCAGAACAAGAAGGAGTTGAGGAAAATGGATGTGAGTAAACCTACTCCCCTCGGGGACTCCCAAGTCCTAGATGCGGCGCAGCTAACAGATGCAGGGCCGTCTCGAATTCGACCTTCGCTTCCAACAATTCGTCGAGATGCTTCGCTCGGGAGCTGAGCCCAAGACCTGCCTCGCCCATATTAAGAAGCACCTAATGTCTCATAACACCCTTTTCCCCAGCGAAGTGAAGGCTGCGTGCGGCATGCTCGCCTTTCCCTTTGATTCCGTATCCAAGAGCGCCCATGGCTACGGCGCCTATTTCCAAGCCTCTCGCTGGGATATGCTCGCTAACCTATTCACCGAAACCCATAACGCTCTACTCAGCCTCCCCTCCGTGCCACTGTTAAACGTGGCTCTATCGTCCGGCCTCTCTGCCCTCAAGACGCCGGCGTGCCATGCTGCTGCGCGGGAAAGCGCGGGATCCGATGGCGTCGTCCACGGTGCCACGATACTACCATCTGGTCAGCAGACCGTGTGCCCCATCTGCTCTCCCGAGCTCAAGGATCTGGCAATGAACGTGCCATACGCCCATCATACCAAGAGCATCGTCGAGCATGACCTTGTGGTTCTGCCCAACGGGAGGGTTTACGGCAAAGAGAAGCTGGAGCAGCACGCCAAGAAGTCGGGTCTGCCCGCGAGCCAGATCAAGGATCTGCAAACGGGCGAGGTATATGGGGAGGATCAATTGAAGAAAGTTTTCATTACTTGACCATTTTACATATTTTCCATTGCGCTGGCTCTCATAAAGCCATGTCTCTTTCCCATTTCTCTCTTCCTGATTACCGCCCGCCCCTATCATGTACACTCCTCGGAACATCGTCGTATTGGTACATTCCCGGACGATGGCACATTTCTTTTCAACCTTTTTTCTCATCTTTTCTGTTCCTCTCATCTGGCGCTTGGAGAACCGGCGGTTGATATCTCTCGTGCCAGTTTCCAGATCCCTCGGTATCAATCCCGTGGAGAAACATGTACTTTTTGCTTAATTTAGGAATATTCATCACAATAGCCCTGAGCAGAGGACCAGCCAAAATACAGATTGATAATGTCAACAAGTTGATAGGTTACGAATTCAAGGCATCTCTATGAACCAGGGCCAACACACTTAGCGAGCGTCCGAATGACGAGGCTCATCATGGTACGAAGCCGAAGAATACGTCGAGTAGCCCAATTCCAAGCTCTAAAGAGAGCCGCATATGCAGTGGATCAACACAAAAGGTCTTCTTTTTCTGCTCGTACATTGCGTGACAAAAAAAAAAGGTGCATTTTCGCCTCTATAGTCTCAAAAAGGCCCGAAATCCATTATGTACATTGTAACCCCTCCCTCACACACACGATGCGCGCGCTCGATCCGCAGCATCTTTAGTGCTTCTCCTCGCCGTGGCCGTGGCCGTGGCCATGGCCCTCTCCGTGTCCGTGGTGGTGGGCATCCTCGAGGAAGAAGTGCTCGTACAGGCAGTAGATCGTAAACGCAACGGTCGCGGTTCCGAGGCCGGGAAGGGTGCCCTTGAATCGGTTCCACCTCGTGAAAGGTCCCTGGTATCGCCACGCCTCACTATAGAACAAGAAAAACGTTAGTATGTACACCAATTTGCATACTGAGCGTGGGCCGTAATCGAGAAGAAGGCATAAAAGATTTGGCGGAATGGCATCAGATGATGGTCGGGGCGGGTCGGCCATCCGAGAGAGATAGAGAGAGTACAGCGAGACAGCGAGAAGAGGAGAGAAGAAGATTTGGGGGTTGACTAACGCTCGCTCCCAAGGATCGTACTTGGGCGTACCAGTGGCAGCCCTCAGCTTGTTGATGTCGAAGCCGGTAATGTTGGGCTTCGCGCCATTTGCGGCACGGAGTATTCTGCGCGATGGGAGAGATTGGGAACAATGGTCAGCAATTGAGCGAGAACGACGGCCGCCGAGAGGAGGAGGTCAAGAAGAATTGATTGGGACGAGCGGCTTACCTTGTTGCGAGCATGGTTGTATCCTGGAAAGCAAGTTGACAAGACGTCCTCCAACAGCAAAGCAGATTCGATGCAGAGCAGAAGAGTCGACGATAATTTGAAGCCGGCTCTGTACAGTCAGCAAGTCAGGAAGGAGGAATACATTATCGAGAATATGATTGGTACATGGCCTCCAGGCGGTCCATCCACATCGGCTCCCACTTGGTGTCTAGCATGAGACGCTGTTAGTCACGTGATATTGCTGTATCATGTTGTATCAACTTGGCTGCCAGGGTCGTCAAGCTCGCATCTACTCCCTGGTAGGATGAAATCAACATCTTGATTGTCTATATTCATCGATAAAGGAAGATAAAGAAAAATAGCAAAAGGAATATTCTTTCTTTATATCTTGGATTTCTATAAAGACCCCTAATCTAAATTATGATACTCTTTAAAATATGGTGATAGTATGATCCCCGTAGAGAGTGGACTGAATATGTGAGGATACATCATTACATAATCTAGTGGTGCAGACTCCGACCACACGGCCTTGTGCTGGATACAGGAAGGACCATGCGTCAATCTGAGCAAGGCTAGCCCAACCAGAAAAGCCCATCCAAATCACCACCACGACAACCATCACTAATTTTCTTTCTCACGCCAACTCCAGTAAGTTTGATGCCCTGTGCATTCCCCTTTCCTGATCTAAGGGAATATTCCTAGATTCTAATCGATCTTCACCTCTTCAGAGACTTGTTTCTACTTCACAGCTCCCGATAAGGCGCCTCAATTCGGACATCCTTCTCTGAATCCGCCTTCCGATTTCGCTACACAACCGAGTCCGGGATCAAAAGAGGAGGCGGTCCTGCGCTTGCGCCTCGGGAAATCACGTCTGTCTCAGGTACACTACCTTTTCTTAGACCTCGAGCAAACCTTTTGATTTCCCCAGCTTTTTACAAATGAAGCATAACAAGTCTCGACCAAACCCACCTAACGAGAAGAGGAAGTAGAGATTCCCTGCTCACAATCCCCCAATCGCCCGGTGCACGATTCACGAGGCGCTCCTGGCACCCGTTCCTTTGCGCCTTCCCCGTTCCACTTCGACCCTCGACTCATCCCCGACCCCGATTGCGTGGTTGCGTGCCTCAACAGCCCCAGCAACCAGTACGACCCGCCTTTCAATCGACTCCCCGTCAACCTACCCCGATCAACGCCCCTCCACTCGTCACGACAGGTTACCCGCGCAGCAACCCGTATTTGCGAACTCACGCGCCTACCCCTGCCGAAGCCTCGTCGATCGTGTGCCCCGGATCCGGCTTTTCGCAGGTCCCACTTCGAGCGTTGGAGCCGCAGCCGAATTGGCTGGACAGTTCGTCTAACCCCCATTCATCTGCCCACCCGAATTCCCCAGGTTCTGCCAAGATTCGCAACTGCATCACGGCGGCCTCGTTATCAACCATTACATCTACATTCCACCCGCTCCTGTTTCGCCACCAGCTGTCTAGGACCCAGCTACCCGCCACCCGAGCTCCCACTCCAACTTCAGCCGCGCGGGCTATAGCGTCCGCCCATACTACCAGATAACTACCTACACATACGCCTACGAGGGAAACTCCGCGCCGATGCCCCCGCACCAAATACCGCGGTTCGCCAGCGGGCCAACGCTGGCATATCACCAGCAACAGTTCCAGTCCCACGCCGCTCAGTCCCATGCGGCGGCTCATCAGCAGCCCCTTGCGGCCAACCACCAGCAGCCCCTTGCCGGCAGCCATTCATATATTCATGCCAATGCCCAATTAAATGCGTTCCAAAACTCTGCCAACGGCGGCCTCGCTGGTGTCGGTGGCCTAAACGCGGGGGCTTCATCGACGGGCCCCGTCTTGCCTTCCAAGGCGCTAGCTTCCAGCAGCAGCAGCAGCACAGCCAAGCGCAGCACGCGCTAGGCGTCGAGTACTCCCCTAATATCCGGGCGCAGCCTAACAAGGGACGCATAAGAGAAGTTTGGAAACACAACCTCCATGAAGAAATGGCGACGTTACGGAGACTCGTTGACAGCTATCCTTATATTGCCATGGTAGGTTTTCTTGTAGACGAAAGCCGAAGTTTTGATCACTCTTTTCTCTCGGCCTTGTTCTTCCTTACCGCTCTAACATCCGACATTTTATCATAGGATACCGAATTTCCTGGAGTTGTCTCGAGGCCAATGGGAAATTTCCGTGGCAAGAGCGATTACCATTACCAATGCATGAGAACCAATGTGGACATGCTCAAAGTGATCCAGATTGGCATCACTCTCTTCAACGAAGCTGGCGAGACAATCCCCGCGAGGCCAAATACTACCGATGAGAACATGGGGAAGCGGAGTGGCCAAGCGCCGTTCCCGTGCTCATGGCAATTCAACTTTAAGTTTTCTCTAAAGGACGACATGTACAACGAAAAGTCGATAGAGTCTCTTCAGAGCGCCGGCATTGACTTTGGGCTCCTCGAACGCGACGGCATTGACCCCCACGACTTTGCCGCCCTCCTCATTCCTTCGGGACTCGTCCTCGAAGACCAGATCCACTGGATTTCCTTCCACGGTGGCTATGACTTTGGCTACCTAACCAAGCTCCTAATGTGCACGGTGCTCCCCAACGATGAGGTTGACTTTGAAAAGCTCATGAAGACATACTTCCCTCGACGTTTGACGTGAAGCATCTAATGAAATATGCCATCAAGCTGTATAACAGCGGCATCCTTTCCACCTCCGACCCTGGGATTTCCGAAGTTCTGCAAAAGTTTGAGCACAAGAGCGGCCTGGAGAACATTGCCGAGACTCTCAAGGTTAAGCGCATTGGCGCGGCTCACCAGGCCGGCTCGGACTCACTTTTGACCGGCAAGGTCTTCTTCCAGATCCGCGAACGGATTTTTGGCAACGCAATCGCTCCAGAGCACGTTGGCAAGGTGTGGGGTCTTGGTGTTCCCGACGTCATGCCCCATCACCCTCCAACGCCGATCTAGGCGGTCCCAACGGCGCCGGTGCAGCTAAGGGAAACAACGGACCCAGCACCCCCAACACCGGCAGCGTGGGGCTCGCCAGCACGCCTGGCACGGCTCAACATGGTGCTAACGGTGGCCTATCCATGGGACCCATGACCCCCGGCGGAGGCGGCGGCGTCTTTGGCAACTTTGCATTCTCCGGCGCCGGCAGGTAAAGGAGGAGGCGGATGAAGAAGGTGGTGAAGAAGTAGAAGAAGAAGAAGAAGAAGAAGAAGAGAAAGAGGAGAAGAAAAGAGGCGGGTCGGAAGGGAAGGGCCGGGAGTGTGAGAAGAAGAAATGCCCACACATACACACCAGGGAAGATCCAAACGCACCATGTACATCTCGCTTGCTCTTTGTCGGTTTTTTTCCTGTCTCGCGTTCGCCTTTTTTTCTTTTCTTTTTCACAATTATGCGTTTGCATCTCAAGGTCCTGGGATACGGGGCGAGCTTTCCGAGCCTTCTTTGTTTGTATTCCCGCTCTTAGCTTTCTCCATGAAGCTTTCTCGGTTGTCTCTTGCTTTTCTTTTCTTTTCTTCCTATCAGGTTTAGTGTAGTTTAAAGGAGATGACGACGAGCTCATCCCCGCCTCGCACATCAAAGGCATCAATTGATCTTTGTTTCGACTTTGAAGCCTTTCTGGGAAAACACGCGATTCGGTGCCAATACCAGCTCGTCACTTGCATGTTCTCTTCCCTTACCCTTTCGTGATGCTCCCCTGTCCTAATTTGATCTCCTCGTGTTTCTTGGTCTTCTCTCTTTTCCTCTTCTTGCCCGTTCGTTCCTCTTACCACATTTTGGTACGGTTCGGGAAAGAAGTCAGATGTTCGCTGTCGAGATCAAGCGATCTGATGGGGGAGACGCGGGTGCAATATTCTACACCTATAATCTCTTCTAAGCCTGCGTGTGACGTATACCTCTCACCTTGTAATTCAGTGGCACAGTCGCCTAGTAGATACGAACACGAAAGCGGAAGAATAGTGGCAAAGGTCAGTGAGATGGCTGAATGGTATGTAAATCGTAGATGCCTTGCAGTCTATAAATCCCAATCTATGATAACCCAGAAAGAGTTTTTCCTCCCTGGTTCCCCCTAAATCGTAAAATATCCCCCGCACAAAACAGGAGTGTGTTCAGACATCCAATCCCCGACATGTCTGGGCATACATGGTATCCCGATATAGAAAAGAAAGAGTAGGAGAGAACAGAGTCCTCACACCCGCTCACATACCCACACGGTTGACGACATCCAGCGCCCCTCCACCGCGCTCTCCAGCCCGGCGACCCGTTGCTTGAGCCCCTTGTTCTCGTCCCTCAGCAGGCTAACCGTATCCCACGCGACGCTCGCATCGCCTCCCCTGCAGTTCGAGCAACTCGCTAGGGATGCCCTCGCGGAACCCTCTTCGCCCTCACCCGAGATCCCCTTGAAAATCTTTTGCAGCGCTGAAAGGCGCTGAGTCTGGCTCTGTCGCTGCTGTTGCTGTTGCTGCTGCTGCTGCTGTTGTTGTTGTTGTGGGGTGCCGGAGCTACCCCGTGCCCTGGCGAGAGGCATGTTGTTTTTAGGCGGGACCGGGGGTGGTAGGGAAGAAGCAGGCCCGGCCTGGATGGGGAGGCGTCGGGTGACGCGGCGCTAGAACCGGGCGGGACGGGCATTGTAGGACTCCTAGATCTCGAAAAGATGCTCGCGCTCTCGTAGCTCTCCTCGTCCGTCTCAAAACCGGCATCGCCATTCTTCGCCTCGCCGGCTTGCTGGATCCACTTGCGTCTTCTTTGATCGTCATCGGCACCGAGATCCTCGGTAAGGATGGAGCCTCCTTCTTCCTCGCCGGCGGCGATGGGGTCCTCGTTGAGATCCCGTCTGACGAGGACGAGGCCCTTTTCCCTCGCGGCCCGCTCGCACTCTATTCTAGCCTTCTTCTCAGCATTGAGTTCCTCTAATATCGCCGCCAGGGCCTCCTCTTGCTCGGCTGCTCGTCGAGCGGCATCTTCCAACCTCGTTTGCAGGTGCCTCGCGCGGGCCGTCATGCCAGCGAGCTCATCACGCCCGGCTGAGCATTCTGACTGAACTTCGCGAAGGACAGCAGACTGGGTGCGATACGCCGTCTGAAATCGGGCGAGTAGGGTAGTAGCGTGATCTTTGATCATAGATGGTGGCTCGGCGTCACCAAAGACGGTCTCTATATTCATGTTGCAGAGCTCATCGTCGGGGGCGTACGTCGAGGCATTTTGAGTAAAACGTGAAAGGGCGGACATGGAGGAGGCGATAAAGGAAAAGGTCGAGGATGCCGAGGTACGACGAGAAGCTGTCTCGCTCAAGTTACTCGGCGAGCCAACAGTATAGCTCTTTTTAATCGAGCAATGGCAGGAGTGTCTGGTGATGTGGTTATGGTACTAGACGTCGAAAGTATGCGTGAGGATCGAGGCGGCGGGCTCGTATATTCGGTAGTCGAGGAAGGCGTGCCAGCCCACCAGGTACCTATCTTGCCCCGGCGAGCGTCCGGGCTAGCCCGAGGACGGGAGTCGCCGGTGAGAGTCATATCCTTGGTTCCAAGGCCGAGCTTCCACCAGCTAGGTGTTGCAACACTATCGCTCTCGATGCCCGTGGCCGTGTTCTCGGCTGGGGAGGCACCACTCAGAGACAATGGCCTCAGGAAAGTCGCTGCACCAAATGATCTCTCTTCGACGGGTGACTCGGCAGAGTACGCTAGGTTCCGCTCGTCAACGAACTGCGAAAAGCTGGTGCGTCTTTCGCGGACAGGCGTAATGGAGATGGTGGGGATCTCAAGAGACGATGCGACGCGTGTCTGGCTCGGGCACCTATCGTTTGGAACGCAAGGTGAATCGGGCGTGGTAATGACAGACGACCTGTTAGACGAGGGCGTGCTGCTAGTGTCGTCGTTCAAAGAATCTCGGGAGCTTGTGCTCAGAGATGGGGACGATGAGGGCTCGTGAAGGCTCTCGGTGGTCTCTTGTTCCTTTTCTTCCTCTTTCTCGCTTTTCTCGACGGCAGCTTCTTCTACCTTGACTTCTTCTTTTGCTACTTTCTCTTCTTTTTCTTCCTCTTTTGGTCGTGTCAGTGCTAAACCCTGTCGGTGCTGGTCAAGCGTCTCTGAATTGACGTTGCTGCTCTGCACAGATCCGCGGGGACGTTGTTGCTTCTGCGTGTACTTCTGTCCTTGCTCTTGCCCATGCAAACGCACACGCACCTGTCTCTGCAAGGGCCTAGCCTCTGTGCGCGTGCACAGATGGGCGGCAGGACCACCGGCTCGATTAGTGAGACGAGGGCGAGAGTGACGGTTCGAATGCGGCGACGAGCCGGAGCTTAGCATGATGTGTTAATGTTTCGGCCGGCGGGACAGCGAATGAGAATGGCAGGATTTTTGGTTCCTAGGCAGAAAAGAACAGGCACACGCACACCTCTGCTAGGATCGACCCCCTTCTTAGTTGAGCCGGGCGGGCCAGAAGCGTCCGGTTCAAACGCTGGGTTGAGTGGTGGGAAAAGAGAAGAGAAAAAGAATGGAAAGGAGGATGTCAAAAGCAAACGGAAAAATAGGCTAACAGATTGTTTTTTTTTTTTTTTTTTTTTTCGTTTGTCGAGGTATCCTTTTTCCTCTTGTTTCTTTTTTGGTTATTCTTTTCCTCGTCTGCCAGGCGGTTCTTGGTGTTCCTGCGTAATTTCGACCCTAAAATGGGATTTCCCGGATGAGTTGAGCAAGTGTGTTGGTTAGGTTTGCTCCTGCGGCGGGTGTAAGTGTCACGGATTGATGCGATTTGATCGGAGACCAATCCCTGAAGGGACCGAAACCAGGGATCAGAGAGGTGCGGCGATGATCCCCTCCTCTCTCGACCGAACAATCTCAATGACAAGCTGGAATTGGCTTTAATGACAGTACCAAACCAGTTGAGAGAGGCACAAGGGACGACTGAAAATCGGATTCGCAATCCGGCGTCGGAACAGGTTCGTGAGAAGGCGACCGAGACGCTCAAACGGCGGCGATCTCGCCTTCAGGTGAAGAAGATAAGTGGAGGGGTTATCCACGGAATCCTTGTGATTGAGAACAAAGCAGCGCAAATAGGGGAATAGGGTGTCAGACGCTTTAGTTTGGCGAGACTGTAGACGTGAGAAGAAGCCTGAGAAGGCGGCCTCCTACTTTTGTCAAGGCAGAATCAGAGTCGGATAAATTTATCGCGAGCGCGTCTGCGTCCTTTTATCAATCACGGATGAGCGTGGCGCTCCTTCAATTCCTTTCCAAGTTTTATTTTCCATGCAGCAGCGGACAGGATGTGATGCAATCCTTCTCCTCCCAACCGAAAGATGGGATCCAGAGTTTCTCTCGCGCCGTCTTTGGCGGTGCGTACTCGCCAAGGTAGAATTATCGCATGAGAGATGCACGCAGCAGAGCGGGGAAATATAGAAGGTAACACCGGGTGGGTTTTTTCCTTCCTTTTCTCTCTTCGGCCTTGCGTGAATGAAGGTCAAGAATAAAGGTAAGATCGCGAGCTTCGGTTCGAGGTCCAAAGTTTTCGCATGAAGCAAGCCAGAGAGCTTCACTTGCCTCGGCTGGTGGAGCTGCGCGCCGATATTGAACGCTGCAGATCCTCCACAATGCAAATGCAAGATAAGCTGCGGTGTGCGGGAGGGGGAGCGAAGGGTGCCGGGGTCCCAAGCTTTGGAGCTCTAGAGGGGAAGAGTGGAGTGGTATCGTCACCTCAGAAAGAGAGGGGCGGGCCTCACGCTGGAACTGATGGCCTCGTAGCTTGCTACCCTATTACTACCACCGCCTCAGAGGATGGCGTTGATCACCCAAGTCTGTGCGGTCAAGCAGGGGTGGTTGCTCTTCGACGAGGATCGGGTCCTCTCAAGCGGGGAACCTTGATGCGTTGAGATGTCGAGTGATATGTGCCCTGCCTTGTCGCCTACTCACCCAAATTTGGAACGGGCCCAACTTCAAGCCTTGCCCGAGTCGGTCCGGTACGCGAGTCTTCGCTTATCCCAAGGCAACCGAGTGAGGAGAAATCACCCACACTGGATCGTGAGCTTGAGAGCGGTGGTGCAGGACCCAAAAGTGTGGATGCACGTGTGTAAAATGTGGTGGAGCTGTACCCTCGTTAATGCCTCGATTCGCGGGTTGTGCCAGTAGAAGTCCGTAGCCAAAGCAGAAAGGCAAATGTATATATATATATATATATATATATGTGTAAAAGATCAAAGAAATGAAGGCCAAATAAAGGCTGGAGAAGAAATTGGCGGGTCGATCTGCCCCTTGCAGGTATATATTGACGCGGCGAGTTGCGGCGGAAACGGGGAAAGATGGGAAGGAGAGTGAGGGCCACTATATTAACTAACATCGGTGGATCAATGAGCAGCGTCTTCGCCCCGCCGAACCGAGCTCACCACCAACGAGCGAATGCTAGGTACCAGTCGAACAGCGTGGCAACAGGCTGCCAGGGTGGTATGGCTGACGATGGGCAAAAAGAAGGCCCCATCAACGAGAAGAGTTGGCTAGAGGGGCGGGTAGCGTCTAGACTTCCCGTTCACGCTGATGAAGAAACAACATGAAAAAATGAGGGGAACGGGTACCACATCAGTGGGAAACGGGATATCTCCAATTCCCCACTGGAGAAGACCGAAAGGGCCTGAGAACGAGGTGGTGGGGGGGCAACGCCACTGCGAAGGAACTGAGACAACGAGTACTTGATGTCTCCAGAGATAAAACGACGCGGACTATGAGAAAACATCAAGGAGTCTGGTCCCAGGGAGCGGACCTTCGCCATGCGAGGGCAAATGCAGCAAGAGTTCCTCTCTGAAGCCTGGGCTCTAGGGTGGTTCTTGAGCGCCCCGCCATTTTTCGGGTTCTTTCGTTTGTGCCAGTGCTGCGTCTTCGAAAATCCCACGTCCTATCTCTTTTAGGTTGGGCCAGCTCGAGTGGCTTGCGCTTAGGCTCGCCTAATCATGAAGCCTGAGACCTTGGTGGCTAATTCTAGGGTGCCGGGAAGAGGGCTGGATGAGACATGGATGAGAAGAACAACAGTGGTTGAACAGCATGGGATAGAGCAAGATTGTGAAGGGCACAAAGAGCATCAGTGACGGAAACATGAAGGAAGGCTCCTTTCCACTTTCCCATTCCCACTTTTCTTTTTTTTTTTACGAGTGAATGGAAAAAAAAAGAAAAAGAAAGAAAGAGGCAGACAGCGGAAGAAGGCACGACTGAGACACTCCCCGAATGACGAAGCGAGCCGGAATCCACGCCTCTCCCTCACAAGTTTTCCAGAGAAAGAAAGGTGCATACGATAGTATCTCCTAAATAGGATATCCCCATCCTTCTGCAGTCCGGGAAACCATTTATCTCCCAAACCCCAAGTGAAAACATTAAGAGGTTCAAGCTGATTTGCTCGACTAGGGCCCTCGAAGTCTGTGACGTCCGCGTTCAGACGCCACGCTCGACTCTTGTGCATTCACTTTCGCCAGCAGAAACGGTGGCCCCACCCACGCCACACCCTAGCGCCTCGTATCTCCACGAGATAATACCAGCCGAACAATCATACACCCAAACCCACGGACAAAGAATCAATGAGAATAAGAAGGGAGGAGAAGAAGAAAAAAGAAGGAGAGCCAGTGTACCCTGCTCTCGCTAGTTCTCGATCAGGGATACTGACGAAGAAATGAAGAAAGAAGCCCAACCATCCAAGCACAAAGAAAGCGCGCCGCGCTGGGGACGTCCGAAAAAGACGTGGCTCCATTGCTTTTTCCGCCGAGAGCCCCGTCTGACGACTTACATGATGTTTTGGTGACCCAGCCCTCGGGACCTCTGCATGCTGCCTCTGCGTGGCTGGACCACATTCGTCCAAGAACCACGCTTTTACCATTTCCCTCGTCGCGCATCGAAACCCCGTCGGTATCGAGCACGGTGATACGTCCTGATGATAACCTTGACTCACAGGCGTGGTCTTTTCTTGCTCCTTCAGTGATGTTTTCTGTAAACAAAAGCCAGAATACGACACCAATTTTGCAGGTTCACGACGACCTTTTTTTTTTCTTTTTGTATCTTCTCCTGTAAATCCTTGTCAAGAGCTTGCTATGGGGGTTTATATCGATCGCGCGCGTATCTTCGCCAGCCATTTCTGGCCGCGTGTCCCTACCTTTTCTTGATTCTGCCACTCGAGCCGTTCAAGTAGCATGTGCTCTTCATGCCCGATCCAATACTCCCCATCGCGAGAAACGCGGAAAGGACAAACGAACTGCTATAAGCCTGAATTTCTCCAATGTCGTATCCAACACGGCACATCATTCACTTAACCAAGGTTGCTGGTCCTTTGGCACTCTTTCCTCCTTGATTTCGGCATCCCTTCTCTCTCTCGAGTCCTTCAAAACCACGAGAAGCCTGCAACTTATGCTCCGCACACGCTGCCTATCAGATAAAGTTTTGGTATAGTTTATTGGTCGATGGAAGTAGGATCAGCTCGAAAGAGTTCCCCTCACCTGTAGCGAGATCTACACAGCTTTATATGCATTGTCGTAGGAAGGGAGGGTGTGCCCATCAGCTAGCTAGCTATCATGAGCCATTTGCTCGCCCAGATATCCTATTTGAGGTCCATACCTACCAAGGCGTTAGTAAACAGGCAGGAAACAACGCCGAGTTTTTTTACGCTAGCTCGCCAGGGTTTATGCCGCTGCTAGCTTCATTTCACGGCATCTATTCAAAGGTAGGGAACCGGATAGCGAAAACTCAACCCCATTACTATTCTATGGGACTCAGCCTCGCCAAAGTCGACACCATGCTTGTTGACAAGGCTAAAGCATGACTATATCTAAAAGGGTATACTGGATGAGAGCCCGGCATAGCACTACAAACGCTTCACCTCATCCCGTACGTCTATCGGTAAAGTAAGATAAGGATAAGCATACCCTTGGAAAACACTGGCCGAGAATCTAGATTCTTTAGGCGGACATAAGGCTAGCCTTTGCTTTTACTACGGAGGATCCCTTACCCTCTGCAAACTCATTCCCAAGACGCCGTAGAGGGAATTTTCAGAGTTGATAGAGGATATCTCGGTCCCTCCCTGGGTCCAAAGTTTTCGACACCAACAGGCGTAGACTCTACATGTAGCTCAAGGTCACTCCAGCAATGACGGCATTCCCTCTATGCAGTGAAAGAAAAAGGAAAATGATGCTGCACGTTACCTAGACCCTGCAGATTTCACAACTAGGTCGTTTGCAGGTTAGCTTAGTCAACTTACTTTTCCGCCGGGGCGCTGTCGGCGAAGCCAAAACACTTAGGCCACGGCGTATAGAAGAGCAAAGCGTGGAGCGACTAAAGTTACAAAGAGTTCAATGTAGAGGAAGGGACAAAAGATGGGAAGCGTCGTATTCTGTGGATACTAGTTGGCGCTCTTGACAGCGCTCGTCAGGAAGCTCTCAAAGCTCAGCAACAAACATGTGTGTCTCGTAGAAACTCCTCCACCCAAAATCAACACACGCAAGTTCCCGCAGCGCCTTTTGTTGATGCACCAGGATTTAAAAAGAAGAAAAAACAAGAACAAAACCAAAAAAGGATCCTCCCGAGTAAAACCACAGAAAACGACTCTTCCCCCATCAAATGGAGCCCGTCAACCTCTCAGCATCACACTTCGCCCCCATATCCGGGGCTTAGTAGAAGCTTTCTACCATGGTATCCTTGAGTTGAGTGTTGATGTTGCTGGGGCCTGCGCCCTCGCCTAGCCTGAATACGCTCTCCACAACGCTCAACTCCGTCGCCGTGGTATCGAGACCCGTGATGGCGAGCCAGTCGTTGACGACCATGCCGGCGCCGACGAGGTGGCTACCGCGGTTGATGGAACCGGCGACTAGGGGACCTGAAGAAGGGAGGACAGCTCGTCCTGGTCCTGTATCGAGGTCTTGGGGTGGACGAGACCGCCCTGGTTGGAGAGGGACATGTAGGAACCGACAAGCACGTTGTCGGCGACAGTTTGGCGGAAGACTTCGACGCCGAGTACATCGGCGATAATCTCTTCCGTTTCACGCTCGAGGTCGGGGTGGATAAGGGCGATGTGGTCATTTGTGGCAATCACGTTGCCTAGCGCCGATAGGCGCTCTTCTATCCTCTGTAGGGGAGGTGTGTTAGTACCCTTATTCCTAGCTAATCTCGCCCCTTGGGCTGGCGAGGCAGCATGCGGCCGGAAGAGTTCCTTACCTGTATCCGGATGTCATCTGGCAGACTATTCCGGAGATGTTGAAGCTCTTGGTCTGTGGTCGTGGTAGGTACAAGCAGGCCCTTTCGGTTTCTGATCATCCCGTTAGTCTCTTCCTTAGCCTTGTCGCCTTGAGCGCGTTTCGCATCGTTCGACCGACCGAGGTCACCCCAAAGGCAGAGAAGGAACCAACTTACCCAGCTGTTAACCTTCCAACGATCCTCGTTCCAGCGATAGTCGTCCTGCAAATAGGAATGACATCTTGTAGTTCGGCCTCAAACACACTGTAATCCACCATAATATCGTCAGCATACTCGTTCCGCCTTGACATCAGATCATCACTCCCCGCGTCGCGGTCCGCCTCGGAAGATTCCCTTCGTACCTGTAGAAGTTCTCGCTCGCACCAATGGCGACAAGCGCATAAGAATTTGTCAAGGTGGAGAAAACACCAACCCTAGTTATTCCCATTAGCATCCAAATCCATTCTGAATTCCTATTGTCCTTGTTTGCGCCCTCCTTGGGGGCTATCGCACTTCTTCGAGTCGGAGGGGTTCTCGAAGGTGGGGTAGCATGGAGAGAAAGATCAGAAAAAACTTACTCGTTGGAGTTCTCAAACTGTGCGCGCACCGCCATAATGAATTATTATCTCCGAGATACCGTAAAAAGATGAAGATAGAGAAAAAAGGGAGTTTGTAAAACTTGTTGGGCTGTGGCTTCCCTACGTGATCGTGTTCGGGGGAAGCGAGGGGTTGGATTGTTGTTTGCGGAAAGTGCGAATGAATTGTCTGATGGAGGAAATGTGCGGGATGATAGCGGGAGATTTGCTGTTTTTAAACGGGCGACAAATCAATCCGGATTGAGTTCACACAGAGAACCCGAGAGCTCGATTTTTTTCCTTCCCCTGCTGAGAGAGAGCACAAGAGCAAGCGCCGAGAGGGCCCTCTCTCTCCCAGCTTTACAGAAAGAGCTTTCATGTGGGGCAAAACCACGGCCTGGTCAGTCTTAGCTTGATGATCAATCAAAGTAACTGCTTGCTTCGCCCCTTCCGCAGCCTAGATGTCGGTAGTGGACTCATCATCGATCAAAGACGCAACCACTCCGGCTCCCACATTGATCGAAGCAGAATGCGCTGATGGAACCCCTACCGCATTGCCTACCTCCTCCCCTGTCCGACCTGAAAAGCTTGGGAATCTAGGCAACCACCCCACCTAATTCTACCAGCCTCGACCAAACCTCGATTACGATGGTTTGTCTTTGCTAAACAGCACAAGAACCCTACCTTGGCATGAGTGACAGCACTCGGAAATAAGCGACATCTCACATGCATTTCCGAGTCATAAAATCGTTCGGGGGCCTTGTAGTTTCTTCCCCTAGCTTATGACTCACTGTTTAGACGGTTCGACCCTAAGCCGGCCTTTTTTCCTTTTTCCAAGCCCCTTCGCCACACTAGATCTGGCTTTGCCCCCTCGTACATGCCTTCGAGGAGTAAAGATTTGATTAATTCTCGGTATTCTGTTCTGTTTTTCTTCGATAGCTGGCCTGGACAAGGGAACCACCCCTGTAACCTTTTACCGATATGACTCGAATCGAGGCATTGGCGGGAGCGGGAGAGCCGCTTCAATGTTCAATGTTTCGGCGGTGCCCCTCCGGTATCCATCTAAACGCCACCGTTCGAATACTCGCCGCCAAAGAGAAGCAACGCTGCCCCTCCCCGCAATATGATCCAGGATGATATCATCCAAAGTCACTTGAAATTTCCCGACCGTGCCACGCGTGCCTAGCTCTAGTCTCCCCACCAAGCATGTGCTTTGGAAGGCGCTTCACTTCCACCACGAATCAGAGTATAAGTGAGGGTGACATGTTTTGTCTGTTCTGGGTATAGACAAGGCCGCAGCAGTTTTAGGTCCCGGCCTGTGCCTTTTTCCCACCTTCCCGCACTCGCCCTACCCGTGCGTACATCCGCGAGGGAGAGGTTGCTGTTGGCAGAAGCGTCGGCTACGACATATGATGGACGGTCATAGCATGGGGCAACATGGGGCAAGGACATCAAGGTACAAAATACGTATAGATATATAAAGGCTGGGGAGTAGCGCAGTGTGGGGGTATCATTTCAACTATAAACTCTAGACAGCGTTCTGTTGCGTCTCCTGCCCTTCTTCCACACTTGCTACACTAACAAGCAAGTCCCCCAAGATCCCCTTAATGGGCCTCTTCTTGTAGTAAGAACCTTCGACAACCGCAGCGGCACACGGGGTAGGGGAGAGCACGAGACCGCGGGGAAGAAGGAAAAAGGAGGAGGGGGGAGAAGCTGCGATCCGTAGTGAGAAGAGAGAGCTTCAGACAATGCGCTCCCATCGCAAATGCTAAGGGACCTATAAAATTGGTCCTGTGTCCTATCTATCATGCACCCAATTCATGTCGCCTTTCTAACCTAGCTGCATATCCACTATCCTCAAACGCCACAATACGAAGAAGGGCACAAAACGCCCGAAAAGAAAGTGAAGGGGGACTCCTAAGGCAGGTAATGGGCCGAGCAAATAGTTCCCGTATGGTATAGGTTCTGCCAAATCTAGTTTATCCGGTCATGGGAGAAGGAAGGAAAAAGGTGGGGATAAAGAAAAACCAGCATGGACAACATCACGAAAGCGAGGTAGACGGAAAGTAACGGGGCCCTGCGAACCCCTTGGCCATAACCGTCTGGATGTCAATGTTGCTCGACGGGTCGTGGTGAGGGCTCCACATCTTGAGTAGAATGAACCGGCCCGAGATGGGCGTGTCAAAGTGGATTGTGCATTTGCTCCGTCCATTTTCGAGGTTGAATTTGGCATGCGGTACCATGAGTTCGCCAGCCTGGACCGGGGGCCTGTTGAGGCTGGCTCCAGGTTGACCATGTGTCGAGCTCCTCGCCGTTGTTGAGCTGCTCACGTCACCATCATCGAGACCCGCCGCCCGTAAGCTAAAGATGGCTAGGTCGTCGAGGTCGTCAAGGCCGTTGTTGAAGCTGTCCTCGCTATCGCTTTCAAAGGGTAGGATCCCGATGCGGTTAGGCGCACTACGCCCTGCCAGGATGGGTGCCATGTTCTCATCATCACTGCATTCCGTTGTAATATTGAAGGCCGGCAGTGCCGTTCTGGAAAATTCTCGCGGCATACGCACAGACTGGGCGTAATCACTTGGATCGGCTCGTGTATTGTCTGCGGGGGCCAGTAGATCATCATCTTCATCCTCATCATCGTCATCATCATCTTCTTCTTCCTCCTCCTCGTCGTCCTCTTCGTCCTCGTCGTTATCGCGGTCATATTCTAAACCGAGATCGTAGTAGGAGCTTCGTCGCCTTACTTCCGGCGGTTCTCTTTGCCGCCACGCCATAGCTTCGGTCATGCTCCGCAGAACAGCGTTTTCGGCCCGATCTTCGCTGCCACCACTGCTATTTCTTGTACGCGACCTGCTGCCGTACTTGATTTGGTACTGTGCCGTTCTCGTAAGTCGGTCGTCGTGATGCATCGCGACAAATACCATCCCCTGACGAACCCTGAACCAAGAGATGAGAGAGGTTAGCAATCTGTAATGGGTTTTCGATATCGCTGCCCTGGGCGGAGCTCGGGATCAACTCTTTCCCCAACGTCTGCCGCCAAAGCTAAGCTCTGATGACCCAGGTAGTTACCGAAGAGAAAAGATTGAAAAAAAGACTTACGGAGATGAATAATCGGATCCTGGTGCCTTGATGATGAGATCCGTCAGGTTAAATACTGTTGCACCTTGGTGGCGAAGTACGATATTGCACCGGTTCCCCTTAGTGCAATAGACCGAAGCATCGTTCCGAAGTATATTTTCCGCCGCGTAAGAATCCTGTCCAAGAACATACCGCCGTCGCAGCTGACAATCTCCATGGTCAGCGTGCCCGGCTCCACCTGGCCGAATGTGCCATATCGAAACCCCTCAAAATCTGGCACGAGTCGGTCACCGTCTACCCTGCGCCGTTTCGTGCGCCGAGTGTCCTCCAGGCTATCCTGCCGCCGCTGGGATGAGGAAGCCATGTTTAGGGTCGGCTGCACCTGTGTTGGCGAGTCGTGGCTACCGCTGCTTCCGTAGCTCACTGCGCTGAGGAGGGGTTGCCGTGGACCTGTTCTAGTATGGCGCGTAGATGGAGATGCGCGTTCGCCTCCTCCCAGCTCTGGCTGGCTTGGTGCGGGCGTCGATCGGTGTAAAATCGCGAGAGGGAGCTGTTTCGGGATGAGGCCCTCTGCCTCGAGGGTCCAGCGGGTACCCTATGACGTCGGCTGCCGTTGCCGCCAGGGCTGGGTTCGCGGGGGAATAATGATCGAGTCTCGACCGCTGGGCACGACGAACCTCAGGAAAGGGAGGCTCGAGATATTGATGCGAGGGAGGGTGGGAGGCAAGTCTTGCTGCTGTTGATCGAGCGGAGTTCGGCGATGATTTGGATTTTGGTCTGACGACATGATTAAGCAAAGCCCTTTTGGCAGGTGCGGTTGTGCACCAAAAAGGCGGTTGGAGGCAGTGATGTGCGGAGTTGGTTGGTGGGCGGGTGATGAGGTTGTGGAAAATGGGAAGGAGGGACCAGTGGGAGACCGAGCGGTGGGGTGGTAAGATAGCCCAAGCTCAGGTCGGGTGCCTTGCCTTGGGGAGACAGGCAAGGATCAGGATGGCAAAACCGTGCCAAGATCGACTTTTCGTTGGTGAAAATCGACACGATTGAATAGTATTGCCTGGCTAGCACTATGTACCCCCTGGTCAGCAGTCAGCTCGCCAGGTGACAATTAAAAGGTTCGTCGGGAGGGCGGATTGCGACGGGGATTCGGCTCGACTCTCAAAGTGTGGCTTCGCAGTTCAAACTTTCTCGCACGCCGCCGAGCCTCACTTTGACTGATCCTCCGAGTATGAGAGCCGTGCAAGGAAAAAAAGAAAGGATTCCGGGACAAGATAAAAGGCTAAGGTGGAGAAAGTGGAGGGGAAAGGGGGAAGAAAAACCAACCTTCTAATGATGATTGTTCGTTTTTCTTTCTTTTTAATCAGCCCTCGGGTCGCACGCGGAGCCTGGGTTTGGTTGCTGCTCGAGCTACTCAATTCGACTGAAGGAGGGGATGAGGAATAAGCAAGGCGGGATCGTTTGCTTATAGAGATCGGAACTGACAGCGCGCCAGGAAAAGGCAGCCTCGAGAAGGGAGGGGTAGATAGCCCACTAGCAAGCGGGCAGGCTTTGAGGCGCTTGTCGGAAACTGTTACTGGCCCTTGGGGTGTTTACTCTGGCGACCGTGCCGATTCGACTTCAAGTTCTGTGATGAGCGGAAGCAGCTGGGCGCGTACAATTCGTCGACGTCCGGAAGGCGGATAGCTGGGAGAGATAGAGAGAGAGAATAAAGAGGAAAAGGAAAGAAAGATGGCTTCGTGCTTATCTCCAAGTACGGACTCTACCTTTTCCCTCTCTTGCGTTCGAGTGCCGCGTTCCACGTTTCTGCTAAATCGCGAGGGGTGCCAGGTCGACGGTACACATGTGACGGAAGTGGTATTTTCGACAAAAGGATGTGCACCTTCTAGGGACGACGGGGCGGAGGTGGGGTGGAGAGGTGGGCAGCTAAACTCCAAGATCAGGAAGATCGGTTAGAACTGATGTGCAAGCTGAGTACCAATTTAGGACGATAAGAGGCCCAGCGAAAGCGAGAGCTGGGAGGGTGGGAGGAGGAATAGTCAAGAGGGCCAGCACCTACAGGGTCTTTGATTTTCGCGCGTGACCTTGTGTCGCTCAATGGTGCTGAGGGGGGATACCACCTTGGGAGAGGGCGCGGAGCGTGTGGGATCAGAAGGGTTATATCACAAGAGTATCGTCATCGAGCCAGCGGGGTATCCGGATGCGCGTGGTGGCTAAAGAAAACGTGGGAGAGGACAAGGCACCGAAGCTTCGAAGCCGGTAACGGGAAAATGGACCGACGATGGGCCAGAATGAGCGTCAGAGTGTGGGGCGGGTGTTGCGAAACGGACCAAAAAGGAAGAAACAGCTCTTCTTCCCCGTCAGGGTGCGGGATAATGAGCTCTCTTCGGTTCGACTCTTGGAAGACGCACCGGCCCGATCTGCCAGGTATACAAACACAAAGAAAACGGTTGCTGTCGCGCAGTTGATCGAGGAAACAGCTCTGGAGGCGGATTCGCTGTAAAATACCAGACTGCTGGCCAGGGACACTCTCGAGGGAATGGGTGGACGGGGCCTACAGAGTGGGGAAAGCTCCAGTGGAAACTACATTTGATGTAGATGAAATAATGGGAAAACGAACGTTGAAGTTCACCAACAGTCAAAATGGTCTTACTGGGGTTTACCTTGCTTTCTACGCATCATCATTCATCCCGGCCTCAAGCCTTTCCTAGCATGGGTGCTCAACCAGGAGTGCGACATGAGCATCATCAGTCTCAATCTTCACTGTCCGTCCGCCCCACGAACCTGTTCCTGGCCTGGATCATGACCAGAGTAGGCTCGGATAATAGGATGGAAGGAGAAAAGAACAGCCCGGCGTCAGGCAAGTTCCCGGTTTTATCTAGATGGGCCTAGCAAGCAGGAGCTGCCTACAGATCGATGTACCCGCGCTGCAGCGTCCCTCCACGTCGGTTCTGAAACACTCTACGCCATTCTCGGCGAACATGTCCGACCCACACGCAGTTTTAAAATAGACGTGGAGTAATTGGCAGGTTTCACGGACTCTAGAGATTCGTGATTGTGAGCTGTCCTCGACGATCAGGAACATTCAAGGCAGGTTCAAAAGATCTTTTGCCCGTTCATTCTTCTTCGGAATGCAACTTCTCAGCGCAGACTAGGAATAGTAGCCAGTTTACTAGCGCTAGCCAAGCCAGCGTAGGAAAAGCGCCACAGTAAGCTCAGGTCCACTGTGGCACGACCTCGCCCATAGACGGAATGGGAAGGGGGGTAATTGTTAAGAAGAGACCCAAATTCATGTGACTGATCGCCGCGCAAGTGTAGTACCTCTTAAACATCCCAAGGCTGGAAGCTTTCAATGTTGCTTTTTTCTGTGTTAGTCAAAAGCAATTGAAGCGCAAAACGCAGCGCAGCACCCACGACATAATAATAGCTAGCTCACGGCTACCACCCAACCTTGAGACCAGTGCCTGGAGGGACCTTTTTGTTTGAATTTGGCCCCAGCAACCACCAGCCTCGTCGCATTTTCTACCCACCTCCCACCTCACCCAACGAGAATACAGGGCTGCAGACGCCGTGCGCGCCAACAGCGTGAAACCCCAACACTCATATCAACGACGATAGAAAGAATTCCTTGTACCTTGCGGAGGAATTCCATTGCCTTCCTTCTCCGCCCTCGATTACCTTCTTTCCACACTTGTTCCCCTCCACCCCCACCTCGAGCGGCTTCCAGCTCAAAAGGTTCTTTGGGGAGGAGGAGCTTCAACCTTCCCCAACCTCGGCGCTTGCTCCCCAAGAAGGAAGCCTCGTCTCCTCCCAACTCTCTCAAAAGCCTTCCTTCCTCACCCGACCTCCCACGACCCTCGACGCGCTCCTACCCCCGACTACCGATTGCGATTACGCCCAGCACGCCCCCGATACTGGCTTTAGAAGCAACTAATTTCAAGCATTCTCTCTGGTCTTACAAGAAACGCCGCCTACTCCTGGCTCCCTCGCAACATACAACCATACTCTCACAATATCTAAAGTCTTTCCCCAAGATGGAGCCCACGCAAAGCAACGGCACTACGGTCATCAGCGAAGGTACGTCCGCAAACGCTCCTCTCTTGCCCCTGCGTTTTCATTTCCTCTTCCCCCGAGAATAGAATTTCCACAAGCTCACATCACCAACCCCACCCATCCTCATAGATGAAATCGCCCTATACGACCGCCAAATCCGCCTCTGGGGCCTCCAAGCCCAAGAAAAGATCCGCAAGGCCTCCGTCCTCCTCATAACCCTCCGCGCCCTCGGCAACGAAATCGCCAAGAACCTCGTCCTCGCCGGCATATCCTCCCTCACCATCCTCGACCCAGCCCCCGCCACCCCCACAGACCTCGGCGCGCAATTCTTCCTCAACGCCTCGCGGTCCGAGGCGGCGGCAGCAACGCCGTCCGCCCCCAGCGAGGAGCAACCACAGGCTGGCGCATCACCAGAGGCAAACCTCGACGGAAGCTCGCAACAAGACCAAGCCAACAGCGACCCCATCACCGCCGGCCAAAACCGCGCCTCCGCCTCCGCCCCCGCGATCCAGAAGCTCAACCCCCGCGTATCCGTCAAGGTCGACCCTTCGGACCCTTCTTCCAAGGACGACGCCTTCTTCTCCCAATTCGACGTCATCATCGCCACCGACCTCCCCGCCCCAGACCTCCAACGCATCAACGCCGCCGCCCGGCGCGCCGGCAAGGCCTTTTACGCCGCCAGCCTCTGCGGCATGTACGGCTTCGTCTTCGCCGACCTCGGCGAGCACGAGTACGTCATCCAACGCGACGCCGGCAACGTCGCCACCCGACCCGGCCCCGAAACCCGCACCCGCGCCGTCCTCGACGTCCGCACGAAAAAGGACGGCCCCCGCACCGTCGAGTCCGTCACCAAGCGCGAGATCTACTCCCCTTTGCCGACGCCTGCCTCGCCGGCGCCCTCGCCCCGACTTCGCCAAGAACAAGCGCCGCCTCCGCGGCGTCACCCCGTCCTCTCCTGCCTCCGCGCCCTGTGGTCCTTTGTGCCCGCGTCCTCGGACCCTCCCGCCGCCGCCGCCGCCGCCGCTGGCCAAGACGGCGCCTCCACCCACGCCTAGACAATCGCGCCGATCTCGCCGCCTACACCCAGCTCGCCATGGCCAAGCACGCCGAGCTGGGCTTGCCCGCCGAGACCCTCACCTCTGGCGTCATTCGCCAATTCCTCCAGGGCGTCGGCTGCGAAATCGCCCCGTTGCCGCCGTTCTCGGCGGCCAGCTCGCCCAGGACGTCATCAACGTCCTCGGACGGACCCAGCAACCCATCCAGAATACCGTCGTTTTCGATGGCGATAGGATGGAGGCTCAAATGTACGCCTTGCATCCGCCTAGCGAGCTTGGTACCCGCACCAACGGCGCAACCAAGAGCGAAGGAGTGGCCGCGAATTCCGGGGTAGCCACAGTCGAAATAGAGGATTGAGAAGGAGAGAAAGAAAGAAAAGATCAAAAATAAGAAAATAAAGGCGGAAAAGAAGGTCAGGTAGCTTAGCCTTCGGGTCAGTTAGGAGTACCGTGCGGTCTGCCTGATGATGTGGAGCCGTATATCTCGGGCCGCCATCAATTCAATAGAACCCAACGTCTTTTTCCCATATTGGCTTCATTAGAATACCAAAGTAGTCGAGACCCGTAACTTACTGGCCTGGGGCTCCCTCACTCGAGCATGTCACACAAAGCGAGGTAGGAAGAGAAGCTGAATCTTAATTGCTTCCAAGATTGATACACGAAAGAATCGATTGTCTATTATAGGCTGACTGAGTCCTGCCTGTGCGTTGAGAAATCCTTGAAAATGCCAATCACGCGTTTTGCCTTGGTAAAAGTCGATGCATGTCCTCCTGTCATCGTTTGCAGCGTCCAAAGAAACCCCCAAATACCCCGATCCCTAGAGAAACAGGTACGGGAAAACAACAACTCAAATGAGAAGAAGTGAAGGCGGGAGAGTGAAACTAAAGTAAAAGCAGCCCCTGAGTTGTAAAGTGGTGTTGTACATGTTCTTCGAGCTCGCCCTCCGCCGAGGTCGCTATGCATAAGAATATCAAAAATCAAGAAAAGACAGACGAAAGAAAAAAGAGAAACAAAAGAAGAAAGGTTGGCAAAGGCAGAAACAAAATTGTATAGCCATGCTCTTCGCCAGTTTCTCGATTCACTGAGCTTGTCAGTCGTGGTACATATTAAAGAGAGGATAGGACCCAAGCTTCACAGGCTGGTCCCAACGTAAACATATTCTCCCTTGGGAAACGAAATAGACTTTTAGGGGTCCGAAACGCCTTCGAAATGCAGGAACCGACTACGGCGATGCCGTTTTTGTTAGTCGCATAAGTTCCAAAGATGGACGCACAAAAGAATGAGGTGAAAGAAAAAAAAAGATGGGCCGTTGGTGCGGGACTAAGAGCGAGATAGCCCACGTCAGGTGCACCCCATTCATAAGTCGAGTATTTTCCGCTCAGCTTAATGGAAGGGCTATCGGGGTGCTCTATCATTTGCAGTCGAGGAGGTAGATATGTGTTGCCGACGAAGCTTTGAATGGGCGCCATAGATCTATAGATGATAAGATGAGTCCGCAGAGTACTCAAGGCGTCTCTTGCTTCTTTCGAAGTCGCTCGGAGCGCCTCGTAGAGCCAGAAGGAGGAGATGTAGGGGCGGGGTTGGAGCTAGAGGAGTTTCCTCGATGTGAGCGCTACGAGTAGGGACAAAGGGTTTGCCAGCGACTCTTGTGATAACAATCTTGGGCCTTGGCTTCGTAGCCGTCGTTTTCTCATCGTGGGATGGGGCCGGCTTGCATCCCTGATCGTTCTTCTGCTGGTCTTCTTTGCATAATGCCGCCTTCGACACCTTCCCCTTTGTGACAGGTGCTGAGGCTGACTTCTGGTCTGCAGAGATTAGATTAGAAGATGGCTTCCTCGGCATCTTCCTTGTTTGCGTATCCGCCTCGGCCGTCTTTCGACTCCGCGGCCTTTTCGACATGGCCCTTCCAAGCGTTCTAGACGAGCGCGCTGCGTCTTCACTATTCGCAACCGTTGGAGAATTGTCGCCTTCGTCTTCTCCACCTTCTGCGCGGCGGTCCAGGGAAAGATCCGGATATAGATTGCGGTTAGGATTCTAGCCTGACCCGTCCTTGTCTTCTCTTCCAGGTCGCGCGCGCTTCTTCGCACTATTGTTGACATTCCAGCCTCGAATAAATGTCGGGCCACGACCGGGGAGAGGCTCAACGGCGGAATAGTCTTTGATATCCTCAGAAGGATCATACCGGACAGTCCGGAGCTGGGGTTCATTTGCCCATCCCATCCTATGAGGTGGGATTGGGGCGGCTCGAGCTTTCTGTACTTGCTATTTGCGTGGGCTTGCTGTTGTTGCTGGGACGAGCCAGGAGGCGAGCCTTGGAATGGGGGCGTGACCTAGGACTTGCCTCTGGGGAGAGCCGATAGGAGGAGGGATGTGACCTTGGCTCAGAGTGGAATATGGTGGTTGAGTCGGAGGGTAAGCCCCGGGGGCACTACTCGGGCCATAGTAAGATTGCATTGGCGGCGGGTTTCCGGGTATTCCCATGCCACCGTGCTGCTCCTGGGGGGCGGGGGAGGAGGGAAGCTGTTATGGTACGGTCGTGCGGGCCCAGGCGGGTAAAAGGTACCGGCATTAGATGCAACCATACTTGGGTGGGGCATCGTGGGAGGACCAGTATAGAAAACCTGGGGATGGCCCATCTGGCGGGGTGGCCGCAAGGGCGGTAGGCCGGTGGTCGAGGGCCTAAGCGGCGGGGAAGAGGATGCGTGGTATGGCGCCTGCGAAGGCGGTGGCTGTCGGTGACCTCCGTAGTGAAGTGGCTCTGAGGGAGGGGGCCCCTGGCCGTGTACTTGACCGGAGGGGCCAGCCACCATCATCTGATTTTGCATGCCCATGGGCGGCGGGGGATGTGAGCTGTAAGGACCAGGAGGCTGGTGGGGCGCCATGGGCGGCTGATCGTAGAAATGCTGCTGAGGAGGTGGCGGGTTGGGAACTCGGAGTCGCGGGTCAAGATACGGGTCCTCTTCTACGTGAGCAGGCATGGGCATTGTGGAAGCGCCTGGATCCAAAGTCATGGGGCCAATAGATCCTACAGGAGGAGGGGGACCTGGTGCCGGTTGACCATATCGTATCCGGCGCTAGGGTCGTGGTGAAGTAGATGGCCGGAGCGGGTTCGGCTCGTAGTATAAATGGGCTCCTCAAAGAGGGGCGGGGAGCAGTCGCGACCGCAGTATCGGCGATTCGGGGTGGGACATCAGAATCCTCTGCTAGTTGTGCTTGTGACTGCATCGGCCTCGGCTCCCAGTTGCAAATCTCAGCGAGAAGTGCCAGGTGGAATGGCTGGGGCTCGGGTACGGGCTGTGTGGGTGCTGAACTGCCAAAAACATCGCGAATGGCATCATATGGTCTAGATACGGATTTGGCACGCGCGGAATTCACCGTAGTATCCTCTGCAGAAGCGAGGATGGCGGCATTGACGAGAGCGGAAAGGGCCTTGGGCGTTTCGATAACATCGTCGACTTCGGCAACTGGTTCTGGGGAAGATTCCTCTTCGGGCTCCTCCACGGGCAAAGGCGACTCCGGTTCTTCGTCGTGGGCGGGCTCGAGAAGACCAAGCGAAGGACCAGCATATTTCTTGGGGATCGCTTGGTCCTCGTTGATTCTTGCCTTTGGGAGCCTGAGCCCTTTGTTGACTTCGACAAATTCCCGCATGACGGGCTCCAACGTCTTCCGTATCAGGTAATTATCCGCAGATGTTGCGACGGAAGTAGTCGTGTGGGAGCGGCAAGTATGCAGCGTCAGCCCAGAGGGGCTGATTAGGATTATAGGCATGGGATTCTCGCAGATTGGGGCCTGGGGTTCCTGCTCATTCACGCTGTTCTCGATGAAGAAGCCGTACCTAGGATGGAGGGCATGCCTTTCAACCAGATCCTGATTAAGGTCAGTCTCTGACTGGCAGCGGACGTCGTAATTCCAGAGAAGAGGATCGTAATAGAAAGCGTTGGTGTTGGGGGTGTTGAGGTATTTCCCTCTGCCCGCAGGGTTTTTGATCCTAGAGCCATCATTCGTAGAATCCTTGAAACCGATATCGATGTCGTCGAAATGGAAGGCAGGTTTAACAGCAATTCGGTTGTTCGCTTTAGGCCCACGCTGCACCGGGGCGACACCGTACTCGTCAAACTCGGCCTGGCCTCGAGGCGGTTCAGGGACCGCTGGCGCGGGTCGACGGTGGTGCCGCTGGAGTCGTCCGGCTTGTCGTCCTCGTCAGGGTCTGGGGAGGCTCGCGGTGTTGCGGCAGCCGACTCGCTGGCGCCATCGTTGTCAACAGCAGCGGCTAGGATGCCCATAATGTGCCTAGCAGGTGCGTTGACCGGCTCCTCAGAATACGAGGCGAGATCGCCGGTGTCGGCATCATCGTCATCATTTCCAGCTCGAGCCGCGCTCCTTGTCGTGGGCCGCTTGGCTCCAGGCTGGTTGTCAGGTTGGAGTTGGGCCCTGCGCTTGGCACCGGTCAAGCGGCCACGGATCGCAGCAGCCCGGAGATCGCGCTCCCTCTTCACCTTAGAGCCGGCATCTTGAACAGGCTTTGGGGCGTATTGGGCGAGCATCATTTGCGCCTTCTCGTACATATCCGTGCCGGGTACACGGGAAGGGTAAGGTGCCAAGATACCATCCTTGGTATAGGCGGAATAAACGCCCCGTTCTTCATACTCTTTCTCAGACATCTCCTTGTAGACGTACGAGTTGTCACGAACCTAAGGGCAATCGTCAGCTACGCTAGGACAAATGCGTTTAGACAATGATCCAATACTCACATCAGGCGCCACCCCAAGCTCATGCATCTCCTCAAGGAGGCGGACGCGCTCGAGCTGGGCGTCATAGAAACGGTCAAGAATGTCCTCAACCCCATTCTATTGGTGACACGGTTAGCAAACTGGTAATGGAAGTGATAGCAAGAGTGAGGCAACAGCAACTGTGAAGTGTATGCCAGTGTTGTTGAAGAAGACGGCAGAAAGCCAGAGATGGGTGAGTGCGGGTGTGCCGGCAGAACTTGCGGTGGTGACCCACACGCCGGTCTTGAGGGCAAGGGGACAAGGAAAATTGAGAACGAAGGAGGAGGCACCTACCTGATACTGAAGTTCTTGGAATTCGGCATACTTGCCATGAGACCTTTTGATAAGGTCAAGTTTCGTTTCGAGGACCTCTTTGGCGTTGTCCACGACCTTGGCCAACCTCGCATCAAGCTGACCTTTGATGGCGCGGTATTCAGGTACAGTCTTGTGGACGGTGGAGTCGTTCTTTAGTTTGTCGATATTTCGAGAAGCAAGCTCTTCAAGAGCAGGTTTCACGTGGGATATGATGGATAGATAAGCCGTCTTCACCTCTCGCTGGCGTTCATACGCCGCCTGCACGAGCGGATCATTGTACTGCTTGATACGGCCACGACGGCCGGTGGGGATAGGTTTCTTGACAGCAGTCGTCACCTTTGGCTTGGCGATAGGTTTCCTCTTGCCCCTGCCTTTGCCGCGACCGCGTCCACGGCCTTTGGTAGGGGTGTCCATGGGAGCAGGTGAGGAGGGAGCGGCATGCTCCTCATTCTTATCCTGGTCACTCATGATGGCGACAGTGACTCCTAGACCATAGATATGGTGCAAGGAGTCAGGTGGGATAAGAAAGGTCGAAAGCAAAGGGAAATGATTAACTAAGTGTGCCTCTGACGAGAGGATGAAGAAAATGAGATAAGGTTCAGTGTGAGGGGGATGCGGACGTGAGGAGGATGAAGCCGAGGAGACGAACGAATCTCCGAGAAGAAAGATGAGATGTTGTGGGAAGGGCACGCGGCAAGGAAGGGATTGGGAGAAGAAACGTGACTGGATCTAAAAGTCGATCCGAGGGCATGAAAATTGAAGAGGGGAAAGGGTTGAGGATGATGGCTATTGACCCGATTCAAGTCTTTTGCCTGAGGGTGGATGTGATATGAATCTCTGCCTAGGAGATTTGTATAGGAGTGAGGCGTGTGTGTGTGTGCGTGTGGTTGACAGAGCGCGCCCAGCAGAATGGAGCAGATGCCAAAACCGCGCACACAAGATGAATAGAGAGGCAAAGGAAACAATAGCCGCACTTGACGATGACGATGAACACCTCCTCTAAATGACGGCAGAGGAGGAGCGATGCGGCGGATGCATCGAAATGGTCTTTTTGAGACTTGGGGTGAGAAGAGATCAATGCTCGGGATGGCTGAATACCAGACAGAGTCTGAATGAAGGGTACAAGTGACAACGAGCAAGGGACGCGGCTGCCAATGGGCTTCAAAGCCAGGCAAAGACTTCAGATTGGCAGTCGCCAGCGAGGGCACCAAAGAAAATAAGGGAAGGAGGTACTTGTCGAGAGGTACCCAATCCGTCGAGCCTGCTCTGGCCACTGTGGCACCGATGCACTGAAGGACCCACTAATTGCTGCCAAATGCGGCCCTGTCGAGGTAAAATTGGCGTTGGCGGTATGATGACTAAGAAGGTTACGAATCGGGAAGTGACTTGTGCTGCGCGTACCCGCGCCGTCGTCAAAATTTCGGGGGCCTACAAATCTGGTAGGTTTAAAGGAGGAAGAGTATCGTCCCATTGGCCCGGCTCCTTAGTAAGTCCGGGTCACCTCCCCTCTGCCTCCCCGTGATTGGCCAACCCATCACCTCCACAGCAATGAGACAGGCAAATGGAACGCTCTCTTTTGGGGTGAGAGCGAAAAGAAGAGAGTTGGGAAGGCATGCGCAAACCGAGAACGGGCGATTTCTCTGGGCGTGCAAGATCTATTCTCACTTTCTAAGAGACTCTCCCTTGCCCAAGGTGCCTAATTTTCGCCTTTTGAGGAAGAGCATCTGAGGGAAGGGCGGGGGCAAATGCCATCCTTGGGTGGTCTCGTAAGATTACAGCCAATGTAAAATCCTGCAGCGTGTTATCCATCCAGCGTGACTTAGCGTCGAGGGAGGAAATCCCAGATGCCTGCGAACAACCACACATCATCTAGCGATGGATCTCCTCCAGACTAATACTGAGAGCCCGACCGGACTTTTCGTGTAAAGGGCCGCAAGTTAATATCACGTTTGCGTATACTGTAATCTCTACAAGCACCAGGCTAGCGTTCAACGATGGAATCAGCTCAAGACAGGCCTTGACGTGTCAAAATACGGCTTACCCCGGCTCCTAAATGCTGACTTCGTCCCCCAGCGCGTGCCCTTCAAAAGCCGTCTTCGTGCATTTTACTCGGTCTTGATTCATTTCACCGACCGCTCTAGGGCGCCTTCTAAAGGACTCTACCGAGCGAGTCGGTGTCCTCGCCCCCAAAGTCAAAGTCGACGCAACTACATCGTTGACTACCGAGGTCCCCGCTGCATAAATCAACCTTGCTCGCGTGAAGTCCAAGGCGAGACATGGGGCTGTCGATTCAAGAAGTGATAGATCTCTCGTCCCTAGAGAGGCCTCATGCCATCTTAATTCTGGCATGCCGTGAAACTTGAATCTTTCGCTCGTGCCTCACGGCACACCACCTTCTAATTCCGAATCAGAGCATTCTCCGCGTGAGGGCGCGCGCCCAATGCCTACATCACACAACGATGGAGATATTTCAGTGACGACGGAGAAAAGGAGTTACCCATAGAACTAGGAAATACACATAGGCCTTGATCAACAGCGATAGCTTAGGCCCGGTCCGGATGCTGAGGGCTTGGTTTGCCTGCTCGGACCGTAGCGCTTTTTCGGCCCAGACTTGATGTGTGTTTCGCCTTGTCCTACCGCGAAATCCACCCTAGCCTCATTTCCATTCGAGAAACCAAAAAGAACAATACATCCCCCATGAAAATCATGCTTTGTCTAGGTATTCATCGGCGAAAGGTTGCAAATTCAAGGCTGCCTAAGGGGCCTGTCCCTGGTCACGCTGATGAGTCGCTCGCCGGTATGCCCGCTTCATCCGAAGGATCAGGTAGCACAGCAGCTACAGCTGGCTGAACCTTAGAAGAGCGCAGCGAGGAATTCCAGCTACCCAGTCTCGGGCTCCTGTGAATCGGTTTCCTCGCATCATTTTCTTCTTCCCCAATATGAAGAATAGGCAGGAAAGGGCTCCAGCGTTTGCCACTGCACATGCCCATTTATCAGGCAAAACGAGGGAGCGCAAACCCAACATGTCGACATACCGCATTCAGGCTCCAAAGCGACTTGACGGCTCCTTTTTCTCTGCTCGGCCCGCCTTGATTCTCTCGAATTTCGATCAAGTAAATCTGTTGTCATCAATAGATCGGGGTTTGGTCTTTTCGCCTCGTTTTATCCACGTCATCAGCCATTGCGGCTGCCCCATTCAAGGGAATATCGAAGCCTGCTCTTGCTCAAGCGTACCATGCTGTCTGGGAGTGTTGTACCTATGTTCACTAGCTGGTGTTAGCCGTAAACCTGGCTCAAGTCCAATTGATTAGGGTACAAGCAGCCAAGAAGGCGGTTGACCCCCAAAGGTCGTCGTCCCTCCGTACCTCCCGAAATCTCCCCACAGACCCACAACTGGAGAACATTAGTACTTGCCCGCCAAAACTTGACCAGCATTCAGTACATTGCCTGTCGCCCAGATTCGATGGTGTCAAAGGTATTGATGTATTATTATTGCGCTTCCCGAAGTGGGCGCATGCACGACTTACACTCCCTCTCAGGGTTTTTCTCAATAATACTGACCAGCCACTATTAACACACCCCTGTGCTGGTTTCCCAAGAAAGGCGCCTTTGCGCTTCCACCCGAGCCCCCGTCCCGTCCGCGTTCCTCCCGCTGCCTATGAGAGTACACACTGCATGGGCAATTTTTCTTTTGGGGGACTGCGAAATTTTCACTAACACCAGACAGTCAGTTACACTGCAGCCATCAACTCCAGCTTTTTTCATAGGGAGAAAAGTTCAAAGGGAAGGAACCAATTTTCAGCCCACGTATTCCAGGCATACGGATGAGGGGACACAGCCAGGCTATAAGGGGTAAATCAGGTTGCAACTAAACCGAATCGATCAAATTCGATTCCCTTGAGCTATCATTGTCGGTCCACTTGACACCAAAGCATCACACTTAGATGTTCGACATGCATTTGCTAGGATTACACACATCGGTACTAAGAACGCCGAACGAGGAGACGCGTCGCCTAAATGCTCCGAGGCTACGAACATGGCGTCCAAGGGAGGGACGACTCTTCCCACGCGACAGGGTCCCCGGTACATGTACCATTTGGAGCAAAAGCTGAAGGCGTCTTTCTAGTTCTTCGTTGTCTCGCTATCCGGGGCGGTGGATTTGCGCCCTGTGGCACCCTTCGTTTATTGTGGCTCTCGCGAATGTGGCGCGATACGACTCGAGTGGCGGCCAGAATTCATACCACATCCCGAGATACGTCCGGCAACACCGGTTTGATTCCAGAACAAGAAAAGGAGAAGGAGAGGGAGAAAAAGAAAGAAAAAATGTGAATGCGAAAAATAAAGAGAATCAAAAGGGAAACTAGATGGGAGAGACGAGACAGAGGAGATGGACGCGGAAGTTGGCTTGGTAGGAGAGGTTCTTATTCACGTGTGAGCTGTGGGTGGCTTTGTTGTGGCATCAAACACTCTCGACATCGATTCGAGGAGACTTCCACAAGCATATAAACTAGCCCGAGTTTGCCTCTAGTCTCTCTAGGGTCTCTATCCTTTCCCTGCCCTTGATAACTGCTCCTTCAAGCGTGTCCTCTATACTCCTGTTTGACGTGATTCCAGTGTAGCCTCCCCTCCATGTGCCTGCCATGAGACTGAAAATCGCCTGCCGGTGTTGGAATCATTTTTTTCTTTCACTCTTCATTACCTATCTATATGAAGGCCCATGGCCCATCCATACTGAGCCATCAACCACACCAGAAAAGCAAGGCAACTTAGCATTCCATTCTAATAGGAGGTAAGGTATACATAGATATCTATTCATAATCCTCATAGTCAGAATCATAAAGAATGACGATGTAGATGCCTAAGACGCTGGGGTCTAGCTGGGGTCTAGATCCCCCTAGATGCGACAAATGAGTGTCTCCAACTCAGGCAGATATCTTCGAGGACATCCCATATCAGGCAGGGTCAAGTTCACAGACAGGATCCTATCAGACAGCCTAAGCCAAAAGCCATGTATTACGATACAAATCTCATTTATCCATTTATCTCTCTTTACAAGCCAAGACCTCTCTATTCCTAAACAACGACACCCATCCATCATATAGTAAACCCCCTCATCAAGGGAGTTAGATCGTCCCAGCCCGGCCAACTCCCTTGTGGTGAAAAGCAAGCATAGCCGTTCAACGATAAACGCAGCGGGATGCTTAACTCAGTATACGCCAGCTCTGATTTGATACCGTGAAAAATAAAATGTACATAGCTAGCCGCATACCTTCAAAGTTCTTCTGCCTCCTTCTGCCTCCTTCCCACTCGCTCTTCATGCGCCTGTGGAAGAGGGGACCCAGAAAGGAAAAAAACCGCCACCCTCACGAGAAAAGTCTCCGGAGGAAGATACAAAGAGCTGGAAAGGCAAAAATGCAACATGGTATAACAAGAAACCCCACCTTTTTAGAGCGCCCACGTCCTTATCATTCCTCGGGGCTGGGGCGAGAAGAAAACAAAATGCAGAGCAACAACCTAGAAGCCACGCCACAATAAACGCGCGAGAGAAACAAAGCCCAGCCGAGCCCCATAATTGAGGCGCGCCGGACTCATGGAGACCGGAAGGAAAATGAAGGAGAAGGAAATGGAGGTTCGAAAGACATTCCTGGATATGTCGGTGGGGAAAAAAGCTTTGGTATCAATTCCACTCACGCCCTGCCTATCCGAAAAAGCCCTCTCTCCCATTCCCGGTATGTTGCGGGTACAAATAACGAACATGAGAGCATAAGATACAGCCGAGGGGGCTCTACAAAGCGAACCCATCGACGAGGGATCCCAAAGGTGTTTCTGGAAGAAACCCAAAGGAATTAAAAATCGGCCATTGTAGACATAAGAGGGGACATGAAAAGCAAAAAGGAGCAAAAGAAAGTGATAGTAGATGTTAGAAAGAAAGGAAGAGAAGAATCGAGAGGGAAGAAAGAAATGTGGCGTATGAGCTGCCAAAAACTAATGTACAACAACAACAAATGCATATTTTCCTTAGCCGTTAAAAAATGAAAAAAAAAAAAAAAAAAAAAAGCCTAATCATTACCCTATTTCGCAAGACTCCCAGATGCATTAGTAGTTTGCTTCCCTATTCGAATCAACGCCCTGCCTCTCTCATTCTCGCTCTACTGGACGGAAACTGGTTCGCTCATGGTCTCTGGATGTGTAACGGCGTCCCTAGCTTCGTCTTCGAGCCTCTGAGCTTCCTCGTTCTCCCTAATCAAGGCTTCTTCCTGGGCTCGGAGATCTCTCTCTTCCTCCGTCAATGATGACTCTGGAGGCTCACCATTTTCCTCTGGCGGAGGGGAGGGGAGGAGGAGGCGGCGGTGTTTCAGCGGCGCCCTCTTCCAGCTCCTTCACGCGTTTAGTAACAGGCTCAAGCTCATCTACTGGTGTGATGATGGGAACATCGTCCTCTTCACCCCTCTTCCGTTTCAGACGCGGGCTGCCGGGCGTATGTGACCCTCCATCCTCAGGGCTCGAGATTGCCTCCACAGTAATATCAGTCACCATGCTATCTTCTTTGGAAAGTACGCCGTTCAAAGTATCTGATGCTGGTAAAGGCTCTGGTCCATTGCCGGCACCGTCATCATCGGCGTTTGTAGCAGAATCGTGACCCGCCTTCTTCTTTTCATGCTCCCTGTATTTCACTACAGCCCTATCAAGAAAATCTTTGACGTATGATTTAACCTTCTTGACTTGCTTGTCGGTAAGGGTGGCGGTGGGGTCTTGGACTCGGTCGTTTTTGTAATCGGATGCAACCAACTTTTTGACAAGGTCTTTCGCAAACCTTTTGAGTTGATCCCGAGGAAGCTTATGCCGGAATTTATCTAGTACGTATTTGATGTGCGGGAAGATCTAGAGAGGTCATCATAATTAGCCACAGGACTAAAGGCAAGGCTACGAGGCCATAGAGGATAGGGGAAGGGGGATGGGCAATAAACCCCGTGGTTGAAACTTACCGTATTTTCGTAAATTTTCTTCTGCTTCTCCAAACTTAACTGGCGCCACTTCTCGACCGGGGTATCCTGTAAGAGTATCTCCGGAGTGTCGGGCGGTGCCTGGGTAGAAGATACGGGAACCCCCGAGGGTAGCGGTTTGCTTCCTTTGTTGTTCTCTGGCGACGTTGTCGATAATCTTTTGCAGGATCTGCGCGTTCTTTTCCGCCTGCGTGGGCTGCTTTGGGGCGCTGGCCGCTGCCAAGTAGTTTGCCCGTGTTTGTTGTAATAGTAAACCGTCCGATTGGCGTCGTACGCCATGAACCATCCCTCGGGCAGCGGCCCTTCAGCCTCCTGCCCAAATTTGGGAAATCGACCCGAAGACTGGCGCGCAAATGGCTGGTGGCGCCTGGGGCCACGGGGGCTTGGAAGTTGCGTTGAGGAATGTTGCTTTTAGGCCCCTTAGGAATGTCAATATTGGAGGAAGTGGTGAAACGGGCTTGCTCGCCGGGGTCGAGGTAGCCGTGTCACGCTCATCCCCGACCACTGCATCGCGCAGCGCCAGCCGCGGTGGTGGTGTGAGCGTTGGGGTCGACCTTCTTGCGCTTGATCCGATACGCCACCTGAAGTTTCCCCAATCATCCAAAAGTCTATTGGCGGTGCTTGAAATTGCTTCATTCTCGGAAACCTTGAGACCCTGCACGGTTGCCTCGATATTGGAGTCGACAATCTTATTCTTGGTGAGTCTTGGCATTCTATCCAGGACGTCAAGCACCTGGATGATAACATTATCGTCCTCTGTAAAGGAGGTGATCATCGTCTTCATAATCTGATAGGCGTGCATCCTCATGACCATATTCAAGACATAGTTGTCGTCGCATTTTTGAATACGCTCCAGAAGTTTAATGGCGATCCACTTCTCTTTGCATTGCATAAGGGCAGCCATGACTTTGCGAGCGCCGTCTTCATCGAGGCTCTTGGCCTGGAGACTGTTGACATACTCTTCATCGTCTTCGTCGGGCCGCTTACGTCGAGGCTTCTTGGCGACGGCCGTGTCCCATCCGTCGCCCCCGTCGATACCGAGGGCTTCAACGATGAGTGCTGGTAGCTTGGTGGCCCGGCCAGTTTGCGTCTTGCCCCCAATGAAGCCGACGCACTCGGGTTCTCCGCAGTAGCAGGGTTGGGGATCAGCACCGTATCGATCAACATTGTAGTTGAACGTCAATTCCTCGCCAGCCTTGACCTTGCGCTGTACAAAGATACCCATGCGAAGCTTGTCACCGACTACCCACTTGTCGACGTAACAGTTTGGATTGCACGAGTGGTTGCAAAAGCGCCCTAGGTTTCCTTTTTGGTGGCATCAACGAACTCGCTCTTTGTCAGCGACATGAAGTAAAAATGCTTGATGCCTTGCTCGTCGTACTGGAGCATCCGGCGTCGGAATGTGGGCTCGTTGATGACCTCGCCAATGTATTCGAAGACAAAGTCGTTAGCCTCAAGATCATTGTTCGCGCGAAGGCCGTAACCTTTTTCTCGGTCTTGATTACGGAGACGCTGGAGTATTGTTTCCGCTGGAATCGTTGATTTTGGCAACCGTCGCCACAGCTTCCGGATGCGCCGATAACACATTCGACACGAGTTGCTCGGTTGATGCAATCCTCCCCGCAAGCATAATTAACCCCGTCATCTGCCAAGTGGAATCAATGTTAGAAATTGAAGGAAGATGGGGACCAAGAAAGGAGAAGTACGAGTTTGGCATGGGACGGGTGCTAGGGTCAAGGGTTTGAAGACGTACGCCACTCCTCTTTGCAGTCGCAGTCAAGCGCATCATTATCCGTCGAGCCCATGTTTTTGGAGCCGTAGAGACAGTCGGGGATGACCTTGAACGAACTGCAAGCCTCCTCCGTCGCATCCGGCACATCGTCGAGCAGTTTGACCTCGCGCTTGATGGGTTTTTGTGAGGTCTTGCGAGAAGACTTTGGGGTCTGGGTTTCGTCTGGGGTGGCGGACCCTTTGAGGGCCCCGTTCTCAGTCTCGCCGGGAGACATGGTGGAAGTCCTAGACTCCCGCTTTATTTCGCTCGATCGTAATGTTCGGCCGTTCGGGGTAGGTACCGAGTCGAGTCCGTAAGGAGCGTGGGCTTCCCCGAGCTGAATATTCGCCATCTTGGTGGTATTTCGCTCTACATCAGTCAAGGAAGTCGGCATCGAACGCACGCCAAGATACTCGCCGGACTGGCTCTGTCGTGATGAGAGAAAATTGAGGTGCGCTGAGGAATTTCCTTGGCCCCGACGAGGGTTGTTGCTGCGTTGGTCGCGAGAAGGCGGCGAGAGAAAAGTATCGCCGGCTTGGAGAGGCCAGAGGCTGCTTGGAAGGAAGGAGACGGCAATAGGAGAGGGGATGGAAAGAAGGAACAGAGGAGAAAGAATGAGTCGCTACTTCCGGGCCGGTGTGTGCGCGTTAGCGACTCGCTGCATGCGGGATTCGGTAAGAGATGGAAACGGCGGAGAGACAAGAGGCCAGGACGTAACTTTCAGAAGATCTGAGGTTAGTTTTCCTCTCATGTAGGGCGAGTGATGTTGTTGAGCCGATGATTAACCGAGAGAGAGGAATCTGTAATCTGTGGGTGGGATGCCAGAGACTGCATCATAGCGAGCGTGGATCAAGTATTGGTTGGGGTTGAGGATAAGTCCAGATGATTACAGGCCATCATATGTCTTCTCATTTTTTTTTCATCTTTCAAAGAATGTACTGAGGTATATATGGATGCATATATAATTAGAGTATGAATTGAATGAGCAGCATCGGCGGGTGCTTTAAAGGGAAATATCCCAAGCTCTTGTTCCAGAGTAGGCCTCTTTGAAGGACCATCAGGGGTGTACCTAGGTGAGCAAGCAAGTCTAACCTGAGCTTTCTATTTTCCTTCGGAGAATACTTTTGAACTTTTGGATATCTCATGTACTTGAGAACAAACACCACAACTCATGGAAAGTGTAAGGGTGACAAAGTGAGAGGAAAAGGAGGCCAGCAAAAGGGTTGCCAAGAAGGACTAGGCCTGTGAGGTCTAAAAGCAAATTTATAGGCTCCCTAATAATTATATATAGCTTCTAGATATTACCTTGGTATCATTTGCTAGGTTAGCATCTCAGTAGACATCAGCGTCTCTTCTGCTGGCTGCATCTTAGGCTGTTTATAACAAGCGTATATTGTTACTTGGGTAGGCCAGCAACGCACCTTTCCGCAAAATACTAGAAGAGTGAAAGAGGTCAATAATTGGGTTTATCAACACCAAGACATGAATAGCATGCATTCTTCTCTGCTCCCAACATTCCCCGAGGGCTATTGTCGGCTTCTGCGCCCCTAGGACTTCGGTGACGCTCGGTGAGGGTTGCCATCGCATTGCGCAAAGGGTGGGGCCGGAGGGAAAAAGTCCACGGGCACGGCCCCATTCGAAGAGGTGGGTAGCCAGGTGGGCCTCACCGAACCCTATCCCTTTGGGCCAATCAACTTACACCCATACTCTAGCACCCCATCAAGCTCAAAACCAAGGCCATTTTCAGTGTAGTGTACCAAGCTTTTAGGCTGTCTAATATTGGCAAACCTCAACTGTTCGATCCGTTCTTTCAACGACCAATGGGACAACCTTGAGCATGCTGCTTGGCCTCAGTATCGTGTAAAATCATCCGTAACATTGGGCGCCGCAAATGAATGCAACCGCGACTGACTATGATTGAGTCTTTTGCTAGCTCTCGCACCCAAGCCCGATGCTGAAGGCCAAATTCAGCGAAGTCTTCCTCTAGAGTCGAACTTTCAACCTACATATAGTCGCTATGCTTCCACTTAATGAGTGCTTAGAGGTCGTGATGAATAGCTAGTTGACTATTGGATCGGGCCAGAAGACGAAAGTCGAAAACCACCCAGGGCCGGTAAGGGTCTGTGGGTGCATTGCCGGACGAGGACTGGAACAGCGGGTTCACGCATCTCCATCCCTGACATATATGTATGAAAGAGATGTTTTGCATTGAGCCAGAGCTATTCCTCGCATTTTTGGGGGTTTTTTTGACATGCAATCCCTTGTTTTTCTTTCTTCCTTTCCCTCCGAAAGTCCAATTGAAGTCGATCTGAGTGTCGTCAGTTGCCGGGGTCTGTGCCATGGTGCCAATTGCTCTCACCGCCTGTTCCTTGCTTGTGCTGGAAGGGTTGCGTTGGGCACTGCTCCAATCCTTTGGGCATTCCCGACGGGGCTGTGGCTAGCCAACCGCACCGTTCCTGCGAGTGTACAAAGTCGAGATAATTCCCTGCCCGTCATCAATTGCAATTGTGGTCCTCAGAATTCAGACAATGCCTCCTTTTCTGAGTAAAGCCAGAAACTTTTATTTCTAAGTAGGAGGGAGCGCGCAGGCCCAGACGAGTTTCTTCAGAAGCTCCTATTTCGCGAATGCAGCTTGATGGATCCATTGGCAGGAGTCACAGAGCGATCGGAGTTTCAGGGAAACCTGCTCTGTCAAGGCTACCATGAGCCCTAAACGCGGGTGGATCCCGGTAAAGACGATGCCAACTCATTGTGCATATACTCTAGACACATACTAAGAGTCCAAACTCACTGCCCGGGTGAAATAAAATGGAGGGCAAGTAATGCAGTGACGTGTTCGGAATCTTGCCCTCCATGGAGGAATAGACTGCTCTTTGGGGCTGAAGCATGGAAGGGTATAAAGAGCACTGGAGACACCATGCGCGACACACTCCCCGAGGCATATCCTCTCCGTCCCTCGAAATCGATCGAGATTGCCTTATGAAATCCGCCGTAAATCCAGAATTTCGAAAAGCGGAAAGGGTCGAGGCGCGGCCTCGATGTGGTCGAGAAAAGCGAACCATTCAGGGTTGGTAACCATGCTATTGCACCAGCCACTGTCGCCTCCGGATTCCCCACCGATTCCGACGAACGAAATAGACGAGGGCTCAAAAGCAAATAGGAGAAATGTGATTGCGGCTCTCGCCGGAAGAAGATGTGACGAACTCGTGGCCTGGGCTTGTGGGAAGCGTCCTCGGTGGTATGATTGGCGAGAGGAGCTGAATCGAGCTCCACTGAAAACATCTGGGGATTTCAACGTCGAGTTGAGAAACTGGGATCTCGTATCCAATGGGCGATGAGAAGCCCATTCGGCCAGAGAAATTTCAGCGATTGGTTGCCGCAGACGACAATGAAGGTAAAATCTCATCGCAGTCAGGGAAGTTCTTGCTTGCGATTTTCTTTTCTTTTCTTTTCTTTTCATTCGAATTACCCTCTCATTTGCTTTGACTGGCTCTCATCCCATCTTAGCACCTCCAAGGGACCTAAGCGAAGCGACACGCGACGGAACCCTCAACAGTTATGGAGGGCGACGTTGCGGGTTGATATGGGGTTAGCAGCCCAAAGAAAGAATCTTGCATCACTGCTCCGAGCCTCTGTGGCTCGAGGTCACTTCTCACGCGATACACCTTGACTCGAGTTGGGTTCATCAGCGGCCTCAAAAGCATCAGCTCGCATAGGATGGTTGTGTGTGCAAAAATCGGTGAAGCTTGTGGAAGCCAGTGCTCCTCCAGACGCCCACCCCTCCTTCCCTGAGAGAATTGACCCTCCAAAACCAGGTTTGGCCACCCCACCCCACTTTCCACCCCCGCCCTTTCCTTTCGCAGCCAGCAACGCAGGTCGAGTGTCCTGAGTTCAGGCATGGAGGGGCAGTTCGAGCAGAGATTGGACCTGCGTTCCACATCGAGCTGGATCTGGCGAGCGCGTGAGCAGGCACATGACTCTCACCTTCCTGTTTTCAATGGGAAATACAGATGCTCTTTCTAATCCGGACTCAACAGTTTGAGAAGCGCATTCTCGTCGGACTCAATATTGAGGTTTCTGCATTGCATATCACGAATGATAGGCGGTCGTGAGAGAAGGAGCATCTGCGACACGATTTTACCTGGGGAGTTTGGCGGGGCGGGCAACCGCAGATTGGCATGTGCTCAAGGTGCTCCACCAACCTTAGTCCGGTGCTACTTGCCCTTCATCTGCCTCTCCTTTGTCTGCTGAGCATTGGATTAGTGTTGGCTGAAGCCTGGTATTTGGGTTCTGGGAGCCAAGTTGCCATCACCAATTAATCCATCGGCCAGCGGGCAGACGGCAAAGCACATCGCAAAATTTCCTCTTTGAGAGGAGGCCATGGCCTTGTCAGAGGTAGGTTCCCGCCGCCATCCCGTAGTTGCAGCTTGCAGACAGACAGCCCCAGCCATGTTCGCGCAAGTTTCTTTTTTTCTTGTTGCTAGAGGGCGTATCCTAGGACAACAGTTGGCCCAAAGTGTTGCCAACATCAACGAAGTCCGATTAGGAAAAAAGGCCTCCCTGCTCATTTTTCTGCTACTCTTTTTTAATTTTTATTTTGGCACGCGAAGTTTCTCAATAATCCGGCAACGTTTGCTGGTCTTCTTTACCAGGTTGTCGAGGGGCGACCTATCACTCGAGCACTGCTCGTTTGAGCGCGCATGATGGACGTGCGTCCCATTCATCGACAGACCCCAAAGCTGAGTCGGAATTCTCATGCGAGTGACAGGCCTCCATGCACCCCAATGAGGTCCCGACATGCAGTCTGGTCACTCCCCGAATGGTATCTGGTGGCAAGGGCGGCGGCAACTGGGCACCGAATTCTCCAGCTTGCCTTCCCCCAACTTGAGAGTGGCTACCCAGTCAAGACCGACTGCGCCCTCAAGTGGCAGCGCCTGTTCTGTGAAGAACACACAAGATATGGGCAACACATTAATCAAGGGCAAGACGCGCTTCTTGGTTAATGAAACAGGCAGGCCCGAGGCCCTAAGGTTGCCCATATGGCATAATCAAGCCAGCTATACAGTTGTTGTGCGTTAGCCTCATTTGTAAGTCGCATCCTCATAAACGAGAGTTTGACAGTCAGCAAGGCCACACCACGCCGCCAGGTCCGCCGTTCTCGCCTTGATTGTGTCGCGAGAGGCGCAGATCAGCCTCGGATCGGCCTATCTCTTTCGCCATCGTGCCGAGATATGCTCGACGCACGAGAGTCCCAGTTTGCGGATCGGGTTCGCCAAGCAGGTTTTTGATTTCTTTGTTTCCCCTTTCCCACAGTTTACAAGCATCACTCGGTTCGTCGCATCCTCAAACCTCGCTTTTTCATTCCGCCTGAACACCCACTCTAGAGCGATCTTCGCCGTCGTGTTTCGTCGGACATTCGTCCAGATCGGCGCTTTTCATCGGAGGTTCGAGGCCGTCTGTCGCATGTTGCGCTTACATGACAGTCATGGCCGTGCATCTTATCTCGTGGTCGCGAATTATGGCCCGAGCTAAAGACCGCCATTGATAAAGAAGAACATTTCTGATATTTTCCTTCCCCAAGTTCGATACACCCACGGGTACAGTTGAAAGAAGAGGAAAAAGCAAGCAAGAAGTGAACGACTCCAGGTAATAAATCGGTTCCTCTTGCGCCTCCGAACGAGTCCCCACTACATGGCAACCCTGCCAAAATGCGTACTTCGTCGTACCGCCTGATAGTGTCATTTTCTTCTTGTTCTCAGCGAATGGAACATTTTCTCCGTGTTCAGCAGCCTGCAGAAGCGCACCAAGCCGCGAAAGCTAACGCAGGTGTACCACGCGGGTACAACCACATCCGTCATCGCCTGGTACAGCAAGGCTTTCTTCCCCTCTTCCAATTCCGCCGGGGTCCCCTGGGTTTCGCTAATCCTCATCAAGCCAGAGAGGTAAATTTCTAGCCAAACCCCGACGGCGGAGCAGCGACCAAGAAAGCTTCCCGAAGGGTCAACCACTTTTCTTGAAGCTTGAGTGGTTGACAACGAAGCAAAAGCACATACCCTCACCAAACCTCCGACTCACCGAGACCCAAGCACGGAAGCCAGCGGCGCACTGGACTTTTTCCTTTTTCTTTTTATCTTTTGTTCTTTCTTCCCCTGCTCAAATTGGCTTTGCAAACCTGACAAGCGAAGGTGTCTCCAGGGACGCTGGGCGCCTTTTCCTTGCCCTCCATCCCGTCAAAACGCATAACTCTCTGCGACGCCCAGACCTAACAGGCCTGGACCCATCAAACAAATTGTTTCTCGGGTTTTTGCGACGCTTTGAGACCTCTCCCAGCCACCTCCCTCTCCCCTCCCCTATTCGCCTATCCCTCTCTTTCACCACTCTCTTCGAACTTGGGTGGGCACCCACGTTTCTCCATCTTAATTTCCTCACTACCCCACCGTCCCTTACTGTTGTGGGAGGATCATTCCAAGCCCGAGGTCCAGAAGAGAAGCCTGTCACTATCTTGCGAGCAGCCCAAAGCTCCATCGCTACAAATTTTTGGTGTCGCGCCCTTCCTCTTCTCGGTTCGTGACCGTTCTCCTACGAAGACCAAGGGCGCTCGTATAAGAACACCAAACGTATGGATGCACCTGCGCATTGCGCATGTACTGTGAGCGATTGAGTTCTTGAGTCGCACGCATCTGCCTCTTGCTCTTGTCCTGCGGCCTTGCCTGCGAAGGCCATTCTTCCGGCGGCCTCTTGCGAAGACGCGCGCTTGTGTGCACTGTCGCGCGTGTCTTCCCTTGCCTGCTGGTCTGTACTGTCCCACTCTTTCCGAAACGAGCAGAGTTCGCCAAATCCAGCATACCACATCAACCTGGCCTCCTCGACCGACCTGTCTTGACCACCACCACACCACCGCCAATCCTTGCCTCCCCGCCCTGGCCAGGCATTCTCCCTCCCTCTCCTTTGTCTCCACACTCCAACATCATCCGGTGTCGTGGGGAACTGCGAGGCTCGGTGGCTATCTATCCCCTTCCTTATTTCTCTTGCGCCCTTTCCTTTCCCTCATCTTTCCCCCATCCTAGTCCCTCGGAAGCTTTCCCTTTCCAAGTCTCGTTGCCCGTCAAACCCCTGTCATTCTTTCGCCTCTACGTGTGGATACCAACCCGCCCTCAACCCTGCCTTGCCTCAATCAGCAAGGCAGATCCAGGCAGAACCCCTCTGGGGATTCTGGCTACCGTTCTTCCGCCCCTCCCACAGTCAATGCTTATCTGCGCTTCTGCGAACCGCAGAGACATGCTGGCGGACTCTCACAACGGGCCCTATCCAACTCAGACATAAAACCCCTACGGTGCGGATCATGGGGTCACCATTCACTGACGAGGAGAAGGTGAGCTGGGAGAGGACTTTTCTTTCATTCTCCTGAGGTGTACTAGCCCCTTTTCTGGACACTCCATCTCTAACTGATAGTTGCGTCGCACAGCGATTTCTCCTTGCGGAAATGATCAAGGTCAGCAAGGTAGATATCCACGCCCTTGTGGAGTTCGTCAAGTCCAACCGCGTCGAGCAAGAATGGTTGAAGATGCAGGTCCCGAACGGTAAGTTGCCTTATAGTAGCCTCCCCTCCCCTCACCCCACTAATGGAATGGCCCGGGGATAGGACGCAACCTGGAGCAGTGTTTCCAAGCTGCTGGGAGCATGTTTGGGACATCGATCTCGCCACCTAGCCTTGCTAGAGGATTTCCCCCGACGAATCAACCACCTCCTTCTCCTGCCTCGACTCAGAGTCTCGCCCCAGCTCCCACTCTCACATCCGCAAACCACCTCATCGAAGGGCACTCCACCGAGCCCTCTATGCCTACCAATTCTGCGATGCAGCCGCATCGAGGCTCGACGCCACAGCATGTCCTCATAAAGCCGCGTCTGACCACCGCGAATGGTACCCCAAGCCCCTCTCCTTCTGCAGCGTCGGAACCCCCAACAAAGAAGCGTCGCGGTCGCCCGCCAAAGGTGCAATCTTACGACCGGCTCGGCCCTGGTAGGCCGAGGCTCTTGGCTTTAGCGCCACAACCCCCGCCCTCCGCGACAGCACAACAGCAGGCTTTCGCTGCGGTGCCACAATCCATCGACAACCGCAGCCGCCGCACCGCGTCGCCCGCATACACCGTGTCTCCTGGGCCTAATATCGAGAACATTGCGCCATCGAGAGGCTTGAAACGTTCTCTTCCCGATCACGGTGAGCAGACACAACCGGCACATCTTCATCCCCGCTTCATACCACCTGACGAATCGGGCCTGGCCCGTCAACGGGCGAACGCATCGGGCGCTCCTACACCCCTACACAAGGGACTTCAGCAATACCGAAACAAGAGACGGCTGGTTCTGGAAGCCAATGGACTCTACGGCCGGACGATGATAGGGAAGTCGGCTTCAAACCCCAACACAACAAACGGCCGCTCCTTCTCCAGTTATTCCTTCCCCGACCACTCCACAGACTCGACAAGGGCCGAGCCCGCTGGACGCAACGAGGGCGACTCCTGTGAAGACATGACACTGAATCGCCGGTGTAATACCGCGATAGATAACGAGAGCATGATTGGCTGGCGCCAATCTGAGGCATGAAGCGACGATTGACGGTGGATAGGAATGCGACGCCCGAAATGACAGGCTATATCGGCTCGGAAAGAAATTATCATTCCTATTCTTTTTCTACCTTTTTTCCATGCACCATTCTCAAAGGTCACCAAAAGCCTGGCCAGGGGAGCACCCTATCATACTCGCCGGTTTCATTTCCTTTTCCTCGCTTGGCGCGACAACGGCATGAGAGCATCGGGCATCACATTCCCGCTATCGCCATGAGTAGGGGAGATTCTCAGCAACGATGCCTCAACAAACTAGGCTTTTTTAAGCTCACCATGTTTTGCCTATGCTCACTCTGGGCTTTGTAACACCACTACACATCCTCTACCCACTCGATGGGCTAGGACCGGCGTTTGTTTGCAAACGGATAGTCTTGATCCCCTTCTATTCAGGTCTCCTTTTTAGTTGGGATTGGCGTTTTCCTTCTACTATGTATTTGGCTCATCTAATGAGGGCAAAAGGGAGGAGCTGCATACATTGGCGCTGTCTCTACAGCATACATTTTATGCATGCGCTTTCATTTCTTTTTCGTTTTCTTTCTTTTATATTCGACAGTCAGGGTTCTTTGGCTAATCCCGAGTGCCCAGCTGGGAGACGGTCCACATTCATACAAGGGCGCATGTGGCGTATAGTAAACCTCTTTCTCACTTTCCATCTTCCCAAGCGAGTGCTGGGGAGCAGGCTTTGTTTGAAAATCAAACGTGTATGAGTATTGTACATGCAAGGGTATCTTTTTACTTTCTTCTTCCTTGTTTTGTCCTTTTCTTTGTCTCTTTTATTGGGTGCGAAGGGAGAATCTCGATTTGTGTATGTGAGGGAGAGGAGAGGAGAGGAAACAAGGGAGTCGATCCAGGCATTGTAGGTCACGAGGAGCCGGGAGAGAAAGCCGAAGTCGGTGAATTGGTGTCACGTAGGTTTGAATCCGCTAACACATTACATATACCCCCAATTTAACTTCGGAAGCGTTGTTCTTTGTCTCCTATTTGTCCTGGCATGCTATCAAGATCTCGTGAAGAATGGGTGAAGCAAGCCAAGACTCTAGCCATCCCCGTACCCGAAAATACTCTTGAAAACGCGAGATGTGGCGTCGTTGCGATGAGCTACAGATGCGAGTGAAGATGACAACTAGCCCTGGAGACCCTAGATCCGACCTTGAACGAATTATATTCATAGGGCCAACCCTACCGTTTGGTCCAAGAACCTAAAAAGAACATTGACAAAAATGGGGTTAAAAAAGACATTAAGGAGAGGCAACTGACGATGAGAGGGAAAGAAAGAAGAAGAAGAAGAAGAAGAAAGTGTCTCTAATCCCGTTTCCTCTTTCTCCTGTAGTTACATAGGAATTGTAAACAAGTAAAGCAAGATGGCAAAGGGGGTCCTTAGGGGATCTAATTTCGTCTTCATGGTCCGCAAGGTGTCATCATTTATTCCTTGAACGAAAGCACCACCTTTTCCAGCGCGTCTACCAGCAAGTCAGCATGCTTCTCCTGGAAGATGAGCATCGGCCTTAAGCGGACGGCGCTCTGACCGGAGCCGCCGATATTGACGCCAAACTTGCGGGCGCGGCCGAGGAACTCATCGCGGCGGGGGTTGTCAAAGGCAATAAAGGTTCCCTGTCCTTGCCGCGGAGATTGTCGAACTGCCCAGGGTACTTCTCGGCGAGGGCTCCAAGTTTACCAAAGAGGTAGGAACCGACGCGGGCGGTGTTGGCTACGAGGTCAAGGCGCTCGATCTCGCCAATGATGGCGCGGAAGATGAGGGCTCGGGCAGGGTCGCCCATCCAGGTGTTGAACTGGCGATAGGGCTTATTAGGGCGCAGCTCTGGGTTGCCAAAGTAGTAACCCGCAGTCTGAGCTTTCTTGGAGAAGGTGACCATATCCGGAGGATCTTCGAGATTCCAGTGCTCGTGAGCCCAGAATTTCCCAGTGGCGCCGACGCCAGTCTGCACCTCGTCAACAATGAGGAGGACGTTGTGCTTGCGAGTAACAGCGCGGAGCTTGCGGAAGAACTCGGGGATGCGTGGTTGTCACCGCCCTCTGACTGAATGGGCTCGACGACGACGGCAGCGGGGGATTATGGTAGTTGAGAATCAGGTTCTCCACCTCGTCAATGGACGCTTGCTCAGCGGCGCGGTTCTCCTCGACATGCTTCTCAAGGGGGTACTTGAGCTGGGGGAAGGTGGCTTGAGGCCAGTCGAAGGCGGGGATGTCAATCTTGTGAATGGGTTTAGAGCGTGTTGTTGATAGCGTGCCAAACAGGCGGCCGTGGAAGGCGGTTTTGAAGGAGAGGATTGAAAGATTGGAGGCTCCGGGGCTCTGGTTGTTCATGGCACTGCTCAGTTCTTCCTCCGTGAATTCGACCTGGTGGCCACCTCGGTCGTGCGCGCGACGCCACATGAACGCGGCCTTGTATGCCGTCTCGTTGGCGTCTGAACCGGCCATCGCGGTGAATACCTGGTCGAGTCCCTTGGGGGCAACCTTGAGGATGCCGCTCTTCAGCACATTTGCCCAGTCGTGTGGAGGAAAGGTGCCCAAGGCAGGACGATTAACCAATCCGTTGATCATCTCGGGAGACTGCGCAGCCTTTATAAGAGCCGGGTTGTTGTAGCCAATGGGGATAGATGCAATTTGAGCATATCTAAAGCACCGCTCCAGTAGTCAGTCACCTAGTGCATCATGCCAAGAGACGAGCGCGAAACAAGCCCCCGATTTCACTTACACGTCCAAAAATACGTTGCCATCGGGATCTGCAATGTAATTGCCAAAACACTTGTCATAATCCGTCAACAAGGTCAAGGCACGGGTATCAAAGACCTCATGTAGCTCATCGATCTCTTTCTTCGAAACGGGGCCTGGCACGCTGGTCTTGACGATGGGGCCTTCGGGCTCGCCCTCATAGAAGGGCGCGACATTTGAAGGAGACATTCTAGCGATTGAAGTGCTGAGGAGTCTAGAGGGGCCGTGAGGAAGAGATCTTGCGGTAGAAAGCGGAAGCGGGCGGAGGAGAGTAGGGGCCGCGAGCTTGGAGGAGACGAAGCGGGTCACCACACGGAGAGCCATGGCGGGCGGGCGAGAACCGGGGCGGGCTTTAAATATACGTAATAAGATCCTAGGTAAGGCGCGCAAGGGCGTCTTAGGTAGGTGAGCGCATGGCCTTGGGGATTGGTGTGTTTCTGCGCACGTAGGTAGGTACGTAAGGGGGGATGAAGAGGGGGAGGGGTATGGTGCAGCAGGGCCAGGCCAAGGCTTACCGTATGGTTCGGGTTTGATTGGGAGAGGCGAACTGTGGGTTGTGTGGTGCGGTTCGTGGACGGATAGAATCATGTGTATCCGGCTTCCGATAGATGCCGTATGCCACACGGGTGTGGGTGTTGTCGAGCGGCCCAACAGGGTGAGGCAGCGGAAGAGCAAGGGTGACAGTAACAAGGGGGCCAATTGATCGAATTTCGGCGCCGACCAGCAGGCTCAGGTGAGATGGCGAGGAGGGCAAGTAACAGAATCAATCATGTGCGTGATTCCAGCAGGGATTGACGAGTAGCAGGAAAAACAACGGTGAAACAGGCACTGGGAGCTCGCAAAGAAGCAAGTGGGCAACTTGGGGAGGTCGAGACAGAGAGGGGCGCACTGAGGGGTGTCCGGGTTGTGGCGGCATTGGCCGGCCGGAGCGAGGAGCTACAAGCTACATTGTACGAAAAGACGTAGCTAGCTCCACATCACGACATGGCGAAGCTACAAAGCTACAAAGCTATGCCGGACGCAGACACCACTGGACCCTAGAACAAGCCGGACTCCAATCTTTCCTATCGCACATGCCACCTCTGACCGTGACTCCCAACCGCCGCTTCCCTTCAAGTAATGGAATGGTGGTTCAAAAGGAAGGAGGCATAAAGTACTGTCTTAGCGATGCTGCGTGCCTTCCCTCTCCTCCCCGGAAATCCATGACTCCTTCTTGGGCGGGGAAACCCGGTTCAAGTCTAGAAGGTGCAAGCTCGGTATTAGGTTATCAAACGCGAAGAGAGGGGTTTGGGAAATCAACCGTGTCTGATGTGTGCACCTTTTTTTCCTGCTGCTGCACCACGATCGCATCATGAGATTTAGCCCATGTAAGCACTGGGTCATAGTTCATCATCACATCCCGCTAAGAGGGAGAGTCCCACCAATTGGCTGTATTGTGTTTTCGCATTCTCCAAGCTCGCTTGTTTTATCGCTCTGTAGCCGACCTTCTTCTTTCTTCTTCTACTTTTTTTCTTCAAACATCAGAAGGGTGTGAAGAAATCTAGCTTAGCCTTCGATTTCTAGCCCGCGAAATGATGATATCAACACCTTGAAACCCCTCTTCATCCCCTCCGGGCACCTCCGAAGTCGCCGATGCAGTGACTCAATTTCGGGTTCTCGGGGCCCTTGTCTTCCATTTCCAGGCCTGCCCGCCTGCATAGAAACCAACGCATGCTTTCGCCACGATCGAAATATCGCATCCCGTTTGAGCAACCCGATGCGAATACACCAGAGTCAGACCAGCAAATTTCCTCGGAATACTAATCATTGCGAGGGCACCTCCGATCGGCCGAGCGCACGTCTTCCTTTTATGGCGCTTTTTCTCTCTCTTCTTTTGGCTTCTTAGCCATTTCTGCACGTAGCACGATATAAATGGAAGGAGTTGCGTCGTTCACGTGGATCGTGGTACACGCATGGATTGTGTTAGTCTTTCCATTCCTGTAAGTGCCTAGTATTAGATCAATGCTGCCCACCACAGATATTGGCTGCGCACCTATTTCCCGGCTTGGCCTGCATCGATGACCGTGATTACTTTACCTGGTTCAAAAAGCCAGTGAACTTTATGATAATCTACGACACTTGCGACAGAGAACTCGCCTCGTCACATTATGAAATCTTTAGGACTATCGGGGGCGGATGGAATGATCGAGGAACGAGAGAAGGGCCATTGAAAAATATTTTCGGTAATTAGACTCTAATAGTCCTGTACTAGTAGATTGCCGCTCTTGTTTTCCATCGCCATCCCATGCAGTCGTGGCTCTCCAGCCAAGAGCTCTATCACCTGTGTCTTTTCCCCGAGGACCTCTCTGTTTCCTTGTCCCTGCGCCTCTGTCTTTCTCGTTCTCCGTCCCTGTCTCGTAGCTTATCCTTCTCCCTCTCCTTCTCCCTCTCCTTCTCCCTCTCCTTCTCCCTCTCCTTCTCCCTCATGTTCTTCCTCTCCTCCATAAACTCATCCATAGCCACGTGCACCCGCAAGCCCTTTTGCTCCATCGAAGCATACGCCGACTTGAGCTCCGACGAATCCATCCTCTTCACGAGCGCCGTAAACGCCTGCATCGCCACCCCCTTATCCCACGGACACCCGTTGAGGGCGCGGTAGTACGCCTTTTTAGCCGCGTCCCGCGCCAGGCCCTCCTCACGCGCTTGGCAGAACCGCACGTAGCACGTCCACAGCCACGGGCTTGCCCCGGCACCCGCGCTCGCCAGCGCGCGCGAACGCCGCGCCAGCCGCGTACGTCGACCCTCCGGCCCCGAGCTCGTGGGCGATGGCGCACGCCCGCAGCGCGACGCTGTCCCGGTCGCCGACGAGCACGAGGTCCGCTACGAGATTGCGGAACTCGTCGCCCACGCGGAGGACCGAGGCGGCCCAGTCGAAGAGGGCGATGAAGTTGGTGTTGGTCGGGAAGAGCTGGATGCAGCGCTTGAGTTGGTCGCTGATGTAGACGCGGCGGTACGGTCTGTGAAGAGTGGGGGTTGCCCCTCCCTGGTTAGTTGACTGTGCCCTTTACAAAGCATGAAATAGAGACCAAAGTAATTCAATATGAAGCGGTGAAATGTTTGATAAGGGGAAAAAGAAAACTTACCCCAAGGTGCTGTGGCGGTAGAGAAGCAGGGCGGCAAACTCGAGAAGCTCCTCGTGCTGCGCGGAATCTCCATGACCGCGAGCCGCCAGCCTCTCTGAGCGATCCCACACCACATCCATCGCCGCCGAGATGCTGCCCTGGCCCGCCGACCGGGGCTCCGTGCCAACGTCGGACGAGAGGTACTCGGCCAGCGCGAGGAGCTTGGCATCGACCGCAAAAGCATCCAGGTCGTCCCGGCGAAAGGCGCTCTCCGAGTCCGCCCGTAGATCCTGCTTCTGCTTCAGCACGAGGGCCGGCGAGGCCTCGCCTTCCGCGTCGGGCACGAAGCAGAGCCGGGCGAGGACGCGCGGAGCGGGCGACTTGGACGCGAACTCGATCCATGCCCAGCTGAGCCACAGGACCCGAGTGCCTTGGGCGCCCGCCTCGTCGTCGAGCTGGGTGGCCGCGGAGAGGACGCTACGGGCTGCCTTGAGGTTCCCGGCGTCCCACTCCAAGAGCGCGTACAGGTTATAAAGGCCAATGTTTTGCCGGTACTGTTTGAGGAGCGTCCTGGCGGCGTTCTTCACGCCGCTAGGGTTCGAGATGTACTCGAGGGCGAGGCAGTGCTGCGCTAGGTCCTCGTGACTGGAAGCGACGAGGGTACCGAGGGTGCGCGCCACCCAAGGGAGCTCGACCGGCAAACTCTCTTTGCTGGCGTGTTTCAGCGACAAAAGAAGCGAGCAGATCGCCTTGGGCGCGATGGCCGCCGTGATTGCTTCTTGAACAAGTGGGGGCGGAGCCCGCGTAGACTCGTCACCCTCTGTGAATCGCTTCGGCTGCGCGACGGCAAGTTGCTCAAAGACACCGTCCATCGCGGCCAGGTGAGGATCCGTGCCCCATGACTGCTTATTCGGTGAGACGGGCGGTAGCTGGCAAAAGGCCAGGAAGGCATCGAAGAGCTCTGCCTTGAGCTGGGGCAGCAGATTGCCGGGAATCGGAAAGGGATTCCCTCCAAGTCAGAGTACATGATGAGGCGAAAGGGGTCGTGTTCCGTATCCTCGTCGAGCGTTCGGGCAGGCATCCTCGACCTTGCCGTTTGGTAAAGCTCCTGCACCGCCCACGCCTTGTACACGTCTCTAGATTGAGGTCCTCCGGGACCGGTGCCGCGAGGTGCAGCCTCGGGAACTGACGAGTCGTCGCCCGTGGCGAGGAAGCTGCGCCAGCCCAGCGCCGCCGGCTCGCCCACTCTCGGCACCTCGGACTCCCAAAATTCTTGAAAGCTCTCCGGTACGGCGCCGGCAGGGTTGGGAAACTCCGGGCCGCAAAAGTTGAGCTCCAGCAGCGCCTGCCAAGACGCCACCGCCAGTTCCCTGTACCCACAGTCGTGGAAGAACCTCGTAGCTCGTAGGAAAACGTAGAGGAGCTCGCGATAAAGCGCCATCTGCCTGACGCGCACCACTTCCCCGTCGGCCTTGCGGGCCACCAGCGCCAGGCGATCGATAAACATTTGCTTGAGCGCGTCGTATCGAAAGGTGACAATGTCGGATAGCTTATAATCAAGTCGGGTCTTCCAGAGGAGGAAGCTGTCTTCTACCTCCTTCTCGATCTTGGCCCAGCGTTTCTCGTGCGCCTGCGGATCCCATACCTTGGCCCCCGCGCGCATCTGGCCCACGAGTAGGGTCTCTTTCTGGTGGGGGACTTGACCTGTGCGAGGGCCTTGTCGTACATGGAGAGCTTGATCTCGGAGAAGCTCCGGACCTCGTTGGCCGTGGGCTCTTGCCCATTGGCGCCCGCCTTCATCAGGACGTCTTGGTGGCTTATCAGCTCGAGCCAGGCGGGAATGTCGTCCGGATGCTCCTTGACGCGGCGCGAGAGCTCAATGGACTTTTCGTTGAGGGGATCCGTCGTCCGCTCCATGTCGTCATCGTCGGAAGTCTCGCCGTCGCCTTCGTCATCAAGAGGGCCCTTGGCCTTTTCCTTGCCTAGGATGGACCTGTAGTTGGGCCCGCGCTCGTCCTCGGATGAGTCGCCGAGCCCCCGGTTCTTCTTCTTCTTTGGTGGTTTCAAGGAAATAAAATCTTCTTCGGGCCCGTCAGTGTCCCTCGCCGCCTTCTTGCTCGCCCTGAGCAGGCGTGGCTCCACCTGCCGGAGCTTGACGCGGAAGGCATTCTTGTCCCTCAGCGACGGCGCACCGTACATCTCGCCAGGCTTGCGGATGCTAAACTGTTCGAGCGGGGCATCGCGGTGTATGTACAGGTACCCTTCGGTGCCGAGAACGCGCTCCCGCCTCGGCCGGTAGAATGCCACCTGCTTGTACCTGTCCGCGCCATACTTGGGCAGCAGCGGATCGCCCTTTTGTCGATCACAAACAGGTCCGAGACGGGGTCTACGGCGACGATCGGCTTGGGTGGTAGCGCGTACTGCTGCTTGCTTCTCACCTCGAGCTTCTCCCGGCCGGGGGCCGGTCTCCCTCGGGCTTCTGGACCGATCCCTGTCCCTGGTCCTCGGGCGCTTGGGGCTGGGGCTCCTCGACGCGCTCCGCGTCCGCTTGTCGCCGCCGTGGCGATGCGAGCGGCGGGAACGGTGTCGGTGCCTGCCGTCGCCGCCGCCGCCGCTGCTGCGGTGTGGTGGTCTCTCTACGTCATCTTTGCCTCTTGCTGCGGCCGGCTCTTGCGCGGGGGCAGGTTCGGCGGTCTTGGGCTTGAAAGAGGAGAATTTCGGCACGGGCAGCTTCTTTTCTTCCCTACCCGACATGTCTTGACGTGGGAGGTGAGGGAGGGTGTGTGTGTGGTGCGAGATGGGAAGATGTGGGGCGAAATATGCAAAGGCTCTGCCACATCGTGGCTAGCCGCTACATTGGGTTCTTGTGTGTAATCAAGCTTGACTGAACACGACTTTGGCTGGCCATGGAGGCTTCAATGGGCCTTCGCCAGATGAATTTCAAGCAGGCCCAACGAGAAGCCTCCAGTGCTCCATCTTCCCTACCAAAATTCAACATGCGACACGAAGGAAAATAATCTTCTGAATATACAAATAGGCACCTTGGCTGCATTTTAAGTCCGGCGTCAATAGTTTCGATCTAGGATCGATACACCAAATCTCCGAATAAATTTGGCAAGGGCTATATACTTAATCGTCCTCGAGCTGTCCCCCGAGCTTTCCATATCGCATCGGAATTCACACGAGCTTGTGACTGTGACTGGGGAGGGATGGAAATTTTTCTTTCTTTAATCTCTCTCTGCCTGAGTGATTCCACCTTCGCTCTCTACCCACCTCCGAGTCGCATTTCACTCAAGGCCCATGAATGGAGCTCCCTCGCTCATTGCTCAAAAAAAAAACCTGTCAGCATGGAAGCTGGCGCGACTGTTTCCTTTTCCAACCCACACGGAACTGCCAGTGCCGCCCTCGCCGCCGTCACCGCCGTGGGTAGGCGGTCCGCACAGATGCGAGAAAAAGCTCGATCCAGAAACCAGCACACGCCGGTTCGGGACCGGAGGTCAGTACCGATGGTGGTCGCCGAGGCGCTAAAGGTGAACCAAGGGTTCGTTGATCAAGCTGTCTTGGCCTACCCCTGCCTTGGCTTTTCGTCGACACAGCCAACCTTCGGAGTGAGGCTCGTGGCCATACAATAGATGAACAGGATGACGGCGGTATGTTGCGAGGGCGGTAGGCGAATCGCTTGGCGGACTCTTCCTCCTTGGTTAGGCCTAATTTTGGGGCGGGAAGGACAAGTTTCTCTTCTTAACGCCAAACCTTGGATCGGCTCGCTCCTGGATTACCCAACACAAGAAAGTCCTTGGCGATACGGCACACAAACGGAGGAGTGACAAAATGACCTCTCCTCTTCAACCACCAACGCCACAAGATTCATTGGTTATCAATCTAGCTTTTGATTTATTTAGGTGTACTTTAACGGCGGTGTCTCTGTCGTTTCTTGGGAATGGAGTGTCGCCCGGTCGGGTGTCACGCGGCGCGTCGTAGTGATAGCATCAGACACAAGTCACTAGCGTCCGGGGACAAGGAGAACAGCGTTGCTCATGTGTTCGGAGTGACATCACTTCATGTACTGTTGAAGACGCAGTGTGGGTGGGGCGACCCCGATGCTGCGAGTCGCAACGCACACGATTTCAGCGCAAGAGCTACCACACGGCAACCCTGATGTCCGCCGTCGGTGGTAGGTTGCGGGAAAGCCATCGTGGCTCGCGCGGTTGCTGGAAAGTTGAACGCGCTTCGAGGGTCTGCAGGCGGGAGGCCGTCAAGATCCGCATCCTCCCCTCCATACCAGATTTGTTAGGCACAAACTAGGCAAGACAAGAAGGGCCCAGCCCAAACTTTTGGCTGCTATGGAGGTCCTCTTCGACTTAAGCAGAGACTACCTGGGGGTCAGGATTGTGGTCTCGATCTTTATAAAAAGAAGAAAGAAGACCATGAAACCTTTGGCGAGCCTAATCCGGGACGATGCATTTGGATGGCTGTCGCACGGTCAGTCTCGAGTTGCCAAGAGCCTGAAAATCAACTCCGTATCTGCAGTTGATTTATTAATCATATAAATTGCTCAAAACATCACTTTCGAGCTATTGACGAATGGGACAATCAGCCGACCGCGCTTGCCACCTGCGATTCCTTGTTATGGCTCCTTTTCCCTTCATTTTTCTTCCGAATACTCCCTGTTGTCTGGTAGTAGAGTACTGATCGAGACCATTCGAGGCTCTCTCCTACAACGAAGCTACATGTAGCTTTGCCTGCCGAGAAAGCGGCGGATTTTCTGATGGTCCATCCAAATGGATAACCCCTCTATAGACTTCAAATGTTCTTGTTCAGGGGCTTGTGTTTGTCGGTAGATTCACGAGATCTCGACCGCCAATAGGTCCTCGTCCAAAGAGACGTGGCGTAGGTTAAACCACTGCTGTCAAATGAAATGGCGCAGTTCGAGAAGGACCCTTGTGCTCTAGCGCCAGAGGACCTCGCCCTATTTTTGAACGATGGATTCCCTCATGGAAGGCGAGACAAGACATGCTAAATTAGGGCGGCGTATGAGCGATACCCTCGGCAATCCCCCAGGGCTCCTTCGATTCCGGCCACAGGATATTAGCATACCAGGCCCAATCCCGTCAATATCTTGAATGGCCGACATAGGTGAGGAATTTGGTGGTATCATTCACTCAGCTGCAAAGAGTAGTAGAAAGGCCCAGAGCCGATCCACACTAGATTGATTAGTGGGAGAGGCAGAGTTGACAGCATTGGGTTATGTTGATCAACTGCCCATCCTGTAAGCCATTTCGGTTTAGGGCCGCACTTGGCGTAGCGCCACAAGTTTTCATTATTCGACGGTCTGGGAAGGTCCCCTGGGGTCCGCCCGTGGATCTGTTTTGTCCATCCCTCTTTAAACGCGAGGCAAACAAAGGGGACATTAAGACCACGACGATAAGCCAACCTGGAGCTCAAGAGACGAAATTCAGATGAGTAAATTGTCGAGTTTGGGAAAGTAGATGGCGGATCAATTGTGGTGCCCTTGCAAGGGCCGCCTGAGGAAGAAAAAGATCCGTTAGGTTTAATCAAAGGGACTTTTGAGGATCAAGAGGATTGGAGAGGGACGATAATCACGTCGCTCAACGCGTTAGAATGGATCCATTGTGACCATTGAAGCAGAGGTACCTCGATGTTGTGCCGAGCAACATTGAATCGTCAAGCTCGTCATCTGAACCCTGATTGACCCACCCACGGCCCACGCGGGGTTGGGCGGTGGCGGTCGCAGTGGACAGATCCACTGCGCTGTGGCTCCCAAGAGACGGAGTGTTTGCTCAGCGCCCTCGAGGGTTTCGCAAGACAGGGGACGAGAACATTGAAACCAGGCAGGAAATGGGAGGTGTTTTCCGCTCGTCTGCACTTCCCCCACGTGGACTAGAGGTCATCTCCCCAAATTACTGCGTCAACTCCCGGTTCTGGGACTTGGAACGCGGTCAAGGACAACTTCCTGGCGCAGGGCGCTCCGCCACCAAGACCTCAGGCCAGACCCTTTCCTTTCATTCCCTCCAGAATACTGGTACCCTATCCGGCTCTCGCACCTTTGTGCACTCTGGAATGCCCTCCCTCCCCCGAGGATGAAAAGAGCAGAATCCTTTGCTTGATCTCCCTACTTTTCCTTCCGATTTTCCCCCACTTCTTTCTTGACCGCCGGGCACCGTTTCCCCGTTCCTCTCCATTATTCCTACCTGCGCCGTTGCCCGGAGAAGCTAGCAGGCATCGCTTGTGGGGTCTTGACTGACAGTGACACGCTAAGTGTACCACCACACGCCCCATGCCAAGATCCACAGCCCATATCCGCCGAGAATCCGAGCCCGTTCGAGCACCCACTTTCACGTCGCTGATGCAATAACGACCCTATCCTCACGGCGTTTCCTCTCCTTGATCTTAATCCTCCGATACCGACACTCTTCCATCTTCACCCCTTCGACCTTTGACTATCCATACGCCGTCGGACGCACGAGTTTCGGATCGTTCAGAATTCTCGACACCTCGACCGAGCGAGGCCATCCAGTTGCTGCCTACCTTTCGTCCTCCGTTACTCGAGAATCATTCGTGCCGGTCAATCTCCCCTTTGGCCAGCGAGTAAACCTGACGACACTTTGTACCGCGGTTACGTCTAGTCCCACCTTGTCCTTCATGACACCCGTATAGCCTTCGAGGGTGTTCTACACCTCCCACTCCTCGCGTGCGATTTTAGTACAGCCAGTCTATAGCTTCTTCTCCCGAGTTTTGCGCCGCCGATCCTTACCGGACGTCCCGACCGCTGCACCCAGCGTGCCCACCCAGACCCGGGCTCGAGCTCGAGGTCAACCCCCGACAACACCCTACCTCTCAACACCAGCATACAGCATACATTCGCCATGGAGGAGTCGAATCACAACGGAGCCTCGGCGCCAACCTCTCCGCTCGGCCAGCGAAGGCAGCATCCCCGACACTTGGGCCGTCAGCACTCTGCGGGAGAGAACACCGAAAACACGCCGCTTCTAGGCACCTCGCGGCCTCGGATAAGGCTCCAGAGTGGTCATGATTCACCCCGTCAGCACAGTTCGCATTCTGTGTTTACGAGAAACCAAAGCTATACGGGTGAGTTGACCCCCAGAACGAACTACTCTCACACTTTGGAACGGGGGTTAGGACTAACGGACCGGCATATAACAGGCGGAAGCATAAGAAACGTCAAGCACCACAGCAGACACCCTCGTTTGGCCAGCGACTCATCCAGGCTCTTTCTGACCGGCAAGAAGGGACGAATGAATCAAAGGGAGGACCCGGGGCCGATGAGCGCGTCTGGTACGATCAATTTACTTCGACTGACTGGGTCCGAGACAACATCGCGGATGCCTACCGTGTCAAAGCCCTCCGGAATCGAAGAGACTTTTGGGGTCGGGTATTTATCGTATGGGATGCCTCTCAGGGCTGGATCCTGAGCGCCTTGAGTGGCTTCTTGATTGCCGTTGTTGCCTACATCGTCAACGTGTCCGAGTCGACGGCATTTGACTGGAAGGACGGATACTGCACAAGGGGCTTCTTCATAAGCGAATCGGTGAGTTGGTTGATTGCCCCCGTATCCTTGCTATCCTGCTAGCATCTGGCCATTCCCTAACCCCTTGTCTACAGAAATGTTGTCCCCACGGTCCCTGCACGGCCTGGCGGACTTGGTCCGAAGCTCTCCGCGCCCATATCTTTGGCGAGTTTTGGACCGAATACGCCATCTATCTTTTTCTCGTGATTGCCTTCTCCACCATCGCCTGTCTCCTGACCCTCCAAACCAAGACTGTCGTCCCCTCGGCATACCAGCTCTCGACCCTAGACGAGAATCTCGCTGCCGAAAGTCCGCCGAGCGAAATCTCTGCCGACTACGCCGGAAGCCCTCGTCGGGCAAAAACCACAACAGAATCCCCCGATGGTCTACTACTCGGCGGCCGGCAGTGGTGTTGCCGAAGTTCGGGTCATCCTGAGCGGATTCGTGCTCCATCGCTTCCTTGGTCTCAGAACGCTCATCGTCAAGACCGCCGCCCTCATCTTTGCTGTGGCTTCCGGCCTCAGTCTCGGCAAGGAGGGACCCTACGTTCACATTGCGACCTGCGTAGGAAACATTGCCTGTCGTCTCTTCTCCAAGTACGACCGAAACGACGCCAAACGCCGTGAGGTCCTGTCCGCCGCCGCTGCCGCTGGCGTGGCAGTCGCCTTTGGCGCTCCGCTCGGAGGTGTGCTCTTTGGCCTAGAGGAGGTGTCGTACTTCTTCCCGGCCAAGACGCTCTTCCGCACCTTTTTCTGCTGCATCATTGCGTCGCTAACGCTCAAGTTCCTGAACCCCTACGGCACGCATAAAATCGTCATGTTCCAGGTGCGCTACCTGATTGACTGGGAGTGGTTCGAACTCGGCAGCTTCATCATGGTGGGCATCGTCTGCGGCGCCGCCGGTGCGTTTTTCATCAAGGCATCCAAGCACTGGGCCAAGTCGTTTAGGCGGATCCAGGTGATCAAGAATTTCCCCATGCTCGAAGTGGCGCTCGTTGCCCTCGTCACGGGTCTCATGAGCTACTGGAACGTCTTTACCCACCTCCCCGTCGCGAAGCTCCTCCTCAACCTCTCGTCCCCTGCGACCCGCTGGACGCGGACCGTGACCAGCTCGGCCTGTGCCCCACGCGCATCGAAGAGATCCCCCGTGGTGGCCAGCCTCTTCGCCGCGTTTTTGATCAAGGGCTTCCTCACCATCATCACGTTTGGCATCAAGGTCCCGGCGGGCATCTACATGCCGTCCATGGTTGTGGGTGGCCTCCTGGGGCGACTCATCGGGCACATGGTGCAGTGGGTGGTGTTCCGGTTCCCCGACGTGCCCATCTGGGCGGCGTGCGCGAGGAGCGGCGAAGGGACGTGCATCCAACCGGGCGTGTACGGCCTCATCGCCGCCGGTTCGACCATGTGCGGTGTTACGAGGCTCTCGCTAACCCTTGCGGTTATCCTCTTTGAGCTCACTGGCAGCTTGGACTACGTATTGCCTTTCTCGCTGGCGATCCTCGTTGCAAAGTGGACGGCCGATGGCATCGAGCCCAACAGCATCTATGTAAGGATTTCCCTCTAACCCGCCCAAAGGCAAATCAGCGCGGCTACCTGCCGTCCTCTTTGCTTGATACATGATGCAGCATGCTAACGCGAGACTTTTTTTTTCTTTTTCTTAATTGCAGGACCTCCTCACCAACATGAACTCGTATCCCTTCCTTGACAACAAGCACAAACCCATCTTCACAGACGATCTTGCCACCATTGTGCCCCGCGTGCGACGCCAGCGCGTCATCGACATCACCAACTCGCCGCTCGTCCCGGCCACGGATCTGCGCACGAAGCTGATGGTGCTGCATCGGGCGGGAGAGCTCGACGGCGGCCTACCGATCCTGCGCGACGACGTGCTCGTCGGGCTCATCCCGGCACCGGATCTCGAGTACGCGCTGGACAACTTGCCTGATGAGGAAACGAACTTGTGCCTGATGGCGAATGTGCCACGCATTGACGATGACGATGATGGAGAGGTCGACCCTACTGACTTTACGCCTTATATTGACCCGGTAAGTTTTAATGGTCCTTTTAGGGTTTGGGGGAAGCTACAGAGCAGAGAGGAGGAGAAAAAAGAGCATGTTCTAACATTTTTTTCTTCTTTCGCTAGGCTCCTGTCGCTTTGGATATCCAGAGCCCGATGGACTTGGTGTACGAATGTTTCTCGAAGCTGGGCTTACGATACATTTGCGTCGTTCGAGACGGAAAGTATGCCGGAATGGTGCGTATCACGAATCCCCTTGAATCCTGGTCATCCCTCTTCTTATCCCACCCACTAGCAGTATGCTGGTTTGCTGACAAACATGGCATTCCTAGACTCATAAGAAGACCTTTGTTAAGTATATGAGGGAGCTTCTACAAGAGCAACACGGTCACTGAGGCTCGCCACGTAAGACATGGGGCCGCTCTCATACGACGCGTGGCCTCGGTTCCGAGGACGGTGGCCGCGCTTCCTCCGCACCTCATTGCGCAACCATATGCTCATAAGCAAGTAGAAAGCTTTTAGAATATTGCGTCGAATTTTTGCATCACGAGAGCGATAACCATTTTGCCCCTGCTCGCATCATCTTTTTTTCTCGTTGGTTTCAAGCGGCATTGTTACATATTATATCTGATCTTGTTTCTTTCTTGGCATACATCTCCTTCCAGGGAGGGGTTTTTTTTTTCTCTTTTTCTTTTTCTTAATTTTGGGTTTCTCCTATATTGTACTGGCACTTTTTATGGTGCCCCTTTTGGGCAACACGGAACTGTGGGTGGTAGTCTGAATTTCTATGATGGGGACGTATCGAGGCGGTGGAACAGACTGACGTCTTTTTTTTAACTAATGCGTGGTGAGGATAAGACTTGATTCGGGCTTTTGGTCTAGAACAGAGTTATATATGAGAGAGGGAGAGAACTGCAAATTATACAGAGAATGGGCGGGAGAAGGGTGCTTCGAAAGCCATTCTCATCTTTGGGCATATTTTTCGTTTCTCATCTTGTCGCAACTTTGCCTCGGACACTTTGCTGTGATTTAGCTGGAAGAACTACGACAAGAAAGTATGAATGGTGTACGCAAGTTAATGTCTACTAAATTCACCATGAGGTAATGCAGGACACATCACAGTTTTCTAACGGTGCCCCCATCTATCGATCTTGGTAAACTAAAGATCCTGGGAGATCGTGCTGGTGTCGTCTTGCCACCCGGCACTGAAATCGTCGCTAGCAAAAACATTGAAAAGGGCCACAGCCGCGGGTGACGCCATGCATGAGAGTAGTAGCCCCGAAACCAGGGAACGGGCCAAACAGTGATGCCATGCCATCCCGCCCGTGTCTCCGCATCGACGTCTCGGAATCACCGCCCTCAGCGCATGCACCAATGGTACGACTGGTGCTTTTTTCTTCTCTTCTTGACTCGTGGCATTTGTCGGGACAAAGACGAGGGGTGAGCCTTGTGATCGTCCGTCTTATGTCTTCAGACGCTGTATGGTATTGTGGACAGAGAAGATGCCAAGATCCACGGCTTTTTCGGAGGAGCTACAGGCTGGGTGGTGGACGGCGAGGGCGTCGGTGGAAATACGAAATGTCCGACAACCTGTGCTGTTCTTACGGAGGGTTCAAAGAAGGATTGTGGGTTAAAGGGGGAGCTGCGTGGTGCGGTAATCTAAAACCCTTGGAGGCAATAGGAACTCCCTCGTGGTTGCCAATCTCTTGGCTTCCCGCTTGGTGGGCTTGGGGCTGATCCCCCGATGAGTGGGAGGGTGAGCACTGTAGGCGTTGAGTGCGCCATCGAGCGTTGAGTGCGCCGGTGTTGAGGTGTGCGCGTTGACGCTATTTACGAGGAGGCCGCCAAGCTGACGTTCACGAGGGCAGGAGGGAGGGGCCGGGCCGTTCAAGAGTTGATGAGCCAAAAAAGATGATGGATCCTGAACTGCTTCCTGGCCAATTAATACGAGCTTTTCTGTCCCCCTTGAAGATGGACTCTGGCTCGGTCAACTCGAACGGTGAGGAGTGAACGGTCTTCAATTTTGTTAAGGGACTTCTCTCGAGCCTTTTCCTGGGATCTTTAGGCACATCATTTGAAGGGTTTCATCGGGTCTTGAGCACTCCTTCTTTCTTTCCCGGGTGTTTTATACCCTTCTTTTTTTTTTTTTGGTCCACTCCTGGAACAACTTCACGTTCTTCCACCTCTTTTCTTCACAAGACGGACGTCGAGTTTTGTCGGAAACGCATCCAAGCCTTCTTTCCCCACGCTCCACCGAAGGCCGGCTAGACGACGGCACAATATTCACGCAAAAGCTGCGCCGCCCACGCGCCAACACCCCGCCGAGAACTAGACGATTCGGACTCTTTTTCACAGGACCCTAGTCGAGCTGGCGGACCGCGCCTCGCACCCCACTCTTCCTAGTTGAAGCCACAAAAGGGTAGAATCGACGTAGACGCCAAAAGGCAAAAGATAAGAAAGGAAAGCTGGGATTTACAGTAAGACGTCTCTTCGAAATCCCCTCTCCAAACCAACAAATGGGGCATGGAGTTGCGAATGGAGGCGGAAGCGGAGGAGGCATCTTCGCGAAGCCTTTTCGGAGCGGTTCGATACGGTCACCGCGAGTCGTCAAGGGGATTCTAAGGTCGGCGATTGCGCTCAAGTAAGAAAACTTCGTAGATTTCTTTCTTTCTTTTTTATTTTTCCCCTTCCTTTTTCATCTTGCCTCCTACCCCTCTTCCATCCTTTCGGTCAACGCTGCTCGTGGCTTGATAAGTCGTGGACTGTCTCGTCTTTTCGTCTGGTCCAACAGAACAAGGGGGTTGCAGCCGCGAGATGCAGTGGAAGCGTCGAACGACATCATAGTTTGATGGGCCTTGGAGGGTTGCAGGCACTTCCCGTCTAGTCTGCAGCTCCCTCGACCCTATCGACCGTCTCGACCCCTCGACCCCTCGACCCTCGACCCCTCAAATAGCCCAAACCTTGGCCAAGCTCTCCACATTGAGTTCAAGCAGTTACAGCTCGAGTGGCCTGCGCGTGCCTGACCCCACTGCACTACTCTCCACTATCTAGCCCCCTCATCAAGGCAGTAAAACCCCTCCTTATTTTCAGCTTCAAATCTCGTTTATAGTCAACTTGTACTCCCTTTCTCCCTCAACTTTTTTATCCCGTGCTATTCCCACCTCTTGCTGTGGTTCCTCCTACTACGGCTTCCCTTGAGTTTCAAGCTGCCCTTTTCATTGTTTGCAAAAGCCTTAGCTTCCACCCCCGTTCCCTCGAGGATCTTTAGTGTGTCGCTCCCAGACCATTGTCTTGGCATATATACACGGTGACGTGAAAGAAAGATCGGGCCAAAAGCTTGGGCCCATCGAAAGAAGACCGAAAGCACCTCCAAACAGATACGAGGGGCAAAAATACAAGAGGCTTAGAAGAAACTTTTGTTTCCTGTCCTTCTAGATACGACCACAAGATGTCGCACCCTGTCGACCCTTCCCAGCCAGCCGGCGGCGGCAACAGCGAGACCATCCGCGTAGTCGAAAGCCTCAACGAGACGCTCCTCACCTATCTCAAGACCGTCTTCGTCTCCCGCTGCGCCCCACTCCCCGCCGACCAACGCTGGTCCGCCCAGCAAGTTGCCGCCTTTGCTACCGAGATCCAGCGCGAAGCTCCCGCAGCGACCGCTACACCCACGACCGAGGGCCTCGCTTCCGTGCCGGAAGGTGGGCTCGACTTTGCCGGTTTCATCAAGTACATGACCTCATCGGCCACGGCGCTGACGGCCCCGCCCAAGGACGACGACTTGACGTGGCCCCTCGCGGCCTACTTTATCAGCTCCAGCCACAACACCTACCTGACGGGGAACCAGTTGTCCAGCGACTCGAGCCCGTCGGCATACAGAGACGTCCTGTTGAGAGGGTGCCGGTGCATAGAGGTGGACGTGTGGGACGGCGACGACTCGGACAGCGAGGACAGCAGCGACAGCAGCGCCGAAGAGATTGAGGGCGCCAAGCTCAAGACGAAGCGCTCCACCTTTTCCAAGCTCAAGAGCAAGCTTCCCGGGTCCCTGTCATCCAAGCTGGAGAAGACGAGCCTTTCCTCGGCGTCGTCGTCCTCAACGTTTCCTAGCACGGCGAAGAAGACGGAGGCCAAAATTGCCCAAAGGTCGACCAGGCCGCTACCGCTACCGCTACCGCCGCCCCGGCCGCTCCTATCTCACCTGCTGCTCCTGTTGCTGCTGCCGCTCCGCTGCTGCTACTACTCCTGCTGCTGCTGCCACTCCTGCTGCTGCTGCCACTCCTGCTGCTGCTGCCACTCCTGCTGCTGCTGCTACTTCCATGCCGCCGGCCGCCACCGGTGGTGCTGTAGGCCCGGGCAGCGTGAAAAAGGTGCGAACAGACGGAATCCCACCGCTAAAGCCCGGAGCCGTCGAGCCGCGGGTGCTTCACGGGTACACGCTGACCAAGGACATCACGTTCCGTGACGTGTGCGTGGCTATCCGCGACTACGCATTCGAAGTCAGCGACCTACCTGTCATCGTCAGCCTCGAGGTGCATTGCAAGCCCGAGCAGCAGGGGCGCATGGTGGAGATTATGCAGCACGCGTGGAAGGGCAGGTTGGTGCCCGCACCGGAGACGGATGCCACAGAGTTACCGTCCCCGCATGACTTGCGTGGCAAGATCATCGTCAAGGTCAAGTATGCCCCTCCAGGCACATCGCCCGGTACCAAGCTAGCTGACAAGGTGGCCGCCACGCCTTCGTCGTCGCCCCCTGCCGCCGCTGCCGGGACCGGCGCCGCCGCTGGCGCCACCAAGGCCAAGGCCAAGGCGGCGTCCAAGATCACGCAGGCACTGAGCGACCTGGGCATCTACACGCGCGGGGTGTCGTTCAAGTCCCTCACGCAGCCCGAGGCCACGATGCCGACGCACATTTTTCGCTGTCGGAGAAGAAGGTGGAGGAAGTGCACGAGAAGCAGGCGGTCGAGCTCTTCCACCACAACCTGCACTACCTCATGCGCACGTACCCGCACGGCTTGCGGATCGGGTCGTCCAACCTGGATCCGGCGCCGTTTTGGCGAAAGGGCATCCAGGTCGTGGCGCTCAACTGGCAGAATTGGGACGAGGGCATGATGCTCAACGAGGGCATGTTTGCTGGCACGCACGGCTACGTGCTGAAGCCAGAAGGTGCGTTGTTTGTCTCGATACTTTGCTGGATCCCACCATCCAGCCACTTTCACTTTGCGTATTTGTTTTTCTTCTTTTACTACTGTTTGCTAATCTATGCTTACTTGCGCTTAAAGGTTACCGGATGAAGAAGCCAGACGGCAGCAAACCGCCCCCGACTACCTACCACACCCTGGATCTCACCATCGAAGTCCTGGCTGGCCAAAACATTCCCCTCCCCCGACGATGACCACGCCAACAGTTTCCGGCCCTACGTCAAGACAGAGATCCACGTAGAGTCACCCGAGGAGCGTCGCGGCAAGGTGCGACCCGAGGCCGAGGCGGGGCGGGAGGCCGAGGGCGAGTACAAGGCGCGCACCAAGAAGGGCCGGGGCCGGGAGCCCGACTTCAAGGGTGAGGCGCTGCGCTTCACGCGCGTGCCCGGGGTGGTACCGGAGCTGACCTTTGTACGTTTTACGGTGCGCGATGACGAGATTGGCCGGGACGACCTGGCGGCGTGGGCCTGCGTCAGGCTAGATCGGCTGAGGAGCGGGTATAGGTTCGTGCACCTGATGGATTGCGCGGGCAGGTTGACCAAGGGGGTGTTGCTCGTCAAGGTGACTAAAGCCCTGTCAAGGTGAGGGGGCAGAAATAAATGGGTGGACGATGACGGGCGGCGCTCCTGACGGAGGGATTAAAGCGTAAGCCAAAGTTCCTGAGGACGAAGGGAGGGCCGGCTGGTTTTTGTCCTTCCCTCGGAGACTAGGTGATCGGAAAGGGAGAGCTGCGGAGGCGGAACACGGGACTCGGGGTCCGGGGCTTATGGCTCATGGCCCGGAGCTGAGGGTCCGTGTGTCCGGGGCGAGATGATTTGGGGTTCCTGGGCGGCAAGTGCAGCGGAGGCGCGTCAACTTGTGACGATTCCACCAAAGTGTAAGCGTGGAGCCCCACATGCACTCCTTAACGACCAACACCGAAAAAGATGAAAAAAACGACGTCATGCCATGGATGATTGGAATTTCTGCAAGCATATTTTGTTTATCGAGCATCACAGAGCACAAATATCTTTCTTTTCCCCTCCTTTGCTTTCGATGTGTTCCTATTTCTATCTTCCCCATTATTATTTCTGGGACGACAAGTTGCCTCGCCGTTACTATGATGAGAAAACAAGTTTTTGTTTCTTCAAGAGACCTTGTACGCTGTCGCCACCATGCTGATGTGATGCACACTCTTTAAAAAACCCGATAATCGGAGGCCGGATGATCAGCCCCTCGCCTCCGCACGGTCTCCAAGGAGACGCCGAGGGAAATTCCTCACAGTGGCTTGTCCCCTAAAGAGAGCTGGGCGTAATATGTCGACGCAGTGGTCAGAACAGATTTGAGTAATCGCCGCCCCTCCACTTTGTTACTCGGTGCTCCCCTGCTCTTTGCCGATCGATCTCCACCCTATCACGGAGTTGCGATGTCATACTGGAGGCGGTGCGGGCAGGTTCCACTAGTGGAGTGCGTCTTTGTGGTTCTGCCAGCTAATAATACCTAAACCTAGTGAAGCTTGATCAAAGGATAGATATTTACCCAGCCTCGCCTTTTATGACCTCTGACGAGGAGCCGGTGTCAATCTCCCACAGCTGACGGCGGCGGTGTGCCAGCGCGTAGTTTTTTATCTTCTTTCTTTTGGGGGTGCAGAGCACTATTGGGTTTTTACTGCAGGCGATGGTGGACGCTTGTCTCATCTTGAGATGGCCAGGGACAATGGGGAGATACAAATTCAAGTGAAGCGAGGGGATTCCAGCACACGTGGGCAGGTTCATGTATGTTTTAGATATCGTATTCCTTTTTTTCTCTCTTTCCCCAAACGTATCAGTCTTTGAAAGACTCTGAATTGGGATGTATGAAGTAGTAAGGCTGAGGCTGAGCACTGGGCAGTTGTTTCCAAAAGCCAATGCTACTGCATACATTCAATGTAAGGAGAGCACGCGCCCTCATACGCACAGGGTTAGGTGTGCGTGGGCGTATCGTTTCTGCATCGTCGGGCCGGGACCGGGAGCGCCTACCTTCAAGCACGGGACTCTTCATCCAAGCCTTCTCGCCCTTCTTGCTCGGCTTCAGCCATGAGCATGCGTCCATAATAGCTGATGAGAGAGGATGTTGGCGTTCAGCGTAGCAGCTCTTTTGGCTTGCTCGCCGATGGATCGAGATTTCCGGATATAGCCTCGGGACGGGAAGGACAGATGGGAAACAAGGACCGGAAAATGGGCTGCAGGGGCCTTGTCTTGTCAAACCTGTCAACCATGGCGGGACAGACAATCCGCCCGTCTGCTTCCAAGGACCGAGCGATCCGGGTCCCGAAGATGGGAAAGAAATCGCCCGCAATGCTTGACAGCATGGCCCTCTCTGTTTTTCTTCCACTTCTAGCGCTCTCTGTTCTGGCGGTGGTGTCTGCTCGAGACAAATATACTTCAAAAATCACGTCTTTCTTTTTATTTCTTCGTCCGAATCTACTCGTAGTATCGGTCACCGAGGCGAGACGAGCAGACGAGCATCCGGCCCTCTCCTGCCTATCACTTTCCCCATTTCGACCGGGTAAACAGGCTTTCGCACTCCTTTGCGCATGTCATGTTCGTCGCATCTCTGCGGTAACGACTCGCTTAACGCCAGTTCCGCCCCCTCCTAATTTTCTTTTTTTCTTCTTCCTCTGCCTTTTTCTTGTCCGTGCCGTCGGTTGGAGACGCATCTCGAGGACCCTGAGAACGGAAACTTACATTTTGTCTTTTTTGGTCTTTTTCCCGCGAAGCTTGCAAGAGCCTCATGGAAGAACTGGGGATCTTCCACTTGCGCATCGGTGGCGCGGGAAGAGTAATGCGCGCACTAATACGGACATGCCTAAACGTTACAAAGTATACGTAACCTATTGTGGAGCTGGCCCTCGGTTCAATACGAACCAGCCTGGCGTGACAGCTTGAGAAAGGGCCAGCATTATAATAAGGGTCGGGGATACGCTATAATAGGAGCGGGGACAAGACGCTGAGAGAATACACACTAAAATCAAGGGAGGAAAGTCTGATGACGACGCCTGATAGTGTACAAGAAGAAAAAACTTGGAGACGGTGGGCTCTGTTCACTGTTCAATGGGGATACCCCCTTCTTTCGTTGACGCCGAGCCCTTGGAGCGTTTCAGTTTCGGGCGGTAAAACGGGGGAGCCGGAGGTTCTGCCGCAAGAGGGGACCCCAGATCAATGGGCAATGGGCAAGGTGGAACCTATTTGATTGATTTGAGTGGCAGAGTCACGGCCTGGCCAGTGATACGGTCCACTACGAAGGCGGAATGGCCACGACGACACGTACACGCACGCACACGCACGCACACAAGAGTGTACACGCCGAGGAGGCGCAGCAGAGGAACATCAGACGTCCAAGGAAAGCACCGAGAAGAACTGCGGGAGGAAGATAATCGCCCAAAAGTCATTAAGGAGAGTAGGAGAGAAGGAAACAACAAGAGGGAAATTGAAACATTTAAGACGGCCTTGGCAAGTTCAGGGCAATGGAATGAGGTGGCGCTCCTATGATCCTGCTCTACATGGGTCTCTCTCTCTTTCTCTGTATTTCTCTTCTTGGTATCTGTGCGGTGTTGTATTGCCATCACTGCCTACCTGTATGGACCGATCCATTGATGGTATCCTGGAAGCTTCTCCAATGAGAATCAAAACCTGGGGAGGCGAGAACAAGTAAGAATGGTAATATGTATTCTGTGGATTAGTGTGCATTGCACGTGGAAGAACAGAACATTGAGAGACGGGAGTGTCAGCCCGAGACATTCTGGCGTGGCTGAGCTTTTGATTTCGGCGTTTGGCAGATCCACCGAACACGGGAGCACGAGACACATCCGCGCTGCAGCTCGTCTCTGACGAAATGCGCTCTCTCATCTCCGTGCTCACGGAGTGTGTTCAAAAAATTGTTGCGAAATCACGGTTATTTGCCCTGATCCCGTCCCAAAGTGGCGAATTTGGGGATAAAAAGGGAGCACTTGAGGCAAGAAAATGGGTATTTCTCCATTCGATGTATTCTCGAAGCAGGCAGGATCGTTGGCTCTTGTGAATTAGAGATCAATGATGGCGTTGCTCTCAATAGTTTTTGTTGGACATCATCAGCTCGTTGTTAATTATAGACATGGAGGGTTTCCTAGCTCAATCTGTCTCTCCTCCGAACGGGAAATGGGATAATAGTGCGACTCCTCAGAAAGCGCCAATGCTCGGCAGTCTTGGGAAGAAGCGTCGAGTGTCATTGTCGAGCAGAGCAGAAGCAGTACGGAGTGCATGCAGCCATTTGATTCTTGCCTCCGCATAAGCTCAGAACCTCAGCCCCAAAAGCCAAGATGTAATTCATCCTTCCCCCACTAGGTGCTTGTCAGTCACCCGTCCCCTCCCCCTGCCCAGCCGAACCTCGTCATCCCTCCCCTCGTATCAACAGAGAGGAGCAACGACCTAAGCTCAGTGTCGCCCATGCATTGTCAGCGTCAGCGTTCAAGCTGTGTCTCGAAATATTCAAGTGTCGTGGGCTCGTTTATGCCCGTCCAGGTGTGCACCTTGCATTGACGAATGCCGCTATTCCCAACCCCTCGGTGCCAACTACGCCACGAACGTGCTGGAAGGAGGGCGGGGGGAGAGGAATAATAACTTTTACGATGGAAAAAAGTCGCCGTGGGTTGGAAGAGCGACGGTTGGGTTGCGTGAGCTCGCACGGTTGGGCCAGTGACAGACTCTTGTAGACCGTAAGGGGAGGGATGGAGCACTTGAGGTCCCCCAGCCCGACGCCACTGTCGGCTTTGCCTGCTTGCCTCGCAGACGGAGCAGTCGCTTCAGCCCCGTAGCCTAACACAAGTACATGGCTCGCTGCCTGCGGGCCTTCCGTCCCACAAAACAATGAAAGGGGAAGCCAGGGGGTGGTTGGTTGGGTGTGTGGGTTTAGATGGCTTGGAGAGAATTGTGGATATGTCGTGTGGGTTGTGGGTGTGGTTGTTCTGTGGGACCTGGACCCTCGTTTCGGATGCTCTGGGCCATTCCTTGATGGCCATGCACATCCTGTCCTGCCCTGTGTGCGCGTTACGCGGACATTTTTTCGGTTTGTCGTAGCCCATTGGGTGGCCCCTTCCCTTTTCCGACCCCTGATCTTTCTGGGCCCTTGCGGGTTCCAGAGTGTTTGCGTCGAGGATCTTGCACATCCCATCAGAGTATATACATGTGGGCTGGTTCCCCGGGCTGTGTTGACTTCCTTTTTTCTTGTTCTTCATTATTTTGTAACTTTCTGCAGATTGCATTTCTGTCATTACTCTCTTCATCTTGCATTCGGGACCAGTGTTGGAATATCACTCGTCCGAGTCTGAACAGACCATCGTCACCCGCCAGTTCTTCGCCCCTTTGACCCTGAGCGACCACCGGCTATAGCTACGAAGCTTTGGAAGCCTCGAGAAACGAAGCAAAGCGAGCTCATCCGAAAAGTACAGCTCGAAGCGGTCGATAATCCAACACCGTTTCGCCGCTTCCTTTTCCTTCCCCCTCCTCCTCCTCTACCTCATCCTCCTCACCTCACAACAAGATGAAGTTCTCGCCCGCGGCGTGGGCCACCGCCCTCCTCTCCCTCGCCCCCACCCTCACATCCGCCGCTGCCGCCGTCTCGCCGCCCCCGCCACAACAACAACACGCCGCCCTCCGGACCCGGCAATCGAGCACGGCCTGCAACAACTCGCCCGAGCTCTGCTCCCGCAACTACAACAACATCACCCACCTCGGCGCCCACGACTCCTCTCCTCCGCGACGAGTCCACCGACAACTCCCTCGCGGGCAACCAATTCTTCAACGCCACCGAGGCCCTCAACGCCGGGTTTCGCCTCCTGCAGGCCCAGGTCCACAACGAGAACGGCACCCTGCGCCTCTGCCACACCAGCTGCACCATCCTCGACGGCGGTACCCTGCAGGACTGGCTGACCCGCATCAACTTTTGATGAACAACAACGCCAACGAGGTCGTGACCATTCTCCTCGTGAACAGCGACGGCGACGATGCCGCCGCCTACGGTGCCGCCTTCGAGGGCAGCGGCCTGAGCCGGTACGGCTACGTCCCCGAGACCGCCGGCACCTGGCCCACCCTCTCCTCCATGATCTCGAGCGGCAAGCGCCTCGTCACCTTCATCGCCAGCATCACCGAGAGCCCCTCCTACCCTTATTTGCTCAGCGAGTTCAACTACGTCTTCGAGACCCCCTTCGAGATCACCTCGTCCTCGGGCTTCAACTGCACCGTGGACCGTCCCAGCCGCATTGAATCCGCCGCCACCGCCATCTCCCAGGGCATGATGTCCCTCGTGAATCACTTCCTCTACAAGGATCTCGGCGCCTTTGGCATCATGATCCCCGACGTCGACCAGATCGACAACACCAACAACCCCAATGACGCCGGCGTCGGCACCCTCGGCAGGCACGCCAGCCAGTGCCGTGCCGAGTGGGGCCAGCGCCCCAACTTCATCCTCGTCGACTTCTTCGACAAGGGCCCCGCCATCGATATCGCTGACACCATGAACGACCTCTCCCAGGCCAGCACCGGCCGCGAGACCGAGTTCTCGGCCGCTGCGAGGTTTGGCGGAAGCACTGGCAGCCGGTTCGGTGCGCTAGTCGTGGCTTTGGCCGTGGCGGTTACGCTGTTCTAATGTGATCACGGTTAAGATGATCTGGCTCCCCGTCGGAGCGTTGCATTGCATTGCATTTTCTTTTTCCTTTTATTCATTTTATCCCCCGCTAGTTCGAGAAATCGTTCAGAAGAACGTGAATTTCGAGTTTGCCCTATGACATCTTGGTCATATGGGAGGTTGTCTTTCTTTTGTTTTTGTTTTTAGAATGGGCAAGGAAGATATTCATGGAGCTCATCCATAGCTCGTCGAGATCGGCCATCGTGTTGCCGCAAAACCCAGGCGTTCCGGTCAGACAAATCGGAAGAGACAGTTTTGTCTTCCATAAAGTTTTTTTGTTGAGACCGTTTTCTACGGGGCTCTATTTTCTTCTTTTATTTTTAAAGGAATTTTCTTGGCTTGCCGGCCATCTTGGCAGGGGCGGGCCGACTGGAAGGGACGTCTTGGATAGACGTTGATCCTTGACAATGGAGCAGTCTGAATAATTGCTTCATCGGACTGGCGAACTCCCTGTGCCGCTTCATGACTAAGCGGCAACAGTGAATTTTACTATATAATGGGTCAGGTAACCTGCATCTTTCCCAAATGACGGACCTTTGGAAACTGTTATCCGTTGGAAAGTCACCAGATAGGGCTAGTTTAAACAAAAACCAAAATATCAAGAAGAACCAATTCAAAGTTAAACCGCGCTTGGGAAAGCTGAACATAGCTCTCCTTCTTGTCACCACCACTCTCCAACTAACCGCAGTTGGATATTTCAAGTTCCGGCGGGTGTTATCCACGTAAACCCCGCAGACAGCGACTACAAGTAAGGCCACTCCAGCTCTATAGGCCCCCTCGTTTCAGCGCCTTACCGTTCTGCTCTTTTCTTTCTTTTTCTTTTCCTTTTTCGCAGTCATCATGTCGATTGCTCGGGGCAGCACCGTACTGGGCACGCTGCAGCGTGGAGGCGTCGTCCGGGCTGCTGCTGTGCCGCTGCTGACGTCGCAAAGCCAGCGGGCCGCCGTCCGGCACTTTTCATCGGCTCTCGCGACAGGACGCGGACACGGAGCGAGACCGACCGCTTACGCGACGAGCAAGGACTCGCTTTTGGGGCCACCATGGCGAGCAAGGTGGATTATTCGACGCTCAAGACGCCGGCGCTGTGCTACGCTGACTTTTGTTTGCTTCCGGTGAGTCGTGTTTCCGCTTGTTTGGTTCCTGTTCCTCTCCTTAGGTCCCGTCTTAAGTCTGGTGGGGATACGAGTGGAAGGAAACTCTATATAAAATGAGAGAAGATGAAACAAAAAAGGCAGACTGCTAACGTTTCCGCCGTCGATGCGTCGTGATAAACAGCTCGGCACGGGCTCGGCTTCGGTTTCCAACGAGATTGCGGGCGTGCAGAAGCTCATCCGAGCCAGTGGCTTGAAGCACCATATGCACTCGGCTGGTACCACCGTTGGTAAGTTTGAGACAATGGCGCCGATGGCTTCCCGATCGCGGTTGTAGCAATTCGTGCTATTACTGGATTCCCACCCCAAAGCGGCGCGGTAAATGTGTGGGATATGTCTTGTCTTTGCGTTGGCTAACCCACCAAAACTATCAGAGGGTAGCTGGGACGAGGTCATGGACGTCATCGGCAAAGCCCACACGCTCGTCCACCAGAACGGCGTGGTTCGCATCCAGTCGTCGATGCGTGTTGGCTCGCGGTAAGGCCTATTTCTTGTTTTTTTTTTTTGAAATCCCTTTGTTCTCCCTACGAGGTTTACGCTATCACTGGGGAAAGGGGCACGAGAGCGTAAAGAGAACCCGGCTGTTGAAGAAGCTAACGATTTGTTCAAATCGCGGTAGAACCGACAAGGTGCAGCACTTTGAGGATAAGGTGAGGAAGGTTGAAGAGATTCTCGCAAAGGAGGAAAACCAGTGAGGGATTCTCACTGGTGTGTGTGAAGATTTCCCCTCCTCTGGCGCATCGAGTGTGACCCTTGCAACGAGTTGGACGATACACACTTTTGGGGGCCAGCAAGTTGCGTGATTTTTAGGTTCTCTTCTTTGGAGCTTTCTTCTGGGTATCCCCGGGAAGAAGCTACTATTATTACTAGCTTTTCAATGGGCTATTATCAGATATTCGAGGGGAAATGTACGAATAATGCTGGCTCAGGCGAGCACCGAACGGGCCTGGGGCTGCGTGCTCTTTGTCTAAAATGAATAGATTATCTAGGGGGCCAGTATAGCTTTTTTTTTTAAACGAGCAAATGAAAAAAAAATCCTTGCCATCATCACTTTCTCGTTCGCAACTTCATTTTGGAAACCGAGGTCGAAGGCTGGGGGAAAAGGCGAGCTGATGCCTTTTCTGGGGATGGATTCGCAATAATAACACATCTCGTTCCCGTCAAGGAATAACTGCAGAGCCTCAAGAGCCGCATTGATGGCAAATTAGAGCTCAGTGCCCCCAAGCTATGGCACTGGGTTTCTGTGCGGTGGCCGCCACAAACGGTTATTCCTTGTCGTCAATTGGAATGGATCTGGAGTGTATTCCTCCACTCCCGCCTTCGGTTCCGTGTGGGAGAGCATGGGGCGCACAGACCAAGTTCCAGATGAGTTTCCCAATTGAGCCTGGTGCTTCGGGGTTGTTGGTGAGGAAGGAAGGAACAAGCTGTTACTTTTTCCATCTCATTTCTGCGCCTTTCCATCGCCTTTCTAACCCCAATTCCCCCTTCTTCTTCCACCCCCAGAAGAAGCTCACCTCCAGTCTTGGGTAGAGAGAATCGCCGCGAGAAACTACAACTCTTGGACCATGGCGAGCCACGATAAGGATGCGGGTATGTCTAACTCTGGTGATGGAAGCCTTCCAGTCGATGCGCTTTGCCCCCTTTTCTTTGTTCGGCGCCGGCCTGCCTGTCCCCTTCCCCCTGTCCCGAATTGAAGCCACGGGGAGGCTTGTCCATCACACTTGATGACACATACAAGATCAACCAAGCCGAATCGGCGTTGATCGATTCATCGTGAGACATGGCACGTTGCTAACCATTGGCGCTCTCTTCTACAGACTTTGCCGACTTTGGCGATGCTCCGGTCGTCGCCGACACCTCGCCTCCTCCCGTAGCTGGTCTCGGCATCAACCCATCGAGCAGGCCCTACACGAAATGGTACAACGTCCATGAGCGCCACTCCTTGAGCGAGTTCCGCCTGGAGGGCTACATCATTGGCATCATTGCCATCCTTCTCGCCTTCCACCTCTACGGCTCGCGCAGGAACCGGTCCAAGGCCAAGAACTTCATGGCCAAGCACCTCGGCGTCCTCAAGCGCGAGTTTGCCCAGGTCGGCTTCGGCGGCGAGAGCCACATTCGCGAAAAGTCCCTCTTCGAGTTCGAGGCCTACGCGACTGGTCGCCAGAACGTGGCCTTCCTCGACATCAACCTGGTGATGAAGAAGCGCTTCAACCCCATCCTCGGCGGTGTCGAGTTTATTCTCGGCTCCCTCTTTGAGAGCTTCCCCCGTCGACCGTGTCGATGCTGTTTTGTACCCCTTTGACGGAAGGGAGGCCAAGACCGTGCCCTCGATCCCCGGGAACGAGCCCAAGGTTGAGAAGTCGAGCTACGACGGCTTCGTCTGGGCCGTCGTCAACAAGAACTGCATGCAGGCCGTCCGTGATGAGCGCTACGATGCCTCCATCACCTCGACCAAGGACAACTCCAACCTTCCCCCTTGGCTTACTGTCATGAGCGAGAGCGCTGAGATCACCAACCTCCTCTTGACTCCTGAGCTTGCCGAGGCTGCGAAGAAGGCTGGTGATCTCCTCGAGTATCTCCTCATCTCCGATCAGCCTACTGATAAGCCTGTCACGTGAGTTCCATTCCCCGTTCACAAGCATTCCTCTTGATCCATGGTCCATGGTAGCTAACATGCGTGAGATAGCCTCGATGACACCGCGCCCCGCAAGCGCGTCTTTATCCGATACCGACTGCCCTCGAATGATCAGGAGTATGAGGATATCCTCCCCATCTTCTCCTACTTCCTCCGCCTTCCCGACGTCCTTGTCAAGAATGCCCACTTGCGGCCTGAGGTTCTTCGCAAGGTCCGCGCCACCCGTGACGATGCCATCTCTCAGATTAAGAAGGCCGACGATGACCTCAAGGCTGAAGAGCGCTACCTCGAGCGCGAGAAGGCCAAGAAGGCTAAGCGCGATGAGCAGCTCAAGGCCATGGATGCTAAGACTCAGAAGAAGTTTTGGAGCGCGAGCGTGAGAAGGAGCTGAAGAAGACCCAGAAGAGGAGCAACATTCGCGGATGAGCGAATTATCGTTGCCCTCTCTCCTTGCTCTCTCCTTTCCCTCATCTCCTCTTTTAGTGCTACGCATGGCAGTAGTACTAGTGAGAAGGGGCTCATCATTGGGTTGGCAAGAGAGTCGGATCACTGATTGGCTTTCTTGCCCTTGCGTTTTCCTTCGTCGGCTATCTTTTTGTTGGATCTAACGGGTTAAAAACAAAGAAACCAAAGGATTGGCATTGCAGATCGAGCTGTGGTCATGCATATATATATCTGGGCTGGGTAATTCATAATTCATCGCTATGTACTCTTATGTGTATGAGTTGTCGAAACAAAAAAGGGACTTGCTGAAGGGGTCTGGAGGGACATATCTAACGCGCGTCTTGGCCGGCGGTGGTATCAATCTTTTATATCTCTTACTGCAGTTTAATGTCTGTGAGAGGGCTCTCTTGTCTTTAATACACTGATGGTTGACCATGGCTTTTGTAATTTTTCAAGTGTGCAACTACAGGGAGCCTGGCTGTGTCATGGGTTGATTTACATTTCTCACCATCTTTCCAGTCATTCATAGACGAAGGCATCGAAATGTCAATGACAGCACATGCGCGTTAATTGAAAATGGGCCAGATAATATGGGAAGCCGGACGATCATGCTAGGTCCGGCTGCAGGGTCCAACTTGGGGAGAAATTCGGCGGGGCGGTTACCCCGCCAACATTGATCGATGGCCAAGAAGCCATCCCACCACCATCATCATCGATGCAGCATTGAAGAGCCACTCAACCCAACATTCACATCGACCAACGACGACCGGAAGAAAGAGGAGGAATAGGAAGAAAAAGGAATCGGGAACGTACAAGCCAATCCCCGATATATATCTAGAGCAGACCTTTTTCCTTTGGATACAAGCGACAAAAGGCAGGCCAACCAGCGAGGGGGCCAGAAGTTAATAGCGAAACCAGCTACACCGGCAGCCTGAAAAAAGGCATTGAAACTAAAAGGAGGGGCAAGACACGATGTCGCAAGCGGGGAAGGTTCGCCAATACGGAAAGCAGACGACACGATCGCGTGCAGAGCGGCTCTTTGCCGAGTTACCCCCAGCCCGGTGCGAAGACTAGGCAGGGAGAAGAAGGCGGATTCGCGCAACAACGCGGGAAACATCCAGGAACTGACAGAGTTGGTGGCCTCTGTGACAATACAGGATAAGAAGGAGGAGGTTCAGGACGAAATAGCGAGGCAACCACAGGAACAGCAGCAAACAGAAGAAGAGCCCGTCAAGGTGGACGCGCCGAAGACGAGGCGAGGGGCCAAGAAGGAGCAGATGATCACGGTGGTCGAGGTGCACGACGAAAAACAGAGGAGAGCAACGCTCCCAACGACGATGGCGACCAGGACGGTTCCGAGACGGACCGCGAGCGGACCCCGTGGCTTCCGCGCAGCCGCCGGCCGAAGCGCAAGACGAGCCGAGCATGACGGAAGGAGTCGAGGAAGGGCTCCGCATCATCTCGTGGGACGACGTGTGCCCGTTTGGCGACCGGATCGAAAAGATTGCGGAGGCGTCCTACGCAGAGGTCTACCGCGTGACCAACGAGCGCGGCATCAGCATCATCAAGGTGATTCGGCTCAAGTCGCCGATCCGGGCGCAGACCAAGGCGCAGGAGCGGTCGGGGCTCGTGGACGAGGAGCCGCACGACGAGGAAGACCTGATGGGCGAGCTCCAGATCTCGGAGTGGCTGGCCGACATACCGGGCTTCGTGGTGTACAAGGACCGCTACATCGTGCGGGGCAAGGCGCCCAAGGCGCTGGTGGAGACGCACCAGGCGTTCCAGCGCAAGGTCAAGCGCAAGGATCCGGACCGGTTGCAGTTTTACCCGTCGCCGACGCGGTACCTCGAGGGGACCAAGTTTTTGGTCGTGGAGCTGGGGGACGCGGGGACGGCGCTGGAGGATTTTGGGCTGGTGAGCGTGGAGCAGGTGTGGGATGTGTTTTTGCTCGTGGCGATTGCGCTTGCGCGGGCGGAGGATCTGATTCTCTTTGAGGTAGGCTCGACTTCCATCAACCTTCTCTCCTCTGACTGGGTTTCTTGTTTTTCACTGACACTGGGCACGCACTTTTTTTTTTATAACAAACAGCACCGGGATCTGCATGAGGGTAACCTCTGTATTCGCCAAGTTGACGCCCCTAAACCGCGAAACCCGGCTCTCCCGGACGTTCGGTTCGGGTATTCAGGCCTCGACATCACCATCCTCGACTACGGTCTCTCCCGCGCTGAGGACCCTTACGCGGCGGAAGATTTCTACTACGACGAGGAGGACGAGGCTGAGGACGACTCGGTCCCGCCGCCCGTCGCCTACGACATGGAAAGGACCTGTCCCTCTTCACGAGCACGCACGCGGACCAGTGCCGCGTGTACCGGCAAATGCGGTCCTTCCTCCTGCGCGGCGACCGCAAGTGCCTGCCGCCCGAGAAGCACGTGGAGCCGTACGCGCGGGCGTTTGACGGAGCGCCCATATCGTGGGCGGCGTTTGCGCCGTACACCAATGTGCTGTGGCTGGCGTACATTTACGAGTACCTGCTGGACCGTTTTCTCGCGTGCGGTGGTAGCAGCAGCAGCGCCGCGGAGGGCAAGAGGGAGCTGGCGCGGTTTAAGCGGGAGACCAAGGAGCTGTGGGCGCACCTGAACCCGGGGGCCAAGGCGGGCACGCCGACGTTTGGCAGCGCGGGGACGTGGTGAGGTTCGCGGTGGAGGCGGGGTGGGTGCTGGAGAGCCACGTGGTGGGGGAAGGGTCGACGATTGTGGAGAGGGAGGATAGTATTGTTGTGGAGGAGGATGAGCCGGGGGCGAGGTTGAGGAGATCGCCGAGGAGGAGGGGGCGGGTGCACCTTTGATTTGAGTGGGGGTGTTCTTTTTGGGTAGGGAGGAGGGTTTGTGCTTATACGGCGTGTGATGGATTTGGGGTCATGGTATTATACCCATATATACGTAAATAGTTTTTCTCTCTCATCTGTTATGTGGTGGTGGGGGCTGGTTCTTCTTTATGGCATGGCTAGAATGTAATATCTACATATGGAGATGGTAGGACTTGGGAACAATACTCCTCCTATCTTCTCATAATACGGGCTGGAGTTTCCAGTTTCCAAAAGCTTATAGTGTCGAGAAAGAGATATAGATATCTGTACTCATCTCGTTTTCGTTCAATAACCAGCTCCAACGTACATCTCCTTGGTTGAGGTGCTTGATCGTAATCACCGAATCAATGCAAATGTGTTGATTTAAGCCGACGACAGAATCTCCATATTCGTCAACTACGAGGTGAGGCATGCTTTTGGCTTTTCCACATGTTGAATGTGCAAAGAACCGCGGTCAAATCCCGATGTAACACCACCCCGCGTTTTCGTACCTGTAATACGTCCAGGAGGCATTAAGATGAAGGTAAAAAGCAGAGGATGGTGGTTGACTAGGGGTTCGGGGGAATGCTAATTTGGGACGGGAGGACAGGGTACGGGGGTACAGTTGGACGGGTTTTTCGATGGGCTAATCCACTGAGAGGTGTGAAGGGGATGAAGAATGATTACTCAGGTGCAATTGTCAGTTGGCCGAGTGGTGTTAATATTAGAGCATTGAACGGCGATCACACATGCATTCGTGGAAGACGAGAAGTAGAAATAGCGAATACAAGATTTAATGTTCGATGTGAGTGGGGTGGAGCTGCGCATGAGGGCAAGAAGTCTCGATCGTGATCTCCGAGTGGGAGATTAGTGTTCAAGCAGGGCCCTCGGTCGTGTGGACGTTCTTGGTTTGGCGGGGAAATCTGGCAGTAAATTGATCAGATGGCCAGTGGATGGACCTAGGATGGAGCCCAGGATGCTCCGCTCGATTCTCACACCCGAGTCGGATTTTGATGCTGAGTGAGACTGAGAATGTGCCCCAGTATTATCTATCTTTTCTATTTGATCTGAACAATTGGGTCCATCAAAGTCCACCGTTGAGTGATCACGGAGGTCAGAATCTATGTTCGCTCCTCTCAGTGCTGTTCAAGCTCTATTCGAGCCAGCGTGTTGTGCACATAATTGTTGTGGCGTTGATTGGGTGCCGAGGACGCCAAACTACCGTCCAATTGACAAGTGTGTCCGTGTTTTCCGGCGGGCACTTGTTCCTTTCGGATTGTTGACAATAGGAATGAGCGACCCCACGAAACCTTGGTCATGAAAGGGTTCGTTCAGAACGGGCGGTAGCGACTGGGGAGCTTCTGTGCCGAGCTGGTTCTGCATGTACCGACGTAGTGATGTACCCTATGCTAGGCTGGTACGGCCGTTTTGTGCTCTCAGCGCAGCACCAACCCAGGTACCCGACTATGGACGCTCCAGCCATGCCCAACCAAGCCGAGGCTAAAAAGCTGCCGCCAAGTCCGAAAGCACAACTCGTGCCGCCTGCCCATTTGGTCGGTCTTTCCCAAAAGCTTCTCTTGGATTTCTCGACGGAGGGAAAACCGAGTGGAAAAGCACATGTTCTTGTTGTTTTTGCCCTTCGTACATCGCTCAACCCCCAACAACGGAACGAGGGATTCTTTTCTTCTCCTTCTTCACCTCCTTCTTCGATTCTTCTCACCCCACCCCACCTCTTTCTAGACTCAGGGGAAACCCACACTTTCCGAGAATTTGAAGCCATGAGACGCGCCGCGAGCTCCACACCTTTGTGAATGGAGCCCTCAGCAGATCGATAGCCCGTCTCTATAATATCTACCTGTCCTTGTTTCCTCACCGCCAACCACACCCCTCCCTCCCCTCTTTATTTTCTTTCTTCTTTGTTTCTTCCCTGGTGGATATCCCCAAGAGTTGAAGGGCAGCTGAATCGAAAGATCCTTCCTACCACCACCACCACATTAGACAGCATACACCGCCGCACGACACACGGAAGAAAATTGCTGTAGCGTACATCCACCATGCCGTCCAACGGTTCAGCCTACTCGGCTACCCTCAGCCCAACCACGACTGCCGTGACACCGACAGCCGATGGCTTCCCGCCACACGTTCTATCCTCGTCGATATCATCCATGGCCTCGGCCCGCACATCCAAGCGCACTTCGCCCATCACCAAGACCTATCACCAAGCCTCTACCCTCTTCCTGACGCGTCGCTTGCCCGAGGCCCTTACCACCTTGCTACCCCTCATCACAACGCCCCAGCCCGCCGACCAGAATGGCGCAAACGGTTCCATGGAGCTGGCACCCGTCGCCAGGGCACCTAGGAATACGAGAATCAAGGTCTGGAGCCTGTACCTGACCATCCTGAATGCCGTGCTCGAGCTAGACCCGGATGAGGGCAAGGACATGTTTGGCACTCAAGAGTGGAGAGCACTGTGCAACAAGGTGCGCGACGGCCTTGTCTGGGAGGAGGTGGTCCGGAACGGCTACCACGGCGTCGAGGGCGACGTTGACTCGGATGTTGTCATCAATCTGTAAGTCGACAAGCCCAATTTTCGTTGTATTCCGATGGAGTTGCTAATGGTCTCGCAGTGCCACGCTTCTTCTCGCCCACGCCCGCACACAGGGCCTCAACCAGAAGAGGCTCGAGAGCTATCTCGCCACCTGTAACTCGCCGAACCTAGATCTTACCCAGCGCCTGAACAGCGGATCCCGGCCCTCCTACAGATATATGTCTCCCGCTCGGGGTGCCGTCAGTGGCGCCGATACCCCGCGCGACCTCAACGCCCGCGTCAAGATCCTCGAGCTCTACACCCTCCACGTCCTTCTTCGCAACAACGAATGGGAGTACGCCCGCGAGTTTATCAGCGTAAGCTCTGTCCTCGACGAGGAGCGCCGGGAAGCCTTCCTCCAAGCCCTCCAGAGCCTGCAGGAGGAGCAGCAGGAGGCCGATCGCCTCGAGCGCGAGGAGCGAGAACGCCAGCAGGAAGAGCTGAAACGTGATATCGAAGAAGCGAGGAGATTGCGTGCTGAGAACGAAAAGATGGAGCAACGGAGGCTGCAGGAGGAAAAGGAGCGAAAGGCTGCGAGTGCCGCGAGCGAAGTCGACTACGGCATAGAAGAACCTACGTCTCCGCCCCGCCCCGCCAGGCGGCGAAGCAGCCAAAAGGGCTCGCTATCCAGCGCCAACAAGGGCCCCCGCGGCCCCGGCTCTCGACGGCGCCGCTCACTCTCGGTGACCGGGCCAACCTCATGATGCAGAGACTCCAAGGTGTCATCGAGCATCTTAGCTCCACATTCTCCACCAACCCCGTCTTCCTCATGAGGCTCATGGCCTTTGTCCTCGGCATCATCTTTATGTTTTCCAGCCGCGCCATCCGGGAGAAGGTGCAGCGGATAATAAATGGCGCCTGGGGCAAAGTGAGGCAGACCGCTGGTATGGGCGTCAAGGTCAGCTACATGTAATGAAGTTGGGACCGCTCCAATCTTTGCCATTTGCCGTTTGCCTCTGCACCCCCTTTTTAGTCTGTTGACTATTTTTATTTCTTCTTCGTCTTCCATTCACGGATTACGTTGTGTTATTAGTACGCAAAGCTTATTTTGGGTGTATCTGTTCATTTTTGCTTTGTCCTTTTTTTTTTTTTCTTTTTGTTTTTGGGTCACATATTCTCTTACAGGCATATTTTAGGCGTACTTTTGGGGCCAGGCGGACTACTAGAGCACTCATCAATTTCGATGTATGAAGGAGAGATAATAACTAAATTGCATTATGACCCTGCTATCTAACGCCTAACTTGTGTGTCCTTGCTCCCCTTGTAAAACGTGAAATTATGAAACTGCATGCTGGTGTGTGGGTGGATGCTCAAAGATGCCTCGGCACTTGACATCTTTAAGATGGGGCTAACCGAAACGCTGGAAGGGGGCTTGGCTGGTCTGGGGAACTTGAACTATCCGAGCCTCCGATCCGAGATTACCATGTATGATGTAGAGGGGCTAGACAACGACGCAAGGGAGGTGAGGCCGCATAATATACGTCCGTGTGAGAGATAGTTGAGGCCTGGACAGTCTTCCGCGAGGCGGGTGAGTTTGGGCCAGCCAGGTTTGAAAGGGCGGTTTGAGTCCGGCCGTCGATGTCCTGAAAGGCTATTTGGGGAGATTGGTATGTCTTTTTGTTGCACCAGAAAGGTGCTCTAGATTGCGGGGGCGCCATGGATAGGTAGCCCGAGGATATATGTTTTATATAACTTTTCGTTTTCCATCCCCCATAACCCATTCAGCCAAGTACAGAATGTCTATGCGATGCCCGCCAAAAAAAAAAAAAAAAAGAACTCGAAAGAAACGAAACCCTGATGCTAGACCTGGTACAAATTGTAGAAAAGCCAAGAACGAAACGAGCAAGAAGAAGAACATGAAAGGAAAGGTGGAGCAAGCGAAATGTATCCCTCCCGAATTCCAAGAAACTCCAACTCCAGAGCGACGCGCGGAAAGGCCCAGACCCGGGCGGTACCGGTGTTAGTAATTCGCTTGCCGATTGGTTTTTCTGGTAGAATAGCTGTATTTTGGGGGAAAACGAAATTGTTAGCATAACGCCAAAACCAACGCGGGGGGAAAGAGGGGTTGAGAAGGGGACGTACATCTGTCCTGGAGCTTCCTAGGTTTATAATCTTGGGGCAGCCGTCGCGGTCCTTTTCCAGACGGGTACACTCGAAGCAGTAAAAGGCATCCGAGATGCCTTCGCCGCCGCAGACGACGCACTTGTTCTGGTAGTTGCCAAAGGAGCACTCGTCGCAGATGCGGACGAGGGTCGTGGGGCGGACGTAGGAATCGCAGACGGGGCACTTGCCGTCGCACTTGTCGCACACGCGGCCGATGGCGATGCCGGGCTGCTTGCGGCACATGACGAGATCGCTGGATGAGAGGAATGGAGAGGTGGTTAGCGGTCATGATCTTCTTTCTTTTTCTTCTTCTCGTTGTTTCTCTCTGTCCCCCTCCCACCCTTTCGAGAGCGGTCGAGGAAGGGTGGCGGGGGATATTGAGATAACCGGTGCAATTGCACGGAGACGGCGGGGGCTGGGGAAAAAAGACTTACGGATGATGTCGCGACATGATTGCGGTCTTGGGGGAGCGGTGCGCTTGGTGAGGAATGCGCAGCGAGGAAGTGGGACGTGGATGAGGTAGGAAGAGTTGTATGTTGAAGTCGAACTTGAAGCTTGTGCGTGCAAGTGCGACGGGACGTTGAAGATGACTTGCGAACCTCGAAGCCTGCTTTGTCAGCGCCTTTGGGGGATGGAAGCGACGAGAGCCACCTAGGGCGTCCATTCGCTGGCCCCCGAAAAACAACAAGGATTACCAAACCATTGTTTGCCTCTGAGCGGCCCCGCACTTGGAGGTTGGTTTTGGACCCCCGAAAAGAACTTCAGGGAGAGCTCAAGCATCCCGAGAGGAAAGCGGCACAGAAGAGCCGCACGGATCAAGACACGAGCTTTTTGAGCTCTCCACCTTTTGCCACCCAGGAACCGAGGAGAGCTTTTTGCGATTTCGAAGTCGGCCTCGAAGCTTTTTTTTCTTTCGCTCTTTGTTTTATCAAACACACCCTAGGGAATTTTGCCTTCCTTTTTTCTTCTTCTTGTCGTCGCGCGCAAGAAATAACGAGATCCTACCCCCTGGCGTTAGGGGTGGAGGCAACAACCGAGCCTCACGAACTCACGCGAGCTATATCCTTTCGTTAGGCAGCTTGGTTTCAATGCGCAGAGGCGCTTAATCTCAAATCACCACCCGAGTTCCGACCCTTTCCTTTTTGTTTCGCCAAAGTATCTCCCATTGAACGACGGAATATAAGAGACCTGAGAGCCCGCGCGACACTCTGGGACCACCCCCGCCTCCCACACCCGTTTTACGAGATCGCGACGGGGTCGCTCCCAACGAACGATGTCGACCGACACTATATCCGATGCCCCCACCCTCAGGGACAGGGACCAAACCGACCTCGATACGAGTAGCCTCAAGCGCAAGGCCTCGCCGAGCCCGTCGGAGGGGCCCGACTCGCCGAAGCGCTCCAGGACAGACGAATGGACCAAGGCGACGTCGCCCGATAGGCGGAGGAGATCGAGAAGCGCGGACGCAAAGGAGCGAAAGGCTTCGGTAGATGAGGCGCGAGCACGCGTGGCGCAGGAGGAGAAGAGCAGGGGCAGGAGGCTGTTTGGGGGCCTGTTGGGCACGCTGAACCAGAAGAGCTCGACGGCGCAGCAGCAAAAGAGGCTGGAGGTCGAGAAGAAGCAGCAGGAGAGGCTGAAGCAGCAGAGGGTGGCGGCGCTTGAGGCGTTGGCGGAGAAGAGGCGAGCCGTGTCGGAGAGGAGGGAGAGGGAGGGGATGGGCTGGGAGGAGACGGTGCTGAGGAAGAAGCATGCAGCCTTGAGGCAGCAGGCTGGGGTGCTGTGTACAAGAGCCCAACCGCCAATCGTGAGTGTTTTTTGTTCCTCTCTTTCCATCGCCCCGCGTTTCTCGTCGCTGTCTATCCCCTCTTTTGGCTTGTTGACTAACTCTTTGTCCGTCTTAGCAATGGCGACCTTGGAAGTATAGCGGCTCGCAGTGGGATATTATCCAGGACCAGAAGGACGAAGTGGAGGACACAATCAGGAAGGAGTTGGACGATTTCCACCAAAGAAAGGTGGCTCACGCACAAAAACATGGCCTATCACCCCTAGGCCCCAAACACCCAAACCGGCCGAGCGAGCTGCAACGCCCAACGAATCTCCCAAACCCGACGCTGGTAAAGAGTCCCCGGCTACCGGGCCGCCAACTGAAGCGGCGCCAACCGTCGCTCAAGAAACTCGAGAGACACTGTCCGACTTTGATCGAGACCAGCCAGATGAGTCGGGAGACGTGATCATGGAGTCGGGCGAGGACGTCGTCATCTACTAATAACGAGGTGCCGTGTTCACCGTTGTCCTTGCGGCTCCTCGCCGCCCAAACCCGCCCCTCAGCCGTTATCGAGCCTGATTCTCTTCCCTGCGCTGCTTCTCATACCACCTACCCGGTTCTCATCACCCTCATATTTAATAGCTCTGTCTTTGGCCAAACAAATAATTCCAGCGATACTCCTACTAGCATTTTCATGGGCGTAAGGTCGAGGTTCCCCTCCTTCCCGTGACCGTCATTCAGGTCAAGTGTGGCGGGATTTTAGTCTGCTTTGAATTTCTTTTTGATATTTGCCTGAGATAGTTCAAGAATGCGTTTCTTAGTCCATCGACCCTAGTTGTAGTTGTAGTAATGTAATGTCAGGGTAGCTGCACATGCTAATGAGATGCCAATTGTTGGAGCAATAACCAACGCATCACGGTGTTTACAATCTCAGTGCATTTGTATGTCTTCAGCGTCATAGTGTGTCAACCCCTAGTGTGCCTCGAAGCCCAGCAGATCCTTTAGCCCGCATGGCCAGCGACTGAAACAAGGAGAACTAGCAGTATTGGCTGCGCATACCCGATTGCCCGAGCTGCCTTTAGCGTGCCTCTCTGGGAGAGCTTGTCTTTCCATCAAGAGCTCTCGCGTCCGAACCGAGAGCCCAGCATGTACAGGATATTCCTATGAAGAGACCAATCACTTGGCCTCAAGCACACCATGTGCGATATGCCAAGTTGATTTTAGCGAATTCCATTAGCACATAAAACGCGGCGGTTCTCAATGGGACTAAGAACTCTAGGAAGGGGGAGGGCCATCTCTCTGGAAAAAGAAAGATCCGCAATGTTATCCAAATATGCACAAGCGCAGCGCAGCGACGCGCGATTTGAGTCCCAACCCAGCTTGCCCCTCTCCTTCGCATGGCAGGAGGCGAGCCGCAAGAATCGCACACATCAAAAGAAGGGCAAAACGAGGCTCGACACCGCTTTCTCACAGCTTGCTTCGAGGACCCACCTCGAGCTTCATGGGGCTTCCCCGGTCCGGCCGGTCGCGCGTGCCTGTGCATGCGTGCGTTGCGTTAGGTTGCGCGTGCGTGCGTGCGTGTGTGTGTCTCTTGTCTCCGCCCGGGCATGTGGGTTGCATGTGTGCAGTTCCTTGGGCTGGGAAGCGGGGGTGGGCAAAAAGCGAGTGGTGGGCCCCCTTCCCCTCCATTTCTTCGAGCAAAACGAACCAAAATTCGCCACCGAGCTCCTCTTTATTTCCCAACTTGAGAGGCGGTGGGTAGGTGGTGGGGGCAAGGGAAGACGAGGTGCGTGGGCGCTTCTTTACTCCTCCGCGTTTGAAGCAGAAGCTGTGGAATGCCCGGAACCTGGGGATTTACGTCACATCGAGCTAGCTGGAGGAGTTCCTTCCCAATTTGTCATACCCCGACTGGCCGAGGCACGATTTCCTAGCAGGGTTATCGACGGGCTAGAAGGGGAGGAGGAGGAGGACGAGGACGAGGAGGGGGATTTGCCCCCTTTTTTCCTTGTCCCACTTACACCGTCAGATCTTGGCCCCCTCAGCTACTTCGTACATGCCGTATGTCCAATGCGTCGGACCAATAATTGGCGTGGGGCGTGGGAGATCGAGAGCTTAGAAGGGAGAGGGAGGGGGAAGGGGGAGGTTTGATGAGGGGTAGCTTCGGGGAGCTCCTACGCATGAGTCCACACCGCGTCCCATGTCCTACACGCTGCTCAGCACTATAAAGTCCTCGGAGCGAACTTTGAAAGGGACGTTGAGCTCTCTTGTCCCCTCCCCTTTTTTTTTCGTTTTCTCTCCGTCTTCTTCCATCTCGTATCTTCACATCTTCCCTTCAAAGCGAATATACCCCTTTACGTTTATTGTCAACTGAATCAATTGGTCAGTTCCCTTCTTCGTGGGAACAGTGACTGTGTGAACGACCACCGAGTCTCCCGGCCGTGTAAACCATATCAAACCATATCAAACCACCCCTCGGCCCTCACCTCCTACAATGGTCGATAAAATCGTACCCAACGACCCTCGGGTCCAGAGCAAGACTGCCACTATCCGTGGCAAAAACTATCACTACCTCCTCGCCGAGCCCCCACCTCCCCGCCCGTCGACACCGTCATCCTTCTCCACGGCTTCCCCGATCTCAGCCTTGGCTGGCGCTACCAAATCCCCGCGCTTCTCGCCCTCAACCTCCGCGTCATTGTCCCCGACAACTTGGGCTATGGCGGCACTGATGCCCCCGAGAGTCCCGAGCACTACTCCTTAAGAATCTCTCGGACGATATCGCCGAGCTCATCACCCACGTCTGCGGGCCTGGCGTGTCCGTCGTCGTTGGCGGCCACGATTGGGGTGCGGGTCTCGCCTGGCGCGTTGCCCTGTGGCACCCGAAGCTCGTGAGGGCCGTTTTCAGCGCCTGTGTCCCCTACTCGCCTCCCAAGGAGAAGTGGACCCCGCTCAAGGTCATCATCGACGCGGGCAAGCTGCAGAACTTTAGGTACCAGTTGCAGTTCCACGGCAACGACGTCGAGAAGGAAGTTCAGGGCCGCGACAAAATTCGGCAGTTCCTCAACGCCGTCTACGAGGGCAGGACCCCCGATGACAGGTACGCCTTCACCACGCGAGACGGCGTGCTATTCGACAAGCTCGGCGAGGTCGGCCAGACGCCCTTTGCCACCCCCGAGGAGCTGGACTTCTACGCCGACCAGTTTTCCCGAAACGGGCTGCATGGCCCGCTTAACTGGTATAGGGCGGGCGAGAAGTCGTACAAGGAGGAGGTGGCGCTGTTGAAGAAGGGGCTGCCGGGACTTCGCATCAACATTCCTGCGCTCTTCATCGCGGCTTCCAAGGACGTTGCGCTTCCTCCTATCATGGCCCAGGGCATGGATGAGAACTTCGATAGGCTGACCAAGGTCGAGGTTGATTCCACCCACTGGGTACTTTGGCAAGGCGCCGAGGAGGTGAACCAGCACTTGACAAAGTGGTTGAAGGATTCCGTTCTGCTGCAGCGCAAGGCGTCATTGTAACTTGTTAGGAAGATTATCTGTTTTGTCCTGTTTGTATTGATTACTGGTGAAATGGGGTATATCTAAGGGTTTGGCGTGTGGGTTCTCGCCCTGTCTAGGTGGTGTACATGAACAATGATGAGTTATGAATCAACTGGTCCCCTGAGTGAAATACGTGCCCTTCGGGAGATTATGTTCGAAGTACATCGTGCTTGTGACTGCTTGTGACGGGGAGATCTCTGAATCCTGTGAGAATTGTGGAGGCGTGCTAGGATAAATGAGGCTACGCTGCCGAACTCATGCTTCTAACTCAGCGTGGATATGATCGTCCGTAGTGCCTTCGCCCCGGCCTCACACGCGGAGTCATCCTGCGGGCAAAAGTAAGAGCGAGTCTTTCTTGATACCAGGTTGCCTGGGTCTTTGGGTGCATCCCGGTTGATATTCTAGTAGCGGCTTGTCGTGCTTAATTCCTCACTTAAGATTGAACTTCTGGCCACTGATCACAGGCGCACCGGCTTTGCCTTTCTTGTTGGCCTTTCCACACATTGCGCACGCTGCAAGGAGGGTTAGAAATGATGCGCCTCTCTTTTATTGAAGAAAAGATAAATGGGGAACTGGGAGCGATCGACTTGGATGACAACTTACCATCTGCTTGATAGGCACAGGACTGGCAGTACGAGAATCCCTGAGACACCTTGGTCTTGCACTTGGTGCAAGAGCTCGAATACTGCGCATAGGGATTCTTGGCAGTCTTTGAAAGGAGCTTACTCTAAAAATGGGCATGTGTGTCAGAAAATAGGAGTTTGCACTCAAAATTTGACGATACTATTTCGAAGGGAGAGAGAGAGGGCGAGCAGCAGATACGAACCTTGCTTATACCAGCGTTCGCCAGGGTCGTGGTCTTTTTGTCGGTAGTCTTTGATGAAGAAGCGGCTGAGCCGTAATACATCTCACTCTTTTTCTTGACTTGCGGGGTGGCAAGGGTAGTCCCCTTGGTGAGCTTTTGGCATTTTGAGCAGACCATGATGCACGGTGGCGACTTTGAGCCTCACTCTTTAAGGCTACGTGGGCCGCGGGGGAGAAACGTCGGGCGCAATTGATCCTTCCAGCTAGAAAATGACTACGAGCCGAAAGAATACTCCCGAGGGAAAGTTGGCAGTACAATATTATTGATTCGCCAAAGGTGGATTGTTCTGGTCTAGTGACAATGCCCAACTGTCCATAAGGCTGATTGATGGGTTAGGTTGATGTCTTGAGAAATCGGGTGTAGCTTGCACGACCTCGTTCGCTGGATGCGTGTGTGATGATGTAGGTGAGGAGCATACCAGACGCTAGCTTTGTTCGTTTGATATTCTTAGTAACCCCAGCCACACTTAGCCAGTGTGTATTGAACATATTTCATAATTAGTACTGTCCACGCGACGAAGCCACTTTGTCCCTTGTTTCGTACCTCGTATCCTCGAGTGAGACTACCAAAATTACAAGTACAATGATGATGGAGAGACACCGTCCAAAGTGAGCTTTCTTTGTCTTTGGCCAGTTCAGCCTTCAATAGCCTTGACTAGATTGGGCCAGCCGCACATGCTCTGGTTGTGATCACAGCCACAGCTTGAGCATCAGCCCAACCTCTACATTTCAGGGGGTGGAAGACGAAAGAAAGAAAAGAAACAAAGAAAAACACCCCCAAAGTCAATTGGCAGCCAAGGGGAGGCAGCGGAAAGCTTTTTGGTTTGCCTTTGCTGGAGAACAAAGAAGAAGAAAAAGAAGAAAGCCCCTCTTTGACGCCATGATGCGAAACACCTTGTTCACATCAATCCATTCAATGTCCACTGGGGCCAGCTTGGAATTGGTGTTGCTGGGGCTGGTGGGCCAGCTTGTACCTCTACTTGACGTTGGCGGGTTAGGTATGTATGCGGCAACGCCAGCCACAGCTGAAGTCAAAGCCTGCAGCTGGCATCTCTGGATCACTGCTGGAGGAGCCCCCTTTGCCGTGGCAGCCACTTGCTCCTGCCCTTGGCGATGCACCCCTGCCCCCTGGGCTGTTTCCCGTACAAGCCATAAATCCAATAGTGCTTCAGCATTCAACACCACGTACCCTGTACCTGCTACCTACTCTTGCTCCTGTGGGCAACCAAGGTCTGCGCCGGAAGGAAGAAAAAAAGGAGGCTGTGCTTGGCTGGCCGCGACAATTGTATTGCGAATGCGGAAACGCAAGTCCCTGTCAATCATCTTCACCTTCCAGACTGTGCAAAACGAAATCTCCATCGCAACACGTAATTCGAACTGCAATAATTCCTCTCCTGCTTCATCCCCCGACGGCAGCTGAGCTGACGACCTTGTAAACGGGAAAGAGTGACGGGACCTCGAACCTTTTCCTTACCCAGCGAAGGCCCGCATCGAAGCACCGTTGCTAGCCACCATTTTCATCAAACGAACGACGTCGCTCATCTCGATACGAGAATCCCTTTCCGACCCCTCCGATTTGCCATTTTCCATCATCAACTCTGTAATGATACCCCTGGTTTGCTGAGTTTTATCTAAAGAAAGAGAGCTCGAGGACAATTGATCATTCGATCCTCGTTGTCTCTCCCCACGCAGTTTCACCCGGTTCTTTTTCACTTCGACATCGCCGCCCAACGTCGAGCTTACCTTGACACTCCAACCCTACGCCACAGCCCCTTGGGCTCCTAGAGTTCCGCAATGTCGGGCGGTCCTACGCGCGGGAATACCCAGCGCTCGCGGAACAGCCTGATAGATTTAGAAAACGAGCAGCCCGTGTACGCGGGCGGCCAGCGGTCCGACCTGAACGATGACGACCTCCTCCGATCCTACACCACCGACCACGACCCTCAAAGCAGACCATCCGTATCCTATGATGACTTTGTAGGTAGTGGTGGAGGGGCAGCGCCTTCAGAAATCAATACTCGACAGGTGCATCCCCTCCACGCCAACAAGCTGGCGTCGCCGGTCCTGCCGCCGGTTCTACTGCCGGTCCCTACGGATTGAATCGATACGAAAGCAACCAGTCCGGGTTGGGCAACTATCAACGGTACGCCGACGATTTTGATGATTACCCTACCGATGCCGAGTCCTACTATCAACCTGGTGGTACTGTGCCTTCGACAAATCCGGCGGCTACGGGGCGTCAAAACGCGCGGCAACGAAATAGCGTTCTGGGGCTAGGCGGAGGGTTCATGGGTCGGATGAAGAATAAGCTCGGCATGGGCCAGGGCTACTCTGAGATGGATCTTCCCCTCACGGAACAAGGCACCGCCAGGGTGGACTCTGGAAACCTCGACCAGAGGAGTACGAAGAAGGAGGGCAAGTTCGACCTGGGCAACTTCAAGTTTGGCTTCGGACGATCGAAGCCCGATCCCTCGACACTGGGCCCCCGTATCATCTACTTAAACAACCCCCGCGAATGCTACGAACAAATATGTCGACAACCACATCTCGACAGCCAAGTACAACGTCGCTACTTTCCTCCCCAAGTTCCTCTTCGAACAATTCTCCAAAGTCGCCAACATCTTCTTCTTATTTACCGCCGCGCTACAACAAATCCCTGGCCTCTCGCCCACGAACCGATATACTACCATCGCCCCCTTCTTGTGGTGCTCTTGGTCTCTGCCGGCAAAGAACTGGCGGAAGACTACAAGAGAAGACAGGCCGATAAGAACCTTAACATGTCCAAGGCCCGCGTCTTGCGTGGGTCCGACTTTACCGAAACGAAATGGATTAACGTGGCCGTCGGCGACATCATCAGGGTTCAGTCGGAAGAGCCGTTCCCTGCTGATTTAGTGCTCCTCGCTAGCTCCGAACCCGAGGGTCTTTGCTACATCGAAACCGCCAATCTCGATGGCGAAACAAATCTCAAGATCAAGCAAGGCCTCCCTGAGACATCAACCATGGTGAGCCCCGCAGAGCTCGCGCGCCTTGGCGGGCGTATCAAGTCAGAGCAGCCCAACAGCAGCTTGTACACATACGAGGCCACCATCACAATGCAAACCGGTGGTGGTGAAAAGGAACTCCCGCTCAACCCCGAACAACTCCTCCTTCGTGGCGCCACCCTGAGAAACACGCCATGGGTACATGGCGTAGTTGTCTTTACCGGCCACGAGACCAAGCTCATGCGCAATGCCACCGCCGCACCGATCAAACGCACCAAGGTGGAGAGAAAGCTCAACAGCCTCGTCCTCTTGCTCATCCTGATTCTCTTGGTTCTCAGCATCATCTCGACTGTCGGCGACCTCGTGACTCGCCGGCTTCACTTCGATAGCCTTCAATACCTTATGCTCGACCCTATTAGCGATGCCGGCCAGATCGTACGCGCCATCCTCAAGGATATGGTGACGTACTGGGTGCTCTTTTCGTCGCTTGTCCCCATCTCGCTTTTCGTCACCCTCGAAATGGTCAAGCTTTACCAAGGCCTGCTTATCAACGACGACCTAGACATGTACCATGACCTCACGGATACACCGGCTAACTGCAGAACGTCCAGCTTGGTGGAAGAGCTTGGCATGGTGGAGTACGTCTTTTCGGACAAGACAGGCACCCTGACCTGCAACATGATGGAGTTCAAGCAATGCAGCATCGCCGGTATACAATATGCTGATGAGGTCCCTGAGGACCGCCGCGCCACCTTGGAGGATGGAGTCGAGGTTGGCATCCATGATTTCAAGCGCCTACGACAGAACCTTGCAGAGCAGCACGAAACCGCCATGGCCATCGACCACTTCCTGGCTCTCCTTGCCACGTGCCACACCGTCATTCCCGAGCGGGATGAGGAGAAGGGTGGCAAGATCAAGTACCAGGCGGCGTCTCCCGACGAAGGTGCTTTGGTGGCTGGCGCTGTCGAACTCGGTTACACATTTACAGCCCGTAAGCCTAAGTCTGTCATTATCGATGCCGCCGGACGGGAGTGCGAGTACGAGCTTCTAGCGGTGTGCGAATTCAACTCGACCCGAAAGCGAATGTCAACCATCTACAGGTGCCCCGATGGCAAGATTCGATGCTACTGCAAGGGAGCCGACACTGTGATTCTCGAGCGCCTCAACGAAAATAACCCCCATGTAGAAGTAACCCTCAGGCATCTGGAAGAGTACGCGTCCGAGGGTCTACGAACCCTGTGTCTGGCGATGCGCGAGATCCCCGAGGCTGAATATCAGGAGTGGTGGAAGGTGTACGATCGGGCTCAAACGACCGTAGGTGGCAACCGCGCGGACGAACTTGACAAGGCCGCCGAGATCATCGAGCACGACTTCTTCCTCCTCGGTGCAACTGCCATCGAAGACAAGCTTCAGGACGGAGTGCCTGAGACGATCCACACGCTTCAACAGGCGGGTATCAAGGTCTGGGTCCTGACGGGCGACAGACAAGAGACGGCTATCAACATTGGTATGAGCTGCAAGCTTCTCAGCGAGGACATGATGCTTCTCATCGTCAATGAGGAATCGGCCGAGGCGACACGCGACAACCTCCAGAAGAAGATTGACGCGATCCGGACGCAAGGAGACGGCACGATCGAGCTCGACACGCTAGCTCTCATCATTGACGGAAAGTCGCTCACGTACGCGCTAGAGAAGGATTTGGAAAAGCTATTCCTCGACCTCGCCGTCATGTGTAAGGCCGTCATTTGCTGCCGTGTGTCCCCGTTGCAAAAGGCGCTCGTGGTCAAGCTTGTCAAGCGGTATCAGAAGGAGTCGATCCTCCTCGCGATCGGCGATGGAGCAAACGACGTGTCGATGATTCAGGCTGCGCACATTGGAGTTGGTATCAGCGGTATGGAGGGTCTGCAGGCGGCACGTAGCGCCGACGTGGCGATTGCGCAGTTCCGGTACTTGCGGAAACTACTGCTCGTTCACGGGGCCTGGAGCTACCAGCGAGTGAGCAAAACGATTCTGTTCTCGTTTTACAAGAACATCACGCTCTACATGACGCAGTTCTGGTACACCTTCCAAAACGTGTTTTCGGGTCAAGTCATCTATGAGTCCTGGACGCTGTCCTTCTACAACGTGTTCTATACCGTTCTTCCGCCTCTGGCGCTAGGTATCCTGGATCAGTTTATCTCGGCGCGCCTCTTGGACCGTTACCCGCAGCTCTACATGATGGGTCAGCGCAACGAATTCTTCAAGCTCAAGGTGTTTGCACAGTGGGTGGCCAACGCCGTGTACCACTCCATCATCTTGTACGTATTTGGGCAGTTTATCTGGTATGACGGGCTTATGCTGGCGGACGGCAAGATTGCCGACCACTGGGTTTGGGGCACCGCCATGTACGGGGCGGTTCTCCTCACGGTGCTTGGTAAGGCAGCGCTCATCACGACCAACTGGACCAAGTACCATGTGTTGGCTATCCCAGGCTCGATGGCGGTGTGGTGGGTATTCATCGCGGTGTACGGAACGGTGGCCCCCATGGTCAATGTGTCAACCGAGTACCACGGCGTCATTCCCAAGCTATACGCGAGCCCGGTGTTCTGGCTACAGACGGTGGTTTTGGCCATCATGTGCCTGATCAGAGACATTGCGTGGAAGTTTGCCAAGCGAATGTACTTTCCGCGCACGTATCACCACATCCAAGAGATCCAAAAGTATAACATCCAGGACTACAGGCCTCGGTAAGTCGGATCCCTTCCCTCCCCTTCTTGTTTGCCAGCTCCAGAACTAACCCTATTACCAGTATGGAACAATTCCAAAGGCAATTCGCAAAGTCCGGCAGGTGCAGCGGATGCGCAAGCAGCGCGGCTACGCCTTCTCGCAGGCGGAAGAAGGCCAGACCAAACTTATCCAGGCGTACGATACGACACAGCACCGTGGCCGGTACGGAGAGATGGCAAGCTCGCGGCCTGGTGTAGGAGGCCCGAGTCCCTTCTAAAGATAGAGAAGTGGGTTTGTGTTCTTTTTAATCTTTGTTTCTTCTTCTGGGGCTTTTTGTCCCCCTTTTCTTCACATTCTGTGTTACCTCTTTTCTCTAAAGGAAGATAAGGGGGAAGTATCATCGTGTGCGCATACAAACTCTTCTTGCTGTTCATTTTTTTCATAGAACATTGGCGGAATGTTCTCAAATTTTTTTTTTTCACTTCTCTTCTCTTTATTTGTGTCTTTTTCCTCTTGTCCTTCAAACAAATGTTTGATTCCAACGAAGTGTACGGATATAAAATATGAAAGGGGAAACGTGGATCCACGAAACCGCAAGACCTTTGGAATGGAGGAGGGTATATCTCATTTCTTTTTCCACTTTTCTCAGCCCGATTACCGTGTCTCGATGTGGTTGCAAACTTTGCTCGTGCAAGATGTTCTCGCCTTTTACTTGAATTACACTCGAAAGTGACGGAAGAGGTTGCCAGCCCTTGCTCTTGCTGACCATGTATGGGAACATGGGGAGTATCCAAGGTAGGTTCTCTCCACCAACTGGGACCTAGACCTGGACACCTTTGGGAGCGGCTGGAGAAGGGAAACCTCGGGTTGGACCAAAGAAACAATAAGGAGAAGAAGAAGAAGAAGGATACGCATCTAGGCGAAGCTTCTTTCTCCCTCTCGTTAGACGATTTCTTTGGCCGCGGCTAGCCATGCTACGATGAAGCCGGAGGAAAGACAGGGAGATAAGAACACGATAAAGCAGAGCAAGCGGCGGGTAGGTTAGGCCAAGGCATATTCACTTACACGGACACACGAGCTATACGGGGAGATAAAGTAACGAACTAACTCATATTGAATTGCGTGCCCAGCATTCCGAGGAAAGACGGAATCGAGCACGGCCAACGGAACTCACCCAAAGACATGAACACTTGGTCTTTTCCGGTCGTACGAGAATGCATCGGCCCGGACAGACATGAAATGTCCAATAAGAGAGAGGGGGACCGCCGTGGAATACCGAGTAATGGAAGAGGAAGAAAATTTTTCTTGCCTTGCTCGTGCCATACGACCGGTCGGCACCAAAACTCGGGTAGACCGGTTTCCCTTGTCCGCTTGGTTAGGGAGCCATGCGGTAAGGGAGGGGGGCGAGACTCGCTAACAACAAAATCACACTACGGTTTAAGCTTGATTTCGGGAGGCGGAGAGGCTCAAGAGCTGGCGGGTGTGATCCAGGGGGTTTAAGGGAGAAGGCAAGTGACACGGGCGTCCATGCCAATCTTTTGCCTCTTTTTGCTTCTCTTGGGTAGCAAGCAAGCCCATGGCATGTCGGACAGGCCCGAGTGTAGTGGGTCTATAAAGTCCCAGAGGGGAAAGGGGGGCAAGCAATTATCGATAGATCTCGATGATGCAGCAAGAAAAAGAAAGGAGACAAGTGGAAGCGAGATTTACGTAACCTCGATTATGGAGGCTGCCTCGGCAGTGGAGAGAGAGCGCGATGATCACGGATGCCGAAGGCGGAGATAGGAAAAAAAAAAAAGATCAAACGACTGCGACCTAACTCGCCAGCAAGCCTTTTTTCTTCTCTTCGGTTTCGGTTACCCCATGTCCACGAAGCTCGTTTGCTTTTTCTTTTTTTTTTCTCCTCTTTCATGCTGATGGCCTTTATCTGACTGGGTCCTTGTTCGCTAGCCACTTCCTCGTTTCCCCATCATATTCTCCGCTTTGGTTGCAGCTACTTCGTAGCTCGGTTAAAAGAAGATTAAACAAGAGAAAAATTTCCCCTCGCCCCTCCCCATGATCGACTAGCACCAAGCCTCCCTCGGCTTGGTCGGCGGGGTGGATGATCCAGGAGCGGGAGAGAAAGAAAGAGATGGTGGGTTTTCTGTTTTTTTCGCTGTCTTTGACTAGCCACGACACATGTCTCCTCCCCCAGAGTGTGTAAGACATTGCGGGGGCGGCTCTGGGGGCTTGAGTAAGATGAGCTTGTCTGAAAAAAGAGCGGAGGAAGCTCCATATGTGATATTACATGGAATGTATGACCACACCACCCTCTTTGCCCAATGCCGGTCTAGATTAAAAAAGGTTGTCCTGTCTTTTAGGGAAAAGAAAGACGAAAAAAGAGACTAACTGAGACAGGAAACGGAAACATGCCCTGACTCGTGGATGAGCAGTGAGATGCACGCATGAGAAACAAGGTGGAAGTTGGAACAAGGTAAGCCGGGCGCTCGTGAGGCACACGGGACGGGACAAGGAGCCCAGGCCAAACATTGACGTCAGGGCCCATGGCCTCGTTTCAAACACAAAGAAGATCGCGGAGCCGGGGGAACTGACAAAAGAAGCAAGCAGAAACATGGATCTCCGACGTTGAAAATTTTCTCATTCTTTTGTCCTTGCCCTCCCGTCTTGGCGTTTCCTTGTCTTCCCCGGCCCTTGGGATTCTTCCCGTGTGTTTTTTTCCTTCTTTCGTTTTCCAAACCCAGCCAAGCCAAGACTTGGACTGACCTCGATATGATGAAATCAACTACTCTCTGCCGGGCACACATGACCATATTTTTTATTTATTTTTCTCCAGCCTCCCCCTCGAATGACCCGTCATCGTGGATCGGGCAATCTACTCCAAACCCCGGATGCCGCATGAAATAAAGAAAGAAAAGGAAGGGGGAGAAAGAAACAATAATCCGATCGGTAATAGAGCTCCGCCCAAGAGACAGATAGACCGGGCACACATATAATGTGATCGGAGCTGGATCGGGTCGGGGTTTCGTTTCGTTTCATTCGACACGCACAAAAAACTCTAGATTAATAGATTGAAAAATCGATCACGGCCAACATGGGCTGCACTATAGAGCAAATTCGTAATGGAGTAATACATCCGATCTGAGCCCGGCAATGAGCTTCCGTACTTGAGGCTTGGCCACTCTGTTTATTCTTGAAGGGGAGGCACAAGAGGCACAGCTTGGAGAATTTATGTTACCAATAGCCTCACCCGGCGCATCCCAATTCGGCAAATGTCCTTCGTGGGCCCTTCTAACTAACTGGTAGGGGTTTAGCAGGGGCGGGGGAAGTTAGAGACAGAATGGTACCCCCTTTCATCACCCTCTTCTCCATCAATGATGCATCTAGATGACGGTCACAGGTTCGATGGGAGGACTGGCGAACGAGGGCAACCAGAGACGAGAGTGCAAACAGTTGAGAAAGGACAAAAGAAGATTTTACGTTTAGTAATCCTCCAAGCGTCTCAATGGGCAAATCAATCGAGCTGAGTTGCCGTGTGTCCCTTGGCCTTTGCCCTCCCTCTTTCCCTTTCCATCCTGGCGGCGCCCCTCCTCAACCTGCATGGGGAAGGCGCGTTCCCCCGTCAAATGTCACTCTGAACCACTCCCCACTCTTTTTCTTTCTTACCCCGCAAAATCCCTCCAGTCAGCTTATGCGCCATCAATTAGAAGTGGCCGGGGTGATGAACAGCGAATGGGAAGGATTGAGCGGCAGCACAAGAAGAAAAAGAGAATAATAGCATGAGAATAAAAGGAGCTAAGACGTTTGCATCAAATGCCTCTGGGGTCTGGTACGCCTTGGAGAGTAGCAAGGAGCCCGCGAAATATCGTCCCAAGCGTTTCCACCTTATTCCATTGCGTGGAGCCAGCCAAGACAACAAACGGGGCACGAGAACGAGGGAGGAAATGAGACCGGACATGCAGCAACCAACGAACGAGGGGGACGAACCAGAGGGAAAACTAAATCCGGCTACTACCCGGAGCCGAGAGGGTGATTTTTTTATTATTTCTTTCCTTTCTTTCTCTTTTCCCTTGCTCGCTTCCGTAAATGAAAGACCGGTCATGATTTTCTGTTTTTGCAGTAGCGCCCTCGGGCGTTACGATACCGTCACATGACTATTCATTTGCGCCTTTATTCGCAATACGTGTCGAGGATTCATCACACCCCTGGCCTGGGCCTGGCTCAAGGGGCGCAGACACGAGGCTGTTTTGTGTAGCAGGTCGCTAACCTAGCTTGTCCAATCGCATCTGTTGATCTCGCCCCTCCAGCAGAGACGAGAGAAGGTGCGAAATAACAAGAGAAGAACGGGGTAAAAAAATTTAAGGTTGGGTTTTCAATTGCTCAAGGACTGGAGGGAGACAAGGGGGACCGTTTGACCCCTTTGAAGGAGGAAGAAGAAGAGGAAGGAGGGTGTGATGGAGGGTTGGTGGCTATCGCCATGATCCGGCAGAAACGAGTCCGCGGCGCCCTTTCGGCGGTCGTCGCCCCGTACTGTTCATTCTTTTCAGCCTCGAGGAAGATAACGAACCCACTAGTCGCTCCTTCCCCTTTCCACCCCCTCGAACGCTAACGTACGGCTGACTCCTTCGTTCTTCCCCCACGATATCGAAGCTGGGGCGCATGCTCCGATGCACTTGTACCTCTCTCTCTTCTCTCTATTTCCTGGACAATGATTGTCCGGATTGGTCACCCTTCTGAATCCCTCCCCCTTCCCTTTTGCCTTTTCAATCTTCTCATGCTCACTGACGTCGGTCACTTGAGCTTCCCCTCTTCTCTCTCTCTCTCTCTCCTTCCCTCGCTCCCATTAGTCCCAACAAAAAGAATCCAATCGCCGGCTCCCCTTATCACATTAATCCCCCACAGCCCACAGCCCACAGCGCACAACCGACGATCCCTGTTCCTATCTCCCTTTCCCCTACATGGAACTTCCTCTGGCCCCCAATTCCCTCCCTCTGCGGTTCTTGGCTCCACCCAAACCACGGGAAGCGACCCAGTTTTCAACGAGTCAAGAATACCCCAGATTTTCCCCATCTCTTCTCCCTCCCTCTGATGCCCCCACCCCCATGATAAAGCAATGCGCCCTTCTGTTCCATCATTAATTCATCTAGGATGTGCTGTCCTATCTGTTCAGATTACCCCCTCCCTTCTCTTGTTACCACCCCCTTTATTTTTCCCCATGACGATTCCAATCCTTTCTCTCTCTCATCTCTTACCACCCGCCAACCTTTCGGGTTACATGGGTACCTTGGCAAAGGGGAGGCCCGCAAAACGCGGGGGAAAAGGACAATCTAGAGGAGGGGTTTTCCTTCCATGGTGGACACGTCCCCCAGTCCTCACTTTGTTGTCGTGCCATTGTGGATGCTTACCGAGGTAGCGTAGCAGAACAAGAGCTCACCTCACTTTGCTCCTTTAGGTCAATCCCTAATATGGGCCCTCTTTTGCCTGCCCCCTTTGCGCGCCGATGCTACTTACTTGGTAAGAGAGTATCCAAGAATAGAACTTGAACTCGAGGGAGAAGAGAGTGGACAGGTGAATTAAAAGAGAGCAAACTAAAAGGGGAAAAAAAACAAGGGGAGAACACAAAGACAAAGAAGCAGAAGGCAGTCCCCCAAAAATTTGCTCTTTCCTGCTCACGCCACAAGAGAAGGATCACCGATGGAAAAAAGGGCAGAAGAACAAGGCCGCCGCTGACGACATGATCCCCAACACTGCTCGAAACCGTTTCCAAACACCCTCTACTTCTCATCGTCCGTAGTTCGTGTTTCCTGGCCTGCTGTTCGGGACGTCGTACTCTCTCGTGACCAACCCCTCCCCCAACTGGAATGCCACTCTGACGAGACGACCCCCCTCTAGCGCGCTTTTATCTTTGAGATAGGATGCACCGGGGGGTTCGCCTACTACTCCCCTGACGAGAAATCGTGCGGTTAATGCTATCTTTTGATTTTCAATATGGAGCAACAAGTGTAGTTTTTGAATATGCCTATGCGGTACATGTAATACAAGCGCTCTCGTCTGGTATCCCCAAAGGGGGTAAAAGGCGAAAAGAGAATGCCGTGTCTGTTGTCTTCCGCAACCCAGCTCTTCTCTGCTGCAATTCCCCCCTTTCCTAGTCCTAGGCCCTTGGGCGTTTCCTAGCTCATCCTACAAATTGCCTACTCTGGGAGTGGCGGGGGATCCGGATTTCCAGTCCAGCTCGTAGACGCTTGTACAAAGAACTCTCTCGCACACACACACACGCGCGCATCCTCAAAGTGCATGTGCACATCCTTGGCTCCAGCCCTCACACCCCCCTTTGCCCCGTGATCCTCCTGTTTCCCAATGCCTATGCGCCTGCCCCGTGATTATACAGTATAGATAATAAGTCGTAACAATCATTAAACCCATGCCGGCTCACTCCCACACACACACACCCCCGGCTGTTTTTGGTGGTAGATCTAAGGTGGGTTTTTGTAATAATAAGAGTATTAGTTGCTTGATGGGGGAAGGGGCAAGTTCCCCATCTAGGCCAAGGGGAGAAAAGCACGGGGAAGGAGGGGCGTTTCCCCATCCTTCCGCGTGGCCAACCCCTGGACAGCATTCATACCCACGTAGGTAATTATTTGTTGAATTTCCAAGGCTAATTCGTCGTCGGTCGCCGGACTGTGCCATTTGCCGTGTGCCGTTTGCTAGGGGAAAAGCGAAATAGAATCATGCCTCGTCATGCCACGCATTCAGCGACCAACCATTGGTGTCACTAGCTCGATGCTCTTGGGTCTCGAGTAGCCACCTGGCCGCCTGGACGGGAGCGGGCGATCCATGCCGCTGGTGCTGTAGTGGCTGCTGTATCCACCGTGGGTCCCCGACGAGCTGTAGCCCCTCTTCGTGTAGGCGCCGTCATACGTCGTCGAGAAACCCCCACGTGGGTACGACACTTCCGGGCTTGCCGCACTACGCGTAAAGGGCCAGAGGCTGGAGCCCACACCCTCTCCCATCGACGTAGGGGACGGAGGGCTGCCGGATCGGATGGTCAGGGACCGGAGAGCTGATATCGCCGCCGTAGCGTCGCCTGGCACCGCGGGCGACGAGGCAAAATACGTAGATGTCGGCCTCGAGGGGAGGCGCGGGGGATGATGTCTTTGGGTTCGCGGTGGTGGCTCGAGGGAGCGTAGAGAGACGACGTGGAGGACGACGTGGATTGGTGGTGGAAACCGCTGCTGGCCGACCCGCGAGGGGAGCTGCGTGGCGAAACGAGTTTTCGTCAAACTCACGACACCTATTCTCATTTTAGTTAGTTTTGCTTCCGGGGTGGGTTTTTCTTTCCTTTTATGCTTTTGCTCTCTGACAGGCGTACAAAGATGCTAGATTGAAGGGGTACGTACGCTTCTGAGCAGTAAAGGCATCGGTCATCGACGGGAAGGAATTGTTTTTCGCAGGCCATGCTAAGGAGGGGGCACAATCGTTAGCTATGCTGGCTCTCTCAAGCGCCTTCCAAAAACATTCTCATTTCAAGCTCCCCAGCCCGAGAGATACACTGCAGGAACAAGACCGGCTCTAGTTCCATCGTCCCTAGGCCTCTTCGATTGGCTCTCGCCTCAGCTCAGGAGAGCACGGCGGGGACCCCGTTCAAACAAATTTCGGGTCACCTCGCAGGTCAGGTGGGGATGCAGGATGCCGGATTGGGGACCCCATTGTCCAACCGTCAACCCGCCCTCCGGACCTCGCCTGAGTGACAAAAGTGGAGGGACAGAGGTAGTTCGGCCAACGAGAAAGCTGAAGGAAAAAGGTAATGGGGGAAAAGAGAAGGAAAAAAGGCTTTCCCCTCTGTGGGCTGAAGAAGAGACAGGAAATAAAGAAACAAACGCTTACCAATACTGAGGAAAGGTGTCACGGCCGTCTCCGTCATCGGCATACTCGTAGTATTCCCTTTCCCTTTCCTTGGGGCTTCTCCCAAGCTTGTAGGTTGTGGGTTGTTGCTCTTTGGACCTCTTGGACGTGCTGCCAGAACTGCGTTGTCGCTTTTCCGCGCCCATGGCTTTCCTTACATCCGTCATGGATGTGTTGGTAGGCAGCCCTTGGCCGGATTTCCTTCGGCTGTGATATGTGCCTGGCATGTTGTATGTGTGCGTGCTAAACTATCGGTTTGGCAGGTAGGAGTCTGTTGTAGGAGTCCTTGAGTGGAGGGCGAGGTGTAATGTCTAGGTGAAGAGAGGGGAGGGAGAAAGGAAGAAGAGTGAACGGGGAGAGGGAAAGAGATAGATAAAAGAGAGGAAGAGGGAGGGAGTTAAAGATGTGCAAAGTGAGAGAATCAAGAATCGATGGGTTCGAGCCGTCCCCAGATTCTTGTCGGCGTGTTAGTTAGTCAGACCAAGCGCCTTGTTGGTTGAGTTCGGGGTTTTGTGTCCACCGAGGTAGAGAAGAGGGCAGGCAAAAGGAGGGCGGGGGGCTAAATTGGGGTATTTAGCTTCCTGGTATAAGAGGAGGAGCAGAGCGGAAAGTGAGTAGAGACGAAAGGCGGAACGGATAAGAGTGTAGCTTTCTCCAGATGTGGGGTCGACGTTTGTTTTGTGTCCCACAGTCGATAAGCGAGCTAAGAGGGCCAGCCACGGTCCCTTTTTCCCACTGAGAACGGCTAGACGAGGGAAGGCAAAGCGGTGGATTCCTGGAGAAGAGGAAAAAAAGAAAAAAAAAAGAGAGCCAGGGGTGAACCGTTCGCTAAACTAATATCCTGGCGCTTCGGTGTGGATCAATGGGAATGCAGAGCCACGAGGAACGGTGGGTGAAGAAGAAGAAAATTTTCTCTTTCTTTCTCCCGATCGCATCGGCCTGCTGCCAAAAGAAAATAGATAATCCTCGCTCCGGGTAGGTTATCGCGAGTGGCGAAAAAATGGGGCACTCAATCGAGGCGTGGTGGTGTGGTGCCGTGAGCTTCTTTCCCAATGAAGCGTGCAGGCCGCGAACTGATTGGAGGCGGCGGTGCCCAGAAAGGGCTTGAAATTCGAACAGGGTCTTTTTTTCTTCTGCTGTTCCTATCACGGCTGTTCCTTTCCCCGGGGTTCAATTGATGTTGGAAATTTCTTCCCTGTCTAATCCTGGTTGATTGGTCGCACGAGGGTATTGGCCCCTCGACGATGGGAGAGGGAAAAATAAAGGGGAGTGGTCGACAGAGCAAGAATGAGGCCAAGACGACTGTGCGTGTGAGCGTAGGTCGTTTTGTGAAGAGACGAATCGTAATAGTCCAAGTCCTGGTTTATAAAACCACTGAGACGTAGAGTGGACTGTGTAGTGTACGTGTTTGTGCGCGCGGAAAACCTGGGTTTTGCCAAGAGTCCTGAAGGGAAATGAGGAATCCAAGCTATTAAGTAGTTTAATCCACTCTCCAGCAAAGAAGCGTTCTTGAGCCTTGCGGCTTTGGTCGACTTATTAGGTAGTTCGCCAGCCAGATTTGCAGAGACACCTGGATGGCCCCAGCAGTGGTCAATTCGAGGACCACTTTGGCAGGTTACCGGATCACGGTACCTATCAGGGTGGAAGAGACGTGGTTTCGGGTCCGTCGGGGTGGGCGCAGTCAGCGTGCGTCAGGAGGCTGGACGGGGAGTTTTGAGAACCGAAAGGGGAAAGGGATCTCACGCTCTCGGTGCGCGGGTTTTGAGATTGGGACTGTGGGTTGTTTATAATGGAAAAGAAACTTGAAGCAAGGCCGTGGTTTTTTTTTTTTTCCTTTTCCAGCCAACAAGTCACACTAGCTTCAAAGGCGAGCGGAAGGGTCAGTTGAAACACCGCCGAACAGAGACGAGTGCGTAAGTAGCTGTAGATGGGCGGGGGTCTTGGTATTTTGTGCGCATCAACGGCGGACTGGACCACTCAAGGCGCCCAAGATGATCAAATTGATCAATGTAGGATTTCGTAGCGAGGACAGGCGAGGTGCGTGCTTTTCCTCGGCGCGCAGTCAATCTTTCAGGGCTGGCCCAGCGCTGGTGGAGTGGTGGGGTAATAGTGGCTGGCTCTTATTTTCCAATTCAACTCTGGGGCTCCACGAGATCTCCCGTGCGGCTTGTTGGAGAGTTGCCTGTGGAATGGCGTTACTTGCGTGACCGATGGTGTAAGTGGGCGGCCGATGAGTAGTGAACAGTGGCAATGGCGACAGCGAGCGAGGGTGTGGTTTCTTTTTGTCCTTTGTCTCCTTTCCTTCCTTTTTCTCTTCTGTTCCTTTTCCTTTCCCACAACGTCGGGCGGTCAGTGAGACAGACACGAGACAAATGCGACGTGCTAAGGGACGTAGTGCGCGAACGAGAGATGGGTGAGGTTGAGATCGGATGATGACCTGTTCAGGGCGTTGCTGTCTCGTTCCAGACGCGGAAGTCTGTTTTTCTCTTTGTTCTTTTCTCGTGCGTGTTGGAATGACGCCTCCAGGTACACTATATCGTCAAGCGGGTCTGCAGGACTAAGCTGCTCGAGGGTTGATTGGCGAAAATGGGCAGAAACTCTACACGATGAATTCCAACCTAATGATGTCGAGAAGAGAGTGAGGTCGATGAAGAAAAAAAAAAAAAAGAAAAAAAGAGGCAGAACAAATAGGAGAACCTGAGGCCTGGATATATGATTAGAGACGCTTTCAAATTAGAAACGAAAGAGAAAAATCCAATCGACCAGGGCGGGATCAAACTACTATTTACAAGAAGCTGCGCGTGGGTGGACGAGCATGGAGCATGGGAAAGAATCAAGGGGGCGTGGGATTGCACAGCGCACTTACACGAAGCAGGCGAGAGAGAGCAAGGGCGTGCAGGCAAGCGTGGGTGGGCCGAGAAAAAGAGTGGGAGTTCGGGTGGGGTGGACAGCAATTCGAAGAGAGAGAACAAAAACGTGGTTCCTGGCACGATTCTTGACTGGCTTCCTTTGGCGTCGTTTTTTGCTCAGTTAGCTGTGCCCACATGCGTATAATTTTTCTTCTCTCTTTTCTTCCTTGTTCACTTTTTTCTTCCTTCTTCACCCGAACTTAAATTGGAGATGCAAGAGATCAACATCGCTCCTCAATCCTGCTAGCGAACATGGCCTGTATATGTACGGGACCTGAAGACAGACTGCCTTCCGAATCAAAAGCCGGTTCCGGCATCGAACCGTTGGGAGTGACAGGCGCAAAGATAAAAGAGGAAACAGAAAAAGAAAAAAAAAGAATACAAGTACGGCGAAAAGATAGTCAGACTTACGAGCGCCGATAACGAGTATAGATTGAGTGAGTCGAGTGTCGATTCCGAAAGCGGAGGGGTGTTTTAAGACCCAATGGTGGTGCCAAGCTGGCGCCACACTCTTTGTGGGGCAGTGGTGCGTGTCCACCGAAAAAGAGAGGCTCGAACTTCTCGATCGTCAGGGAAAGGGATTTGAGTTCTTCCTTCAGCAGTAAGGGTGACTTGTTCTTCGTACTCTTTTTTCTTCCGAGGATAGCTCCCTCGAAAGTCGGCAACTTGTCAGTCGGATTTTGGGGGCTGTTGTCTAAGATGTGGAACGCACGGGGTCCTGTCCTTGTCCTCGGGGGCGTGATATCAAGGAAGGGGACGATTTCCTTTAGCACACCACACAGGAACGGGATGAACTGTGGAAGTAGAGTCTGATTGTCAGCCCTAATCCGTCTCTCGATTCCTCTCCTGACCACTCGTATGACGTATGTGCTCTGAGTGAGAGTTGAGCCGAGTGGAAACAAAAAGAAAAAAAGAAAAAACACCCCCTGACAAAGCGTGCGATTGCTGACTCGTATCTTCTATGTCTCGCTTCCTATTATTCTCGCCTTGGGACGGGTTGAAGAGTTTATCGATGGCCCCTACCTTTTACGGCTTTTGGCGCCTCTAGGTGTGTTGCCGTTCAGGAGAGAAGGAAGGCGCGCTTCCGTAGTCCGGCAATGGTCCTGCCACCACGGACCGAGCTGATCGAGTCTAATAAGAGATGCTGTGCTCTAGGTCCTCAGCCTAGCTAGCATTCAATGATGAATGGTATATTAGAAGCAGAAATAGCTTGCGCTTAGTCAAATGGAATAGACCCGCAGCGGCCGGGGCGCTTAGGAAGTGTGATGGAGAAATGGGGCGACAAATATATAATCAAACGGAGCGGTAGTAGGGCAGACGAATCACAGGTATTGGTGGGCCACCGGGTCGCTCGCAAGAGAAGCTCAACTTTGCGCGTAAGTGCTTTTCTCTCTCCTTTGTTTCTTCTTCTCTCCGACCGGTGAAGGACAGACGGCTTGATGAAGTTGGGTTTTGTTTCTATCTTCTTCCTTCAGAGTCGAAGGAGAGCGGGAACAAGACACATGCCGAGTCAAACAGATTACGGGGAATCCGGCTCTTTGTAGAGGTCGAGCTGGCCCGATTTTCTCTTATCTTGAAATCGGATCTTGTCCAGACAAGCCTTGGATAAAGTGGAGTGGTCTTTCCTCTAGTAGCTAGCTCTCTACTTTTTTTTTTCCTTTTCCTCTGTTCAACGCAAGTCACATCGGGCCACGGCATGGCCATTCTGGCCTGGGGGCAAGGATAAATATTGATCAATCGATAGGAGCTTTCGCCCAGCGCGTATTATCTCAAAGGGAATGAACACCCCCGCCCCCTTCCCCGCGCAATCATGGGGGAGAATAAAACAACTGAAAAAGAAGTGTCCAGTGACGCCCAGAGACTATCAACCCAACCGCTCCAGGATTGATTTGATGGAGCTGCGTTGCGATGCTAAAGTGCGATCTAGTTGTCGCCGCCTAAGCTACGGAAAATGGAAAACCCCACTTGCGGAGCGGTCATATCTCGAGGATAGATTGGCCTCCGCCGAGTGAAACGGGTGCCCCTCCACACTTTCTCCCCTCCCCTCCCTCCCTTCCCCCGGTGAGAGGTAGCCGAGGAATAGACGAAGGGAGGGGGCAGGTGAATGATAAATGCCACCTCAAAGGTGGGGGCAAGCGAATAAGAGGGAGGGAAGGGAAAGGAGGGTCTCGGGGCCTGGAAGAACCCATTGGGAGAAGCCGTAAGATACAGCATAGACAACAAAAGGAAGCTGTGTAGAATATTTGGGTCGGGCCCATGCCATGATACCAAGCGCTATATATATCAAAGGGTTCTATACCAAGATTCCATGGGGGTTG